TAATTAAGACAAAAGGTAGACAGTGGAAGTGGATTTGAAATGTCAGAGACCTAACACAGACCTGGCACTGCCTCAAGCCTTGAGGCGGGCCAGCCTGGGCTCCCACTGCTTGCTCTGGCCACTCAGCCACTGTTCTCACAGCAGTCATTCTTCAGACCATCTCAGTGTGCAACTGGCTCATCTGGCAAATGCCCAAGGCTCTCTTCTCACTGTTGTAGTAGATGAGTCCATTTTGATCTTCAGTCTCTCCAATGTGGGCCGCAGGATTAGTGCTAGAGCTCCCATGGCCTCTTCCCAGCAGCAAGACCCACTGCTATGGTTGATAGAATACTATTGGGCTTGGTTGAGGTTTTGCCTTTCCTGCAACATAACATAACCAAGTGCACAGAGACATGGGCAATATTTACCTAATGAGAGTTGGGGTTTCCCCCAGGCATGTACCTTTTAGGTATGACTGAAAATAGGATTTTCAGTTGCTGTATGTTTGAGGCCTAGAAATTGCTAGTCTTCAGGCCAGAAGAAATTTTAAAAATCTTAATAATGTTTTTATTTATAAGAAGAATTTAATGGCTCGTTCAAATCACTTGCCACTGTACTGTAAAGGGAGATGTCCATTCAAATCTTTTTGTACCAGTTAGTGTAATTCTACACATAATATTATAACACTTTTGAAGAGTTCCTGCTTGGAATTTCCTGAGCTCCCTGTTTTGCAGACATAACAGTGATTTCTTCCATGATCTGAATATGTGGGAAAAAATATACAGAGAAGTGTATACTGAGTGTATATTTGAGGCTGCAAATGATGTATAAGTGAAGGACCAAAAGGAGTATAAGCAAGAATGCAGTGGATGGAAACGCTCTGAGAGAGCACTGTGTCAATTTGCTTTGCCTTTCATTTGTAAATTGTGTGTTGACTGGAGCAATCTGCTGAGAAATTTAAAATATTTGTCTCTATACTCATGGCAAGAGAATTCCTCTGTAATTTGAAGAATCAGTTAACCTCCATCTTCCTAGGAAACAATGTTCTTAATATCCATAAGCATAATTATTGAGTATTTGCGCCTCTAGTATTTCAGTTTTCCCTTTGTTGTAATAGCTGTGAAGACAAGTGAATTAATGATTGCAAGGAGGTAAGCATCATGGCAAACAATGTGATAGGGATACTTTTCTAGGTAGTCCATCTATGAAGCCTTAGAACCAGACATGATCTCTTAGAGGAGTAAATGCAGTTCTTTCCAAGTACAATTCTCAAACTATAACAAACCATGCCCTTGTAGCAGAGAAAGCATTTCTGTGACTTGGATGCCACTATTCCTAGTCTTGCATCACATATAAATCTGTGTTGAAGTGCAAAGTTCTGAATGTCCTTTCCTGGACTTACTCACGCTGTTTCTGATATTCAGCAAATACACTCAGACTGAGAAGATGTAGTCACAAATATCTTAAAGTACTGTAGTCATGTCTGTCACATCTCAACTGACAGTCATTAAAATTGCAGCAAAATCTGTAACTATCCAGGTGATTTTCTAATTAAATATTGAAAGTCTCTTTTGAACAGGATTATTAAAAGATATCTTTTTAGTGGAGAATAGATATAATCAAAATTAATATTTTTACATATTGGGCATTTTTCTGTAAGTCCTGTGCACACAATCTGCAGTAGGCATTCAGATTACCCTCACTGAGTGAGTTCCATTCTTCCTAAAAACTACCCTGAGGAACACATAAATTGTCTCTGTTTAGTTTTTAAATGCCTTTTCCCTCCCAGTGAAAGTTTTCAAAATGCCTGGTTTATATCATGATTCACAAAAGGATCAATTTGTTTTTCAATAAAGAGGTTTTGCAGGTGTGCATTCCATGTTGTGTTTTTCCTCCACCAAAAAAGTGAAAGAAATAGAGCGTATTGTTATTACAAGACCTTGATGAAACAAAAGGCTTTTCAGAAGTTATATATAAAATTCTAAGAAAATGTGCATACATTTTCAGCTCTATTAATTTAAAAAAAAATTGTAATAATGACAAATTCTGTTATTATTACATTATGGTACAATTAAATAAATCAGTTAACCTCATTTAAATGTCTCTGAACTGTCTAAGCAGTGGCTTCTGAAAGGTTGTGTTCTGATTAACACAAATAAGAAACATAACATGAAAAGAGTACATTTATATGTATGAATCAGGATTTAAATTTCCATTTAGGGAGAAGTAAATCACACCGGTCTCTAAGCATCCTTTATTCCATGTGCTGCGCTCAATTATGGTAATCCATATAAAATTACCATTTATTAAACCTTCAAACAAGGTTTATCCCTGCCAAAATTGAAGCAGAGTCAGAAGATGGACTGGGAATCTGAATTATGCTCTCAGTAGACTGAAATATGATACATTTTTAAAATGTAGGCTGTTATAATAATGTAGGAAGATATCCAAGTAGGGAATTTCCCTATTGTCTGAAAGACTTAAGTGTACAATATAGTCACAAGTAGTTTGGCATGCCACCCATGCAAAAATAAACATCTTTTTGATTGCACTAAATTAAATTTAAAAAAAAGTCTTTTAGCCTTTTAGATCTGCCAAACACAGCAAATTAAAAGAAACAGGTGTCAGCAAGTTTCATTGTCTAGAACAAATTTGTGTTGAGAGATCAAAGGAACAAGTTCAGTACTTTAAGGTAGGGGAAGTAGTAAAAAAACCCAACAACTTAAAATAATTGTCTTCCTTTAATGCTTACATTCTTTAAGTGATCTAAATTCTTACTTGTTGTATGGAATCTAACACTGTATATATGTGTTTCGAGCCTCTTTTATCCTTTATCCACAAAAATTATATTTAATGAGTTGTAATGCTAGTAAACTGAATGATAAATAAATCCAAAGGAGAAAAATCAAAATAATTAATATAAAAGTATTTTTTATTTTAAATATGATAAAGAATCCTACAAAAAGAAATGCCTTTGATGTTTTAGCCTTATGTGATTATTAATTAATTTAAATATATTTATTTCTCTTCATGCTGTAGGCATCTGTTCAATGGAAAGCAAAATTAAAGCAAGATGATTACACCAGTTGTCTTTCAATCCTTCACTGGCAGATGGCTTTAAATGAAGTTTAAATTGCAAAAATATGGGGGAAAAAGTCAACATAGAAATTGATTATGCAACGGTTTAAAAAATTACAATAGGACTTTATTTAGCTTATGTATGGGCCATATGTATTTGAAAACATAAATTTATGTTTTCATCTGTAGTGTTATACACACTGCAAGAGGGAAAATATACACTGATGAGTTAACTGAAATAATTTTCCTCACTGCATATGAGGAGTGAGAAGGACCAGGTTCGTATGTACTATCACAGCACAGGCATGGTCTTTATTCCATAATTTTTTTCTGGAATTTCTTCAGTGTTTTGATGGAATTACTTTTTCTAACATTTAGCTATCATAATGGAAGCATCTAATTTAAGATAATCATCGATTTTCAGTCAGGAGGAAAGATATGCATGTAATTTATCCAATCTCTTTTGGACATGGAAGGTCCTGCTGGTGATGTTTGCCTCCAATTTTTACAGAAGAGATCAGATAACCACTTTAATATCAGCTTTTAGCACATTGGCTTTTCCATTATCCTGGTCTGTGCAAGACAGATAAGTTCAAGATTTTCAGCTCAGCTATTGTAATTTTTGTGCCTTAAGTCAATGGATAATAGCAAATGCTGAAGGGTTAAGCTTAGCTCTGTACTGGGGTCACAGGTCAGGATTTCAAGCAAAAATTGTTATGGGTAGGAAAAGTACTCAGAATATTCTTGTAATATACAGATACCACTTCTCCCTAAGGATGTCAGAACACTTACAGTCTAGCAGGAAGGGCTCCGTTTTATCTGGTACCTAACTGGTCATTTAGAAAACAAATCTGATTATTTGAGGACAAAAAAACGTTATGTCTGTTCATATTTTAAGAGGTATTACTAGGACTTGAATCCAAGGTTAATAATATAGTTCTGAATAATTGCACAACAGTGCTATTTATGCACCTTTATTTTTTAAATGCATTTTATTTAATTTTAGCAAATATGACTCCATTCTCTAGAATATTACCATTATCCTTTTCCAAAAGAAGAGTTAGCATGAAATCCACCAAAAATTACATCAAGAATTACTGCCTTATAAGTATTAGTATGAGTATTAGTATAAGTAAATAAGTATTAATTCATAGATACCTGGAAAACTGTCTGTGAACATGTTCTGTAATTGAGAGGTTAAGTTGGATATTGTAAACATAAAAGCAATAATAAGGATTAGGCATGCGCATATTTCTCAGAAGCAGTACTACTGAGTTTCATGTTGTCCATTCAGAAACAGAATAGTACAGAGAGAAGTCAGCTTATTTTCCAATGAGTGAGATTTTTGATACCACTACCAATAAATAAAGCAGTACCTTTAACATAAAAAACAACTTGAAAATGTGTTAAAAGACTTATTTACACGTTTTTCCTATCAAATATTGCTTAAAATACGTGTTGCAGTTACTAACTGGTGAAAAGTTGAGAAAACTAACACTCAATTTTACATCACTTGTGTTTGATTCATATTTTTTGTCCCTGTGCTCCTACAATGCCGTGTTGTTGTCAGCTGTGTTCAGTACAAAAGGATTAATCTTACCCTTGCAGTTATCAGTTTCCTAATTTATAACCAAGAGTTCTTCCATGTTTCAAGGTGGAAATTAAAAAAATAAATTAGTACAAAGTAAAAATAGAAGATAACACAAGACTTAACACTGAATCTCCAGTCATTTATTGGTTCCTTTATATCCATAATGGTTCTTAAGCATTTTTTCAACTTCCCTGAATGTGTCAACCTAATAATGCAGCTGCTACGAATGGCCAGTTTGGTATCATAATGTCACTAGATTGTCTGCAGATGTCAACAGATGTCAACAGATTGCCTTCTCAGTGATTTTTGGTTTTCTTATACATATTGACCATTTACTTTCTGTCTCTTGCAGATTGTAGCTTTGCGTGAACAAAATGCACACATTCAAAGGAAAATTGCAGCTGGTGAAGGGCCTGCTGAATCAGAACATATTGAAGGAATGGAGCCAGGGCAAAAGGTTCATGAAAAGGTATAGAATACTAGTTTTCATTGGAATACACAATCAATATGAAAAATAATCTAATATAATATTTTTTAATGTGAACGTTTTATGAGACTTTCATTTACAGTGTTGTTTGCCAAGCATGAACGTCAAGCTTCTTCAAATGAAAAGCAAATGCAAATGGGCAAGTCCTAGCTCTCTGGTAGGATACTGAGTTAGGTCTCCAAGTTATAATAAAATTTTATTGGATTTTTTAGCAAAATACTACAGTTAAGTACAATATATTCTGCTGAGTGGTCCTATCTATGTCATAGACAGAAAAGCATGGTGTACTTGTACATACATATGAAAGTATATATATGCAAAAACTGCTGCCAAAATAGCCCATAATGAAATGAAAAAGAAACCTAAAAACTATAAAAGATAATTTTCCTTTGTGCTACCTACCAATGTGTTGCCAATTCATATTCTTTTTCATGTAGAGAAAAGTGAAGAACATTTTACTTAGCATTTTTTCAGTACAAACTAGCTGAATGTTATTTAGGCTAAGTATTTAAGTCTAAAGGACAAAAACAAGATAGAGAATATCTGATTCAGAAGTTTTCAGTGTTAGTTTTCCAGATGGATAAAACCAATCTGTATATCTTCTCTTAATTCGAAGATATTAAATTAAAAAGCTAGCATAACATAACATTTCACACTAAGAGAAATTAGTAAAGTTGCTGCTTGGATCTCTAACCATGAAATATTTAAAAGGAAACTAATGGTAAAATAGAAGTAATGAGAATTAACTGAGAGCATTTATTGCTTCAGAAAAATATAGGAAAAAAGAATGAACGGCTTTTGGTTGATTTTAAAAATTCCAAACTTCTTAAGATATCTACATGAGAAAGTACTCATTACAAGGTTCAAAAGAGAGAAAAGACATTGAACAAAACAAAAGCACACAGATGTCTCTGACTACAGCTCTTAATTTACAAGAATACGAAATTTTATAATTTCACATTCAAATTATACTTACCAGCCACCAACGTAAGATGTTGCCCACTCCACTCGTAACTCATTACACGCCCATTTACACGCAATTTAAGACAGTATGATTCATTTTTTCTAAGCAATATGAAAGGTCTTGTAAGTGTATGAAGTGATGCGTTGTTTCAGAAATCTTTAATCTCTTTCATTTGCTATTTTGAATTAGCAATCACTTTAATCTATCTCCAACCAACAGTCATGGTCAGGTTGGGTGAAAAAAATTTTTTGCCCAAAAATTGACTTCAGTTTGAAGAATAATTCAAGATAGCAAAATAAAAGATTTGCCTTTCTGAATTTATTATTACTAGACTTAAAAACAAATTGGCGTACCTGAAATTGTGATTGAATTTCACACACCATCTACCATATGTAACTGGAATAGCACAGTGTGTTCTCTACTCATGCTATAAACTAAGTCCTTTTAATGCGGTGCTTGCTGTCCCAGCTGTCCCAAAAAAAAAAGATGCTGAGATTAAGTATCTTTTTTCTTTTTTTTTAAGTTATTTGCTGATGTTTATTTCTACTACTATATGAGTCATTAAAATTGAGTTATTGAATAAAATGGAAAGTTTTCAGAAATGATCGTATGCATTTGGGAAATTAGTTCAGAAAGTATTTCATTTTCTGATGTGTGTATACCTTGTATATTAACTGTCATAGTATATCCTGCACTTACAATGGCGTGTTTCCTCTACGCTCCAAAATTTATTGCCTATTTCTGGACAATATAGGAGAATATTCCATAGTAAGTTCCATGCTGAATCTTTTAATTCAAACATATAATAAATAATTACTAAAATTATTCTGAAATTAGTGGAATTTTATCTGGGATGAATTTGCCTGAGTAATGACTTCTTATCTTCATGGACACCCTGTATGCATAAGAGGGTTACTGTTTGACAGAGCACTTCAGGCAGATTTTGTTACACTGAAGATGAAAGCTCATCATTTAAGTGCAGTGTTAATCAGGGTTTTCCTTGGAAATGCACTGTTTCTATTTTTTAAACTTAATTGCTGTTATTTGTAACCATAGCTTTTAAAACTGGAGACAATTCAAAACCAGCTTGTCTCTATTTGATGATTATATAGATATATGTTTCTTCCTAGCCTTGACACTATCATCTTCCAATAATTAAATCAACTGCCTGTAGCTTATAAATACTAAAATCTGTTAAAATATTGACAGTGGTTATAGACATTGCATCCAGTAGGAATAAAAGGTATTTTGCCCAAGCAAACTCAGAGTGGGCTGAAGTGTCAAGAAGGTTTTGGTTTTGCAAATCAAATTAAAAAAAAGGAAATAGTAATTTAAAAAGTAAATGATATCTTTCAGAGCAGTCATCAGAATCTGCTCTACTTTGGGACCAGAATATTTTTTGATTCTCTAATCATTTTGGTCAATAGAAAACTGCAGAAGAAAACTTTCAGTTGATACTTAATAATTTATTTCATGTGTACTCCTTTGCTCTTTCATTTTAATTGGCAGAATAGGTGAGCAGCAGAGAACAGAATGAAGGCAGCCTTCATCAAAAGCAACAGTTTAAATAGGACAAAGCTTGGATTCAACACTGGCTGTCAAAGGGATGTTCATGATTTAGAGACAGTTTGTTATAAGGATCATTTGTTTTGCTGCTTAAGTACAATAATGATGCATAATAATAGTTGCAGACACAATCTCATCCCAAAGCATTCAATTCACACTGTACATTAAGAAAGTAGTATGCTTCAGACACAGAATAATTTTCATAATCAGATGTTGGGTTAGTATCTAAGCAGTGCAGATATTGGGGGGGTTTTCTAATAATCCCCTTCCAAATAAATATTGATAATCTAATGTTAAAAGTGTGTGTGTAGGGAGATTTCATGAAGATTGAGACACCTGGAAAAATAAGGACTTGCCAGAGAGGAAAGAAAAATGGGGAAAAACTGCAGCAGGCTCTAGAAGCCTTCATGAATCTAAGCTGTCAGTCCTCTTAATGGAGTGTTCATAGGAGAATATCATGCAGTGTTTCCCTTTAAACAGGCTTTAGGCAAGTATTGGTGGAGCCCCAATCCCTGCTTGCGTTTAAGAGACAAGGGTATGGCACTGAAGGACATGATTTAATGATGGGATTTGATGATCTTGAAGGTCTTTTCTAATCCATTCTCTGATTTTGTGAGTGCTGTTGTGCTTAGTAGCTGAGTGTGTCTGCATAAAAATCACAGAATGGATTGGGTTGGAATGGACCTTAAAGATCATCTAGTTCAAATCCAGCTGCTATGGGCAAAGTTGCCAAGCACTATGACTGTGAATATTTAATACTCAACACTACAGCTCAGGCATCTTATGATGCTGAAAAGCTGCATTAATTTCGCAATATTTACACAATAAATCAATAGACATTCATTCAGATCTTTAAATTTTCAGAAGTTTTTTTTTTTTTTCATGCAAGTTAACTTGTCTTTCAGTCATATAAACTTATTTTCACATTTCCTTATAAATTTCTGCTTATCAAGATTATCAAAGCATTGCTTTAGAAGTTTTATTATCTAGGGGAATTTTATTCCTCCCCCCCCCCCCCAAAAAAAAAAGTACTTTTTACCAAGGAAATGGTGTATATTGCTTATGAAGCATAGGAAGGCTCTCATACCTCAGTTACTGCCCAAAATTCACACATAGTTTCACAGCTGCTAGCACTTGCCATCTTCTGATGGAGAAAGAAGTCTCACAGTGTGGTTCAAGAGTCTTTCTTTAGGTTGAGATGCCATCATCATGTGACAAGGGAGTACCCCAGAGGCCAGTAACCATGAGCAGTAGGGTCACAGACTCGTAGCAGGTAGGAGATTTGTCATATCTGGAAGCGGGTCAGTGGAGCATAATCTAGTCTACAGAAACTTCTGCAATAATGAGATTTTGACACTTAGAAACCATTCCTCTCATTTTAGTCTTTCCTAAATATTGTGTCACTTTCTGAAATCAGTTCCTTGCTGAACCTTAGCTTGTATCTATCCTCTTATTTTTTACCTGTGTTTTAGATTATTGATTTCCTATCTAATTTCATACCAACAAAATAAAGTAAAATTGCCTACACTTGTATTCTTTGGTTATGTGTATTTTAAATATTTACATTGGCAAGGTGTCACATAGTTAGCAAATAGAACATAGCGTCTGCAAATGTTTGAAATGCTATTTTAACATAAATTTTTTGTGCTTCATGTCAAGAAAATTATGTAAAATCAAAAGAATATTCTTCCTTTGTTTTTAAACAGAAGTTTTCATATTTTCAGTTCTTAGTTCTAGTGTAACATATGTCAGAAGTTGTCTGGGTTTATGCTTTGCACTATTTACCAAGCATAGTCAGCCAAACTACAGCAAGTACCCTCAAAGAACCATGGCACTGTATTGACTTGAGAATACAGCAAAGACTTCAGTTTTGATACTGGTGATTTATGGTGTGACCAACTTAATACTCCATTAGAGAAAAAGGTTAGGAAAGAGTAGACAAAATGCAAATGCTTTCAGGGTTAAAAAGAAAAAAAAAAAGAAAGAAAAAAAAAGAGTGAATGGAAAACAAAAAAAGCAGTTACAGCATAAAATATTAGTTTGTTGAAGAAATCAGTCTTCTCAATTTCACGCTTGATTTTAATTATTCAGTGGCACTTTGTGGTTAGACAGGATTGAATTTAATCCTCAGGTCTGAATGTGCTTATGCACAGGGACATCATGTGAATCACCTGCACCTATCCTGCCATAATCTGAGAGATACAGAGGAGGAGTTTTATCAAGTAAATGAATTCTGTCTCAACTGCTGACTGTTTGGGAGTAATCCTGTGAGATAATCTTTTTTTTTTTTCCTTCTCCCAGCACTCCTACATAAACTTCTAGTGCAAAATATGTAACTACTGGCTTGTAGTACCTAGCCCAAACATACCTTGGTCAGTTGGTTTACAGCTGCAGACAATTTGTTGCTTGGAGGTTCTCTGTCCTGTTCTCGGGATTCACCATTGCTAAATTATGTTCCTGTGCATAAATTGCTACATTGTAACTCGATCTAGGTATATTTTTACAGGAGTTGTGTCCTTTACAGCGTGTTGGCTTAGTCTTATTTTACACTTTCTCTTGTTTTCCTTTTACTGTCGTTCTTGGATGTTTGTTTTGTTTTGTTTGTTTTTGCTAGTAAACCAGGCTGCAGCTGTTTTTTCTTTTGGCTATTTCAATGCAGAGAGAATGATGTAGGGAGAGATTGTTAGGTATAATGCTCCAATTTACTGTTCTTCTCCCTGCTTTTCCTTGAAGAAAAGAATAGGATTTACCAAAGCCATACAAAAAAATTGTCAAAAACTGAACACAACTTAATGCAACTTAGTTCTTGCTTCTAACCAGTGTACAGTCATTACCCTCTCTGACTTGATACTGCACCAGTATCATAATCCTTTCTCCCATTTTACTCAGAGATATTTATGAGTTTCTTATTTTTATCTGGGAATTTTTGGCTTATGCTAGAACATACACTGGACACAAATCTATGGGGCCAGACAGATAACTGAAGGAGCTGGCAGAAGTGGTTACCAAGCCACTTTCAATAATTTATCAACAGACCAGGTTACCTAGGGAGGTCCCAGTTGGCTGGAGGTTAGTGACTGTGATGCCCATCTGCATGGAAGGCAGGAAGGGGTATCCAGGCAATTACAGGCCAATTAAATCCAATTACAGACCTGCTAGCTAAAGCTCAGTGCCATGGAAGGTTATAGAATAGATCATCTCAAGTGCCATCACACATCATCTACAGGACATCCATGTGATTAGACCCAGTCAGCACAGATTTATGAAAGGCAGGTCCTGTTTGACTCTCCTAATCTCATATGACAAGATGATTCACTTAGTGGACAAAGTGCAGTGAATGTTGTTTACCTGGATTTCAGGAGAGCATTTATGTTCCACACAGTATTCTACCAGTAGAACTGGCTGCTTGGGAGTTGTATGGATGCAGTGTTCACTGGAGGAAAAACTGCCATGATACCAAGATGACTAGGCCCAAAGGGTCATTGTGAACCGTGTAAAATTAAATTGTCAGTCACTCCAAAGTGGCATTACTCACAGCTCAGCATTAGGACAAGTTTTGTTTAATATTTTTGTCAATGATTTTATGAGGGAATAGAGGATACTCTGAGTAAATTTGCAGATAAGAGCAGGCTGGATGAAATTCCTGATCTATTTGAGGGTAGAGAGGCTCTGCAGGGGAATCTGTAGGCTAGATTGATGGGGTGTGTCCAATTGTATGGCATTCAACAATCAGTACAGGGAGGATATTGAATTTCTTGAGGGTTTGCAGAGAAGAGAAATAAGGCTGCTGAAGGGACTAGAAAACAAGAAATATGAGAGAATTGGGACTGTTCAGTCTGAAGTGGAGGAGGCTGAGAGGAGACTTCATCACTCTCTACTAGTACTTGAAAGAAGGTTGCAGCAGGTATCAGTCTATCTTTCTCAAGTGACAAGTGATTGGGCATGAGGAAATGGGCTCAAGTTGCATCAGGGAAGTTTGAATCAGGTAGAATTTCTTCATGGAAAGAGTGGTTAGGCATTGGTAGTGCAGTCCCAGTCAGGTGGTGTTTAGGTACATGGTTCAGTTGTGAACATGGTAGCCTTAGGTGCATGATTAGGCTTTCTGACGTTGAAAGTCTTTTTCAATATAAATAATTCTATGATTTCCACAGTGTCTCTGGTTCCCATGAAAGCATTTATAATCAATGTGCTGTGATTTCTAGTACATATTGGAGAGCTTAAAATTAATGAAAAACAGTAGTAATAAGGTACTAAGAAGGAGTATTATAACATCATTTAGTTTTCATATTCATATTCATTGTATTATATTGTATTATGTTGTATTCTAGTCTAAAACAATAACTGAGATGATGAGAAGTTGTCCAGTTCTGCCTTTTTCAATTACTTGATGAATAGTGTGTGGAGGTCACAGATCTACCTCCCCTGTCCTTTCTAAGAGAATTTTACCATTACTGCGCTTCAGAGGAAGTTCTGAGAGTCTAAAAGCATTTACCCTGTTTGATCACTGTTCTCTTTTAGCTAAATGTGTCCTTCCTTGGCAAGGCCCAGTATACTCTTTTAAACAATGTGCTGATTGTCATGTTTCTTTTATATAGGAAATTAGCCATTGTTAAATAGTTTTCTTTCATGTCAAATTTTTGAAATTAGAGTTTATGTTCATCTGTGGCTTTTTAACAACAGCATTTGAATAGACGGCGTCATGAAGTTTGCTGAAGATTTTATCAGGATGCTATTTCTTGCATGCACTAGGAATTTGTAGTGAGGATGAGACAGAAAAGATTGCCTACTTAGAAATATCTTCTTCTTACAAGTTCTTCAAACAAGATTTCCCATGGTGCTTCAGCTGATAGTTAATAGCAATCTATTAAGAACATTCAACATCATAAGCATCTAGCTGCTTATTTATATTTATTTCTTAGTATTTTATGTCCTAAGAAATATTTCTGCACAAAAAAAAACAAAACAAAACAAAAAACAAAAACAAAACAAAAAAAAAAACCATCCAGATACTACATAAATAAATAATTAAATAACTAGAAAGAAGAGAGAGAACATGAAGTAATGATATCTCAGTTAGGTCTTGAGTTAACATTTAACTTTCTGCCTGTGAGGTTTTTGAGTGATTATTCCATGTGATGTACCCATATTATGGACAAATAAAATAGTATAAAGACACAAAAGTGACAAAATGTCAGTTCAAATCCAATGTCATTTTGCCTAGGTATCATGCAAGTAGATCGATGATGGTTCAGTGTCATAGAGTTTCAATTTCAATTTTTATGTGATACATAAAGCAATTTTGGAGCTGAGTTATGTGACGTCGTGAATTCTTAGAGTAACACAGTTTTATTCAGTGACCCACAGAAAGGCAGATGGTCTTGATCTGGGTTTGTTTTCTGTCTTATTGGGGAAATGATAATGTCAAAAGCCATTAAACAAAGTAATGTTCTTTGAATTTATTAGATTTCCCTATAAGCATATTTTGACAACAATAAGGCACAAGAGCTAATGAGTGAAAACTTGTTTTCCTCTTAGATCTTCCAAATCATATTTTGTATTTGTCTTGCTATGCACCTTACCATCTCACAAACAACACATACACAATATTCTTGAATGATGTTCTTTGAGACTGATAACCTATGTAAATTAACAGTTACAGTGAAATAATTTAATTTTCTACTGCGTGATATAACTTTAATTTGTAAAATTGCACCTAATCAAGAAAAGTAATAATAATTTTTTCATTGATTTTGTTTTTCTGTTTTATAGCTCAAAAAAAGATCATTATTGCTTGGATTGATCTTCTTACTTCTGTTGTTGTTGCTTTGACATAAGAATTAAATTCATGTGAAACCATGGCTTAGCCTATGTTGGGAAAGGTTAGCATGACTATATATTGTAATAAAGAAATGCCAGCAAGTTCTGCTGGTGAACACACTTCTTTCCTGGAATCATTTATGTGCAACGTATTTCGTATTCCTAAGATCAGTTTCCAAATCTAGTAAAACATTCTGGACTTGTTATTTTTCTTTAAAACAGTATTCACACAGGCCTCTCAACAGTGCATAAATTACTTTGGCAGAACTAATCTCTAATGCAGACTTAACCATTATATTGACCAGACTCTTGGAATGTTCTAGTAATATGAATTTGTGACTTATTAGTGTTGCCTGCTGTTATATGGCTTATTTTGCAAATGGAATAAATACTGAGTAAGTCTAAATGGTGCACAAGTTTAGCTTAAGTGTATACATTTTGGTTCATAGTACTGCTACAATTTATATTTGAATTGCCATAGTGACAAACTAGAACTATTTTAGTGTACCATTCTGCTGTTAATGCAAATATTTACATCTTTGTGTTTTTACATTATAGAATATTTGATATTAATTAATATTGATCTTTTTCAGTTTTTAGTATACATACCTCTCACCCACAGTGAAAATTATTGTTTTTTTCTTTCTTCTTCTAACTGCTATTGTAATGTTTACAATAATCTTGACTTTAGAAATTCTTTATATAGGGTCTATATTAAAAGAGAAATAATATATAATGTCACTTCTCTATTAACAGCGCTTGTCGAATGGCTCCATAGACTCAAATGATGAAACCAGTCAAGTTATAGAACTCCAGGAGCTACTTGAAAAGCAAAACTATGAAATGGCACAAATGAAGGAACGTTTGGCTGCACTGTCATCCCGGGTGGGAGAGGTAGAGCAGGAAGCAGAAACTGCCAGGAAGGAGCTCATTAAAACAGAAGAAATGAACAGTAAATATCAGAGAGACATTAGAGAGGTAAGGAGTTCAGTATATATACCTCACATACCTTGCCATTTTTTCCTCATATACCGATACAAGCTGACAGGGATCGATGAATATGAAAAGCAAACTTGAGCAATGACAAATGCCCTTGGACATAGGAAACACAAAATTTACAGTAAGAAATAATTGTACAAATCTTGTTAGAAAACTGTATTCATAGAAGTGCATAATAGGAAGATCTCTGTGTTTTAGAATTGCTAGAGCACAAATTGGCAATTATTTCAGCCATTTCCACATTTTTATGCTGAAATAGATTTAACAGAGATGCTGGTCATGTAGATAATCATTTTTTAAAACTTTGTGCCATTATGTAAATAACAGCATTTAATATAATCATTTATTATCTGTATTCTTCTGTGACAGCTTCATGTTCCAATATGTTATTCAGTTCTCTCAATAAATCAAGCTAAGAAATTTTTCACTGCTGTATATAAGCATCAGAGAATATCCATGTCTGGCATGGAAATACATTGCAAGTTTTTTCTTTTCTACTCTAAAAATTTGTGGCTCTCCATGGTACTCTCCAGAATATCTTATGTAGAACTTGATATGTGTGAATGGTTGACTTCTGGAACCTATTTTAGTATTTAAAAGTAGAGTAATTGTCTGTAACATTCCTTTCTACAGTACAGGTATTTTATTCATGTGCATGTTATTTGTTTGTGTGTGTTTGCACATAGTGTAAATGTTTAACCTAGTATTCCTAGTTATCTGGCAGAAATGTTCCCTCTGAACTTCTGACACTACTGCAACATGAAAGCCTCTTCTCATCTGTGTGCTGTTTCTTTTAAAATACTGTATGTTCCTTATAAGGTTACAACAAAGTTTGCACGGATGTTTCTCCTTTTCGACAGCTGCTCCTTATAGAAGGGTGTCTAAATTCCTCACTCTATTTACTTTCTGACAAATATTGCTGTTTCCTGTACATCTTGATTGCTGCTTGCTGTTGCTGCCACTTCTGTCTTGCTTACTCTTTGTTTCAATCCTTTGCTTCCTAAGTGAAGTGGCCACTAATACATTTTAATCCTTATCCATAACATATATGGGTAATGTACTTGTATGTCATGGCTATGTTAAGTATCCAGCACTGTGATCATTTGCATTGTGCAATTTAAGGAAATGTCATCTGCTGTCCGTTATATTTAATTTGGCAAAAATTTTATCAGAACCTAAGAATAACAGTAGGTATGCATATACATTTTTCACAATATCACCATCCTACATTTGTATTATTATGCAATTATTTCATGCTTTCCATTTTCTGGTCAAATAACTGTCACTGTTTAAAAAGCAAACAAGTAAACATAAGCCAATTTTGCTGTGCTTACTTGCATGAAAAAATGTAGAAATTAGAAAAATATACAAAATTTGGGAATTGTTTTTCTGCTCTACCCAACAGCTACCACTTTAAGCATCTTTAGTGCATCAAACCTGAAAAGGATTAATTTCTCCTTAAAACAGAAAAGTCATGCTATACTCACCTTATGTACTGTTTGCTGTTAGCAGGAAGAGTAAACTGGTGTAAAATTATGTGCCCTTTTAATTGAATGGTTCTTGATTTTTTTTTTTTAATTTCATTTTAGGCAATGGCACAAAAGGAAGATATGGAAGAAAGGATCACTACACTGGAAAAGCGCTACCTCAGTGCACAGAGAGAATCCACCTCCATACATGACATGAATGACAAGCTGGAAAACGAACTGGCAAACAAAGAAGCCATCCTACGTCAGGTGCAGTATCTGTATTAGTCTGTTATTTTCTTCATATATAATAAAAATTAACATGAAAGGTGGGGCGTATGTAATGCATGAGATTTTTACTGGGTTAGCCTGCTCTTTTTAAAATCATGTTAATCTAAAAAAAATACGTTTGTTTTTTTCTTCTCTAAGCCTCATGTTAGCTACTACGACCATGAAAACCAAGCCAATGTGTGCATTCAATGCTGTGAAATAACTGTTTTCTAAGTGTCTTGCATAAATGTACAACGTCACAGTCCATAGGGAAAGGATTGTCTTTGTTTCTTATGTGATGATTTTCTAAATTTGGGGTTTGTTCGTTTGTTTGTTTGTTTTTGAAAGAAAAATGAATAAAAAAGGATAGCAAAAAGAAACTTCTGTCGGGAAAAAAAACCTCACAAAATTTACATGAAATGGTAGCACATTAAGTGTTTAGAATCTACAATGTAATTAAGATTTTATGAAGATAAACTATCTATGAATATCTTTTTAGAAAAGAGCAAAATGGAATTTTGCATTTGTCTATTGTGGTGCCTTGTTTCCACAGTGAATCCAAAAGCTGAAGCATAATGTCAGTAGAAAACACTTTTAAATTTTGAGGAATACAAGGTGAACTAAAATAATATGAAGTTAATATCATTTAAAATGTAAAAGATGAAATTGCCCTTAACTTCACCTTCGGTGTCCCAAGTTTTTATTTTTCCTCACCTACCATATCTTAAAAAAAAAAAAAAAAGTGGCATATGGGATAATCTATTTCTATGATTGTATGCAGATTTAGTTACACACATATGCACGCAGAACTCTGCATATATATATGTAAGTGACTACATAGTCATGGAAATCAAAGTACCAAAACTCAAATACTGCAGCTTATGCCAGTTTCTTTTGACTATTTCAAGATATATCTTCAGTTCTTTGGGGCAGGCAGGTTAGAAAGGAACGATGGAAAAGCAAAGTACGCCCATCTGTCCTTAGAGTCTTCATTACTGGTAATGTAAATCATACTGTGCTATAGAGATCTACCTACTCAAAGCAGTGATCAATACAACTACATCTTGAATATATGCAAGCAGACTCTAAGTTTATTTGGAAGATTTTCATATGACAAGCCTATTTCTTCATGCTTTTGGAGAACTGACAAACAATCTCATATCCCACTTCTTTCTCATGATGACTTCTATTACTTGGAACAAACAGGAGAGCAGGTAACAATTATCCATCCATTAGAAAATTCTAAATCATGATAGATCTCAGTAGGACAGAAAATACTGCAGTTATCAAAAGCCCTACTGTTTCTCTTCAATAGTTTTCACATATTAAACAATTTCACATTTGTAAAATGAGACAATTATAGCTTCACAATGAATAATTTCATTGAAACCTTAAGTAACTAGCAACCATTTTTTAATAGTGAACAAATTAGTTGAGTGTCAGTCTTAACATTTCTAATTACATTGTTGGCATTTGTTCAGCAAATTCACAGGGAGTTCTGTCCTTCTGGAATTGTACTTCTTTCCCATTTTAGCTTGTATACATAAACTTTTCTGTAAGGTGGATGAAATACTTCTATTTAGACATTTCTCATTTTACTGGCACCAATACTTTTATTTTGCTTAGATAAACAACACATCGACCAGAGGAGGTTTTTATTCATCTTCATAAGTACCATTTTATGATACCTTTTTTTCACCATCATATGATCCTGAAGCCTCAAATCACTCATCATTAATAAAACTGGCAGCCTACACAGTTCCATGCTTGAGGTAAAACTTTTCCAGTAAGTTCCCCCAGGTTGTGGAATACCTAAGCCTTTACAATGAGTTTTGATTGCTTCCCTGATACCTAAGTAATTGAAGGAAAGTCTTTATTCTAATTTCACTGTTTATAATTTTTCATCTATCTTTGGCCTTCAGCTGGAAGACAAAAACAGACAGCTGCAAGAGCGTCTAGAGTTGGCAGAACAGAAGCTCCAGCAGACAATGAGGAAGGCAGAAACCTTACCTGAAGTGGAGGCTGAACTGGCTCAGAGAATTGCAGCTCTGACTAAGGTACTGCCCTGAGAAGCAGGTTCATTTCAGAAGCCCCATTGTTTAACATTAATTTGCATCTTGATTCCTCAAGGACAAAAGAAAAGAAGTGTTGAGCTGATTTGAAAACATATGTCTTCTGATAAGTATGTGCCACAAGTTCAGTATTAACCAGAAATGGTATCATTGCCATGTTTCCAATTCTTACCTTTTGATAACAGATAAAATAGTTCCCTGTAAGATAACCTACAGTATATTTCCAATATATGCAAACATTAATTAGCCTGGGGAGATCTATTTTACTGTGCAAGAGTTAATGATTTAAGGATTTTTTTTTTTAAATAAAAGACATATTCCTTCACATACATATTTCTGAACATTTTCACACATCAGTTGTAGGAAACAAAAAATATTCCAATGAGAGCTACAAAAACAAAGCATAATGGCACCTGGGATGATTTGTTCAACACAGACGAAGACAACTTGCAGTACATACTTACAGGGCTTGTTTGCATGGTTCTTTGAATTCAAAAAGAGCAATGTGAAACTAGGGAGTTCAAACTGTGTATTTTGTGATAACAGTTTATTGCAGAAAAATAGAAGGTAAAAACAAACTTTTAGTAAGACAGTTTTCATATTTGTTCACTAATATTTTCAGGTGTGTGTGTGCTTAATACTGCAGTTAAGGTATTTCCAGCACCGTAAGGACATGTAATATAATGACAGACTGCATATTCTGCATATTCAAATCATGGAAATTAAAATGCATTTAAGAGATTAGTACATAGCACTGTTTTATCTTAGCTATCATTTCTCCGTTGCCAGTGACTGTTTCTACTGTTTCTAGACATTTATATTCCCAGTAATTTTCATATTTAATGGATTTACTTTTCAATTTTCATGTATTTCACTTCATAGTAAAGCCTTAAGTGCAGAGCACCTCATTAATAAAGCTTGATTACAAAAAATTTAGTTAAGAAGTAGAAACAGAAAAGTTTTGGAAGGATTTTTTAAAATGTTTTATTAAGGCAAGATCATTATTCAGTAATCAAGATTTTGTGCTGTCCACTTTAGGTTTATATGAATGGGTGGGATTCTGAAGGGCAGACTGAAAATGGTGGGAAAAAAAAGAAGCAGCAGCAGCAAAAAGAAAACTACTTGAAATATTAAAAAATATAACTGCATTTTAACTAAGAATCAGAAAGAAAGATGCACAAAAGTTCAATCCCTTAACAACATTTTTTTTCAGTTGTATTTGATTCAACAAATATTCAGATTATCTAATGCCCTTAGCAGTTTAAAAATACTATCTTTTATTTTAAATAATTTTTCCTGAATAACTTCTCCAGCAATTAGGCACCAGTAAGTGTTTTGCAGTCTCAAGTGTGTCTTTTCTTGCAACTGCATGTTTCCTTGAACATAAATTAATGACAAATATTGTAAAAATAAGTCTCATTTCAATGATGCAGAATACTCAGAAGCTTCCATAAGATACTGCTGCTATTGTAACCATAAAGCTGCAGTAGATGTGATTAGAGATCGGAGAAAAGAGCTGATGGCCCACCCCATTTCACTTTGATGTACGTTTTCAAAGCTTTTGCCAAGAAAGTAAATCTAAGGAGTACATCTGACTGTAAGGCTAGCTCATTCCATTCTTCTCTAATTACAAAAAAAAAATAAAACAACAACAACAACAAAAAAAAAACAACTAATTGTATTTAAAATTCTGTATTTTTGGAATACATGGGATGAAGAAGAATGTCAGAATACAGGCTACATAAGGCTATGGTTTATATATCTTCTGTATTACGTTTGCAAAATATAGAACTTATTAAAGTGTTGCACTGACAGCTCTGAAACTTCAGGCCCATTGCTTTTCATGAGTCACATAAAGGTAGTTTAGAACCAGTCACTGCAGCTTAAGTTGTTTTATGTCGTCTAACTGGCATAGTTAACTCCCAGCTACTCGAAAGATGCAAAACCTATCTGAGAGACTGAGTAATGCTAGGCCATTTTGTCTACATTGAGCTTTCTTCCAGCATAAAAATCATTAGTAGTACTTAAATTAGCTGGCTTCAGGCTGCCTTAAGTCTGCCTACCTGATCTGTGGTCGCTGCAATGACAATGTGCATTAAGTAGAAGATGAGTCCCCTGATTCAACTACCCTTTCAGCTCTGCAAAAAATTCAAAGTTTTGATTCTCCTTTCTTTTGTACTACCTCAATGAAAGTGACTTCACTGAGATTAATGGGGTTACAATCATGTGAAAGAGGTGAGTTAAGCCTAATGTATTTTACATGTTTATCAAAGGAAAGTACTATCAGACAACTGGAAACCATGACTGCTTCATTGTGGGTAAAATATAAGACTGGTTATTTACACATGGACAAAAACCAGAACAAACATATTTTGGAGTTGGATGTGATATTTTTTTCTCACATTTAAAATATGCATGTTACAATTCTGCATTCAATTTATTATACTCTTCCTCATAATTAACCTGGGTTGGGATTCTGCATTCTGTAGAATGAGATCCTTCTGTTGTGTCAGTTTAAAAACTTGAGTTACTTTTCTTTCTTTCTTTTTTAATATGGGCTAGTGAATGTCTTTTGCTACTTTTCCATACCCAAACTAGTTCATAAGGAGTGAACTTCCAAAAGTTTGGACTGTACAGTGAACTCAGATAAGTACTCATAAATTTACCTGAATTATTCAAACTTTTCTTTGGCTTTGTTTTCACTGTGTTCTGCCCATTGGGTGAGCAACTGGAGGGTTAGTCAGCCTGTGGCAAACTAACCTGGAACAGCATGATCCCATGTACTGTGCTGTCCTGCCTGGCTGTCACACTGGCATTCTGTCTGGTCATGACAAGTAGCACAGCTCTCAGCATGTATCCCAAGGTTTAGACTACCATGATTCATTGAGCCACCTTGTACTCACTCTCACGGGATTGGTCTGTTTGTCTGCCCTGGAGAAGAGGCAGTTGATAACAGAAACAACCACTCTCCAGCATTAACTAAAACCTTCATTTGTCCTGGACTATGTTTATTTCCCATAGACAGGACAGATGTGATAGCAATTAGCATCTTAAAATGGTTAGTCTATCAAGCAGTTCCTCATTGCCTATATTTAGAATAGTCTAATGGAGACAGCAGCATCCACTTTTTTCCATTTGGTCACTCCCACCAGCACTCACTCTCCTCTTGGGTACTTGTGCAGCAAGGGGTCCACATTCACTTCTCTGATCACAAGACAATGTAATTCATTTTAATTCATCATTCCTATATACAGGTAACCAGAAATACCAACAGTGCCTCATTTAGCTGCAAAACGAAAAAGCTACGAAAGCATTGCCATCATTTTGGGCACCAGTTCTATATAATATAATCATAATAAAATGCATTTAGCATAGTAAGAAATTCTGCTTATTTCAAAGGTGAAGAACAGTGACATGAAAGTTGGAGGCAAGTGGGTCCTGATGCAAGTTTTGTGATGATATGGGGATCTGGTCTGCATTAGATAGGGAAAAAATTACAAGATGGAAAGAGAAGGGCTATAGATGAAAGGGTGCAAATGTGATGAGGAAGGTCTCCTGCAAGCAGTGGATGTGGTTAAGTCAAAAATTCTTTTGAGAAGCACGAAGAAAGATAAGATCTATTAGCTGGAGAAGGAAGTTGAATAATCTTTGGGAAACAGAGAAAATCTTCTACAGGGAAGGAAGCCCAAGAAAACTCTTTAAAAAACTTAAAAAAAAAAAAGTTTACAACACCTCTTTGTCTTCTGAAACCACTCCTCTTCTTGTGCCTCCCCTTCCATGGAAGATTTTGTCCTATTTGATATGAGGAGGTAGTGAAAAGCAAGGTTGATGGAGCTAGCTGGAAGGCACTTCTTACTAAACATACGAGGTGTATGAGGTAGTGGTGAGACACAGGAGATACAAGAATGTGTGGATGTCTCATGACTGAAAGATTGGGTATCAGGAAAGGGGTGACTTAAGCCAAAATGTTTTTTCATTATTCATAATGGGCTAGAAGCGAGAATGAAATAACTAGCGTATAACTTTTTGAGCTGTTGTCACTCAATCACCATTGTCACTTGTTTTCACCTCCAATTGCATAGCTCAGTTCAATAATACATTATTTTATTCTCGAATAATTCACTCATTCAAGAGATAGACATGAGAATATGTGCCAGAAGAAGAAAATATGGAGACAGCATATATTCAAAAATCTCAGTCTCAAAACTGTTCAAATTGGCTTGTACCACTAGAAAAGTTGGGATTTGTTGCTGCAGCTCAGCATGAGGAAGAAAAAAGGATAGCACCTGTACTATACAGGTGCTTTCTGCATCATTATGACTGAAATTGGATTTTTTTCAGCTAAGATGCAAAGGCCTAGAAAAAGTGCAGTGCTAACAGTAACAACTAATGTAAAAGCAACATCTCTTTTGTGAGTGCATTAGCAGCAGGATTAACAGTGGAACTTTATCAGGTTACAGAGCAGTAATAAGGGCTGCTTTGGTACTCTATCAAAGAAAAATGATCCTGTTACTGACTTACAGGCAATTTCTTTGCTATATCATAGCATGTAAAGTGCAAAGTGAACATTAAGACTCGTGACGATATTTCATGGGGCCAGACATTGTTAGTTCTTGTCCAGGTGTTTTTAATTCTGTCTAAAATATACAATTTACAAACCTATTTATAATCGAATGTGCTGGCTAAATTATTTACCTGCTAATTGCTGAATACCACATTGTGTTTTAGTGATCTTTCTATACAGAATGCTAGAAAACAGGCGTGCATATCATATTTAAAAAGAACGTAGGGTGAAGTCTGCCAAGCAAGTAACCACCCAAGTTGCCCTTTAGTAGTTTTTAAGTTAATTTACCATCACCTTTAGCAAAGCAAGTCAGAAGAAATCACGTCTGCTTATGCACTTTGGAATCCATGTTGTTCTTACTATCATTTTTCCTGCTACAGTAATATGAGTAACACTGAAATGGCTGTTTCAGCTTTTGTCTTATTCTAGAAGCATTCAGTGATGCAGGCTTCTGAGTCTCCAAAAGAGCTGCCACATGCATGTCAGTTCTAACAGCATTGGAGAAGACTGAGCAAGAGGTATTTGCAAATCCCTTAGGCATTAGCTGCATTGTTTGGTCTTCATCTGAAAGGAGTTTCTTTAAGACCAAGGTTTGAACTGGTTTCTGCCTAAAGGGCAATGAGATCTTGAAGGCCTCACCTTAAGAGCTTATTCCACCTAAGCACCCTAAGAAACAGAGGTGCTGCTCTTTCCTACTTAAGCTCTTTATCTGTTGGTGAGTTTCAGCAAGTGAAAAGAAAAGGGAATGTGTATGTACTTTTCTGTCTTCCTAGGCGTAAGTAGCTTTAGACAGGCAGTGGAGTCTAATTGTTTAATGTCTTAAATATAAAATAATTTGGCTCTTTAGGAATAGCAAAGAATTTGGGAATAAGCAAACAAGTCCAAATGGATTAGGGAAACATTGAACGTTAAATACTCAAACAAGTGTTTAGAATAATTGCATTTATTTTGATACTAGGACACACTGAATTTTAATTAATCTTCAGGTATCTTTTCCTACTTAAGAAATTTAAAGAGAACTAATTTGCAGATCATCTCTGTTTTCTTTTATGCTGGAAAATTGAACACAGGTACTCTAGATCACATCCAGCAAGATCTGTAAGAGGAATGTCTGAAGATCTGTTTCAGATCTGTCTGAAAACTATCATGCAAAAAGATTTTTATTTATCTTATACATATACCTTACTGAATTGTTAATGCACTAGAAATTAATGAAATAAGCAGAATTAGATAGTTATAAGGATCTTAAAAAATCATTATTTTCTCTCAAGAGTGTTTTCTGTGTTCTATAAGAACTTTGTGTTCAGGTAGCATAAAAAAGTTCAGGAGATAATTATCCTTTTGCAGCAGTAGTTAGGGCTGATAGCACAATCATTTTATACATCGAGAGGACAGTTTCCACCCACAAAATAAGTAATGATTAAAAACCAATTTTTTATATTTGAAAAATAAATGTGTACAATATACTAGTCACACCGGTTTCTAAAGGACAGGCTGTGACAGGCAGCACCACATATCAGGAGTTTTAAATGAAATTCCCTTTGAACCTTGAAGTAATAGACTATATTCTGCATAAACCTGCAATTAAATATAAAAAGTGGTCAAGATAGGTAACTCTGTTTTAAAGTTTGCAGTCAACTAATGAAGTTTCTAAGTATTTTAATTTTGTAGGGTGATACTCCCAATGGGTTCTGTATCTTCCTCAATGAAAACAGTTTCAAAAGAAGTAGAATTCCTTAAGCCTTCTTCATCAGTAGCTCAGAGCTTTGATGACTTCAAATCTTCTCCTGACCCTTGGAGGTTCATTAAGGGAAGGCTTTGAATCAGTAGTGCAGTCAAGATTCAAAAAATCACCTTATGGAGATGAAGCTTGGTCACTTCATGGAGCGAATAATATGACTTGGCTCTCTGCAACTACAGGAAGTGAACATTTCCAGTCCTCTCTTCCTGTTTATCCAATTTAGGAAAGAGAACAGAGCATTAGCATTTGATTGCTGAAGAAAATTAATATCTAAAATTCAAAAATAAAATAGTCATAAAAGGATTGTCACTGGTACAAATCATAACAAAACAGTTTCAGGTAATGACTAAGTCCAAATAAACAGCAGGCCTGCTTCATGCTCAGAAACAGTAACTGAACTTATTAAATAAGCTTAGTTAGAAAGTCTACTGACTGCCCCTTAACATTTGCAGATGCTTGAACTTTGTGAATATGTGTAATTTGAAAGGAGTGTTAGTGTCAGTGATCTTCAAATTTATTAAATATTCTTGTATGTTATACAAGGACTTTCTATAATTATTGTCTCCATATCAAAATCTGCGGTTTATACTTATAAAACTCTAGACCATAATCTTGTTTGTATTCTGATCTTTTATTCCTGATAATACTACTAAGTTTAAGTTTAGTGTGATTACAGGTTATGACATACAGATGGAATTGTGTTGGCATCTATTGATAATTATTCTTATAAATCATTAGCAGAAAACAGTGTCTGAAAAACAGTCTCACTAAAACACAGAGCTGCAAAATTACTATTTATTGCTCATATCAAAGCTTTTTAAATCTAAAGATGGAGTTCAGAATCTCTTTCTGAGGGTAAACTTGACAGAGTGAAATATTCAGCATTTGACAAACACAAACTCACAGTTCAACTTCATTAGTAGCACTGTATATACACCTTAAGCACATTCCTATTTTCATAGCAAAAAGTCTAGTACAGTACTGTCTTTTTATTAAGTTTTGGGTGTTGGTTTTTTTTTTTCCATTTTCAATAATAATGTAGGCTTGTTTGATATGACAATAGCATGAATATTCATGTTCTGCAGTACGTTCTGTTGACCTAATTAAGGTCAACTTTAGTAGTAATGAATCTTTGGTTGGATTATTATTTCTATATTCAGTAATGACTTTCCATTCCTATTAATGAATTTTTATTTATAGGTTCTTCTTTTATCTGATGACCTTGATCTTGTCAAGGGATCCACCAGGGTGGATCCATTCAAAGGGATGAATACCATGTTGTTTATTTGGACGAAAGGACTTACATAGTGTATTCTAAGATGGAATACTGAGTTTGTCTCTTCTTACATTCTTTCTGTTTCGTGGAAGACAGGGAATGTACCATAACATTGCACAATTCTATGATTGACCAATCCATAAATTTGATAGTAATGCATTGTTTTCATTTCTAGAAAATGATAGAAAATTATAAAGGACTTTCTGCCATTGGCCTCTCGGAGTCTTGTTCTGGTGTTGGTTTGCCATCATTCCAAAAAACATTAGATTAGACAGTATTGCTTTAAATCCACTCTGTAGTAATGTGTCATCAGCCAGCCATCACTAACCTTGAACTTCCATGTGTAGGTTGATAGCTTTTTTAGCATTCCATTATTTTTCAGTTTCTCCATACCGACTGCATCATATCCACCAAGTATCAGTATAGTTTATTCCACTTAAAAATCTGTCAGTTAAAAGTATTAAATCTTCAGTCACACTTTTCTTTTAAGCATTCTGTGCTGTGTTCTGTTCAGTGTCAGTGTCTTTAGTTCTGATTTTTCAATTTTGTCCCTCTCCTTTTCCTTGACTCGTTAGTCTGATCCAACCTCTTCTACCTCATCTGGTGATTATCAATATGTTATGGAAGCTAAACTACAAGAAATGATCTCCATACGTAGGAAGGTAGTCCTACTGGACTTTACTTTCTATTGCTAAATAGAATCCATCTGATTTGTTTTGATTTTCTTTAACTTTTTTTTTTTTTTTTTAATTGATAATCAACCATCGTGCAGTTCAGTGCTTCAGGAGCTTACAATTTTACGATGGCAGGTTTGTGTTCAAACCATGCACAGTCTGCATGTTACATTTGGCTGATTTCATTGCTCATAAATAACTCCAATGTTTTGCTGATGCTTGGATGTAACAGGCCTTTGTAGCTGACACATTTCAAGCAATGCTGTTCAGCTGCCTGTTTAAATAAAGTTTCTTTTCTGAAAACTAAGTTTGCAGTTAGTAGTAGCTTGCTTTATGTTTTGTTTAAACTTTACTGAAATAAAGACACACAAAACTCATTGAATTATAGAAAGAGTCTTTTTATTTTTTACAGGCAGAAGAAAGACATGGAAACATTGAAGAACGTATGAGACACTTAGAAGCTCAACTTGAAGAGAAGAATCAGGAACTTCAAAGAGTATGTGTATTGCAGGCAACTTCTCTGTAATTTCCCTCTTTTAATTTATCAATATAGTACAACTTACACACTCCAGCACACAATTCTATCCACTGGTATATGTTTTATTTATAGAAGTGATGGCAGCATCATCACATTTTACTCAAACATCTTAATAAACTAGTTTACATCTACTTGCAGCTTTCAAAGTAGTTTGCTTTTATGAAAATGAATGTGCTTTAGTCAGTAACTGTAGCTGTATTACCTGTGGAATTTATTTAAGTGTATTCAGCTGCCATAAAATCTTTATTTTTTGGAGCTACAAGTCTGCACTGGTTAATTTTGGACCTTGCAAATCTGTCTCTTCTATTCTACACAAAAGGCAAGGCAAAGAGAAAAAATGAATGAGGAGCATAACAAAAGATTATCAGATACTGTAGACAGACTTCTGACAGAATCCAATGAACGCCTTCAGCTGCACCTAAAAGAGAGAATGGCAGCACTTGAAGAAAAGGTACAGTACAAAGAATAAAGTTTCACTCAATAAAGATTCTCTTGTATGAAACATGTTCTACATTTATCAAGATGGAAATACCATGCAGTTTTGTATACAACAATTATGACCACAAATATAATCTAACTCTTACATTCTACACATTCAACACGTCGTGCATGTATGAGCACAAGAATCTTTCCATGATCACTCTGAACTTGAAATTCTGTGTGTTATGAATCCCCGGTTTATCAACAGGGAGCCTGGTTAATTGGCTCATGAAGAACCAGGGCACAGTGTGTTACAAGGGAGTGAGATAAAGGGCATTGGAACTGAGAAATGACCATGTTTCAGATATGCCATCAATCCTGAATTTCAGCTTGCTGATTTTACCTCACTTCCTCTGGAAGAACAACATACTCCCACCACAGGAGGAAAAGAAATGTTATTTACAGGTTTTCTGTGATGAGCTAACTCTGAGAACTTTTTATTTATCCTTCTTTAATCACTCTCTCTTTAGTCTGATCTAAGGGGAATCTTTCAGTATATTTATCCTGAAATCTTTTGCAGGATATAATTCAGGTTTACATCATTGAAACAAAATGTTGTAACAAAGCAAGATATAGACCTGCCAAAAGAGGGCCTGGACAAAATAATTGTGTAAGAGCATGATGGTTGCTCAGTTCAAGGAAAATGAGAAGTTTTTGCTCTTTTTGAAAAAACAGGCTAATACATTTTTTAGTAATTTACGTATTCAAACTGAAGCTTTAAAGGATTTTAGTTTTACAATCGAGTGAATGTGCAGGCTCATTTCTTAAATTTGCTAACTTCTACATGGAGATTACCTGCATTTGGTGATCTCTGTTATATAATATTTCTCTGATTTCTTTCTGCTTATCTTTATTTCACTTTTTCATTTTATTTGTAGAACGTGTTGATTCAAGAGTCTGAAAGTTTCCGGAAAAATCTGGAAGAATCTTTACATGACAAGGTGCTACTAAAACTTATTTTATCTGTTCCCATAAAAAGTTAAATACTTGGACATAAAATACACTCAATCATCCATATATCATGTGAAATCTTCCTGGTACTTAGGATAATTCCTGTAATCACAAAGATGTTTTCAATAGCCAATGATGGTCTCTAACAAGTCTTCTGAGATAAGTTCATGGTTGAAATCCTAGCCTCGGGAACCCAATACTAAAATTTGTATTAATTTCACTGGCTCTGTAATTTTTGTTCTATTAGATTTAATTCTGAAAAAAAGTCTTCTTTAAGAGAAATGTGCATGTAACTGGTTACACTTTTATAGTTACAAATGTTATTTCTTGTTATGATGCAATTCTTAACAGATGCTATGGCATTATGCTAAGTCTAACTGAAAATGTCCTTTCTTAGTTCATTGCAAATTAACCCCTAATACTGCTTAGTGAATCAGTCACATTAATAATAAATATTATTCCAATCCCAAATATTAAAATTTTCCTTTGTAGTTATAGTTGCCTTGAGGGCAGCAGCATTTTTCACAAATCTAATATCTGCATTCAGATTCACAGAAGTGTTTTTTTAATGTATCAAATCTACTAAAAGAATTTACAAAACAGAGCTCAGTTCAACACGAAAATAAATGTGAAATTCAGTATCCAAAATCAACAACTTTCAGAAAAACAGCAAAGAAGGATCTGTTCAAATCAATTGCCATTTTTAATCTATATTCAGACAATCTTCTAGAAAAGCAGAAAGTCTGAGAAGGGAGCTCATGAAATTGTCTGTGCTCTTGGCAGCTGCCAATATTTTTCTGAAGTGAGAGAAGCAGTTTAGAACTTACTTAAATGGAATTTATACTGCAGTAGCTCCTCTAGAGCAACTTATTGAATATCTACTGATCTATAATAGTAGTATCTTTACATGATGTAGTTTATTGACTGATTTATTGGGTAAGTATACCCTAGTAAGTGTTGTACTCACCTGCATAGATGTATTCTTTCCACTACTATTTGTTTTATCTTTTCAAAGTGTATGAATGATTTTGTTGAGGAACGTTCTGCAGGCTTTCTTTTCAAAGCAAAGGATAGGAGACAATTGTTACAAACAGCACTTCTTTTCCCTAGTCATTGATGTAGAGCTTTTTTCTTATTTTGTTCCCAAATCCAATTTTTTGGCGCACTTTAATATTTCACAAGCAGCACCGTGTGCTGGAGTTTTAGAAGCTCTCAAGAGTGCACTGTGAAGCTGCAGGTGTACAGAAGACTTAAAATCTAGTTGTCTCTAAGTCTGTGTTTCTGTTTGTAAATAAAAAGGCGAGTAGCCAATCTCCACCTCTAAGGGGCAAATGGTGCATCACAAGCTGATCTATGCTTGGTGTCCAGTTAGTGCACAAATCAGTGTTGTTTTTTCTTTTCCATGCCATAGTGTCACAGAAAGAAAAAAAATCAGGTTTCAACTATAAACTTGTCCTGTCATCATCTGCAGATAGTGGTAAAATGATAGGGAGACTGATGCAATCTCCTTTTGATGTGTAGGTCCTTTAGCGATAAAGAGGCTTGAATGAGTCTGCTTTTCCTTATTGTAGGCATATCTACATTCAGTATATTTTGTCCTAGTTATTTAGTCTTATAAGGTTAGTATCTCAGAAACTTGAATATATTTTGGATCGCAATTAAGTATGTCTTCTTATTCTGATTTCCAGGAAAGACTTGCAGAAGAAATTGAGAAACTGAGATCTGAACTGGATCAAATGAAATTGAGAGCTGGTTCTTTAATTGAACCCACATTGTCAAGGTAATATTTAATGCCAAATGTTTCCTCATTTTGAATTGAAAGAGAAGGTAAGCATAAGTGACAAGACTTTAAAATGATGCATTCAGACCACGTATAATCATGTATTTCTTTTAAACTACAGGATCTGTGGAATTATTATTACTGTTGTTTTTCACTTTTTTTTTCTATAGGTAAATGGGGCCTTGTAGTAGTGAGTATACACTGAAGTATTACTGTGATTAAGGGAAGTCTTTTGAAATTACAGTGATTTTAAAAGTGTAGCCAAATACCCTTCCCCCCCCACCCCCCCAAGATTTTTTGATAATGAAGTTATAACCATCACTGCATCTAAGATTTATTATTATTATTATTATTATTATTATTATTAAGAAATAACATAGCTTTGCCTAGTGTGTAGGACAAGACCACATAATGTCATCTGAAGGCAGTACTCAGAGAGATTTGAGAACATCCTAACAGGGCACTGAACAGTGAGACAGGTACTGTAGGTACTGCACTACTAACAGCTTAAATCAATTTATTATTCTAGAAAGGCAATTATTCTTTCCTAAATTTCTTCTTGCCCTAAAACTCAACCTTGAATTTCTTTCGAAATAATACTTTTCATAGAATCACAAAATATCCTGAGTTGAAAGGGACCCACAAAGATCACAGTGTCCAAATCCTGGCTCCACAAAGAACTACCCAAAATCAAACCCTATGTGTGAGAGCACGGTCTAAACACACTCTGAACTCTGGCAGCTCGGTGTTATGCCCACAGCCCTGGGCAGCCCGTTCCATGCCCGCCTCCCCGGTGCAAACCCTTTCCCTAACACCCAGCTGCCCTCCCCTGACGCAGCTCCATGCCGTTCCCTCGGGCCCTGCTGCCCCTCCACCCCCTGTGAGTGAAGGAGGCTTCAGTCAATATCTGTAGCTGTATTACCTGTGGAATTTATTTGTGTTCAGCTGCCATAAAATCTTAACTTTTTGGAGCTACAAGTCTGCACTGGTTAATTTTGGTTCTTACAAATCTGTCTCTTCTTGCTCTATTCAAAGCCATAGTCTATAAATGTCCTAAATGCATTTTTATGGAAAATTTGTAGGTACTTGTACTTAGATTTCATATTTCTCTCCAGTTAAATCTCTCAAAATAAATAATTATAAACTATGCTATTTTTCAAAAGGCAGTTCTCCAATATTTTCATAACGAAGGACTGTAAAAACGTGTTACAGATATCCTCACTCTTGAACAATTTATTCAGCAGCCAGTTGTGCTAATTATCTTCATGTTGAATTCTGTTTCTTCGATTCTTTTCTCAGGCCTCATCTGGACTCATCAGCAGAGTTGAGGTATTCTGTGGGCTCACTGGTGGAGAGCCAGTCTGACTATCGGTCAACTAAGGTGATAAGGCGACCTAGAAGGGGACGCATGGGAGTACGCAGAGATGAACCAAAGGTTAATATCTGATTTATTTTCCTGTATTCTTTAAAATGAAAATGTTTTTCAGGCTGTTAAATTTAAGGCTTGCATATTTCTGGAAAACCAAATAAATGAATAAGCACAAACACCAAGAGTAGGTTTTTTTTCTATTTATACATAGATCACTGTTGTACTAAAATGAAGGCAGAAAACATTGAAGTTCAGACTCCAAAGTTTGAGCGTATTTGACTATTTGTCTTTTTTCATTATCTTCACAAACTTTCCTAGCAGTTAACTTTACACAGCATTAGAAATTATGTGAAAATAGTTTACATCCTCCACAATGCCAATCAAATGCCTTCTTGCCATAACATTGCACGTATCGATGGAGAATAATTATTGAATAAGTATTCTTGAATGTGAGTTACTTTCCTTCTCCATTTTATAGTTCAACTATGCAACTGTTTTCTGTGGAATAAGACATATATGTCCTAATTCCTGCTTAGGTAAAATCACTTGGAGATCATGAGTGGAATAGGACTCAGCAGATTGGTGTTTTGAGCAGTCATCCATTTGAAAGTGACACTGAAATGTCTGACATTGATGATGATGATAGAGAAACGCTTTTCAGCTCCATGGACCTCTTGTCACCAAGTGGCCATTCTGATGCCCAGACGCTGGCCATGATGCTTCAGGAGCAGCTAGATGCAATCAATAAAGAAATCAGGTATGTAGCCTTGAACCAGCTGTGGTGCATTTCTTGATTACAGCTTTAGGGTCCTTTCAGTGCATGAGCATAGATACCATTCATAACAATTTGGAAACCACTTGTACATTTAAAGGATTGATAATCTATTTATCTATAGATAATTTACAGATTTATTCTGTATTTATTGCGTGAATAGAACATTGACTTCTGTATTTTCTGACAGTAGGGAAAAAATGGTTTACTGTCAAATAAAAGTTTCTTGCAAAGGACCACTGAGCAACTAAAAATAAATGCATAAGAGAATGTGACACATGGCAAATTTTACAAAATTCTATTCATAATCTTTTCAAGATCTTTCTCCCTGTTCTGTATAAATAACTACTCACAAATTACCTCCTATGTGAAATGCTTTATTTCATTTCCTGTTCATGTTTTCCTCTGGTAACTTTTCCAATGTTACATTTCATATAAGCCACACTTTCCAAGAAATTGCTTTGATTTTCTATTGAACACAGTTTTTGTTGTTGTTGTTGTTTTCATGCACCTGATAGGTTATAGTACTGGGAAATAGGTAGTAAAATAATTGTGGCTTGCTAGTTTTTATGCAAATTTAATGGAATGAAGGAGAATTGAGTAACATAATTTATTTAAGGTGTTTTTGTAAATGAAATCATGTTTTAGGCTGAAAACTTTCTTACAGTTTTTCAGGAAGAGTAACTTTTTAATAAGTTGATGCATCAAAAAAACATCATTTCTCTGGAAGATGTTATCAGTCACTTCTGGTAATTCTATGGACAGGAAGTGTATGTTTAGAAATACAATCAAAACCAGATTACCTTTTCAAGATCTCAATCTTTCTTTGCAAGGTAGTTTTTGAAAAAATTGAAATATATTGACTGGATAACATTTCTAGTTCAGGCAAGATCTTTTATTAGAGATCTGTAGCTTTTGGTTTTTGCTACTTCCAGAATTGAATGAAGATTCATGTGGGATTTAACCCCGGTGTAAACCAAGACAAAAAAGGCAAAGTGAAATTTTGTTGTTGGGAGGACAGAGCTCCCTAAAACAATGCATTTTGAGTATGTAAAAGAGAAATCCATCAATATTTTCCATTACTGCAAAGAAGTAAGCAATTCAGGTTGCTGTAGATTCAACAAATGTATTATATATATATATATATATATATATTAGCATTTTAACAATTTAACAAGTAATTTATAATACAGTAAAGAGTTTTGAAAAGAAGTTGTACTTGAAGGTGACATAATGAGATATTACTTGTGCCATCTTGAATCAAAACATTCTTCTACTAAACAGAGGATCTTGAATTAGGTAGTAGGTATTGTTTTATGTCATGAAAGGAAATAAAAAGGGGACACATTGTATATAGTCATTTTTGCTGGGGGTCACTTATTTCCCCTACTAATACTTGTATACTGGGATATAGGCTTTTATTTACCACCACCATTATTATCAAAATCCAGACAATTAATTTTATTATGTTTTGATTTTAATGTTTCGGGGAAAAAAAAAGATTCTATAAGGATAGTCATTATAAACTGTATTACATTCCACATTTTTTTAGTCTTTTTTTGTTGGCGAAAGGAGGTTTGTCAAATGAGTGGGAGATATCAGGAGATTAAAAACTAGTTTTGAGTTGGTTGTATTATATGAGGCTATTCAGAATTTAGATATTTTGCAAAATATCTAAATATATACAAATATATATATGTGTATATACAAAACAAAGAAGATTTGTTCTGAATCTCTCTCAAAATGTTATTTGCCATTGAGTTTCTCAGACTTCTCATTACAGAAAGAACAGTAGGTGTTTTGTAGACACTTTGAAATAGATTTTAGGGAAGAAAATTTATCACAGCACAGGGATTTTTAGGTTTCCATTTTCAAAGTATTACGTTTTAATTTATTGTACTTCCTCCATTTCACGTTAAGAAAAATAACAAAACCAAAAAACCTCAAGCCTGGTTCACAGATTCAGACTTTCCATGTTTCAAATTCTGTCATATTTTACAATGATCCCTCATCCATTTTCCTTATCTTTGCAAACAAAAAAATTCCTTCTGACTTGGTTTGTGTTCAAAACATATACAAGAAGTCTTTTATTCTTAATATATTTTTCTGAAGCAAAATAACCCAGTTGACACCTTCTATTGAAGCTATGCATGTTCAAGAAACTAATATTCATTTCCAGTGAGAGCTCTTCCAATGAAATTCACTTAAAAACTTAATGCTTTACAAACAGCTGTCATCTTTTCATCAATTTGTAGGGATGAAACAGACAAATTGTCCTACATGTTCCCTTGCTTTACTAATATAGATTATCTTAGCAATTCCCTTCTCAAAGGCGACCTTTCAGACCATTTGACCTTAAATTTTTCTTTATGGTTTAGCAAAATAAAGTCAGCTGAATTCAACTTAAGATTGGAATTATTTTCCTATGGTAAATAGGATCGTTCACTCTCCCTCTCTTTCTCCCATGCAAAGAAACCAATCTTCCTGAGATATCATACATAAATTCTTGTTGTTGGGCAGATTCTTCAAACAGGTTTCGAGGTTGGAGGAATAGGAGAAAGGATTTTATAATTCTGGTGATTAAAAATACCTAAAACATTATTATTTTGGAGTTGATCTGTGAAACTAATATTTGCTTTCTTTTTGTTTTGAGAAGAATGATTTTTTTACATTCAGTTTTGGTGCATGCAGAGACAAAGGTAGAAATTGCAATGAGAAATTAAAAATACAGTTACCAATGGGCATAGGTAACCTCTGCATAAGTATTTATTTTGTGCCAGTGTGTGTCTGTGTGCAAAATGATAAGTACCAAGGAAGAAAATTTTGCTTTCAGAATCTAGAAATACTTTCAGAGTATTAATGTTGTCCTAAATCCAGCCATGTCCTTTAATTTTATAAGGTTAATCCAAGAAGAAAAAGAGTCAACAGAACTGCGTGCTGAAGAGATAGAGAACAGAGTGGCTAGTGTGAGTCTGGAAGGCTTAAATCTAGCCAGAGTCCATCAAGGTACATCCATTACTGGCTCAGTGACAGCATCATCACTTGCAAGCTCTTCCCCTCCCAGCGGACACTCAACTCCTAAACTCACCCCTCGCAGTCCTGCCAGGGAGATGGATAGAATGGGGGTTATGACGCTGGTAAGAGACTCTGTGATGCTAATTTGGGGTGTGATATTTCTAGCATCATCTTTTACTGTATGCATGGCTCATCTCTGGCATCCAGATGTAGCTGTGCTAAAGCTCAGATGGATATGTCTGTGAGTTTCAGCCAAATTCTTAATGTATCGGGAGCCACAGAAGTAGTGCCCCACAGCCTCACTTCACTCACCCTGTCTAGCACATACTTTGATCTTTTCAAGATACTCCCCCTGAGTTGCTTTAGCAGAAGTTGAATGTGAAATATCTCCTTATCCTTCCTGGCTGGGGACAGACACAATATACTATCAGACATCCTCTGAGAACACTGAGTTGGAAAGAGTTATGTAGAAGTCTCATCTCTAGAACCCAAGTTACCAAATGGTCCTGTAGGGGTTAGCTGGAGGAGCAGTATCCCTGGAGTTTCTGCAGCCAAGGTTGACACAGTGAATACATTCTGCAATATCTTCAGCTCTGAATGAGTGGAGAAAAAAAAAAAAAGGAAAAAAAGAGTTAAACATGGCACATTCTAGCAACTGCCTACTGCCAAATAATATTGAAGTACAAGAGATGGATGAATTTGTATTCACTGACTCAGTAAGACACGGTAAGAGGAGAGAAATGACCCTTTTTCAGATGTGCTATTTGCTGATGATATTTTATGTTTATACTTGGTGAAACACTGATTTGTTTGCAATATTTCATAAAACTACAAAGTCTTAGGGGACATGCTTACTGAAAGATTTTATATGAAAAAATTTTATAAAGTGCTGTCATAAATTTGGAATGTCCTATTCTATTCTAAGTTTATAAAAATGAAGGGAATTGTACCATTAGAAAAAGTAACTGCTTTCAGAGACAGTGTATTTGTGAAGCATTGTACCACCATGTTTACTTTTATGTTCAATATATGGGTAGTATTAAATTTTGGATGTTAGAAGAAAGAGTGCGTGGCATTGTTATGCTCAGATAAGATATATTAATCATTCTTTTTCTGTTGTTGTTGCTTCTTTTGTTACCGATTTAAGCCAAGCGATCTAAGGAAACATCGGAGAAAGGTAAGACTAGCTTTTTTTTAAGTCAGGAAAGTGCATTCACCATATTCCTCTGCTGTTTAAATCACTATGTTCCTTCCCACCCATTTCACCCCCTTCACTCCTTGTCACCCAGTCCCCAAACATAATAATTCTAAATTTACCTAAAGAGGCTTGCAGTAGTCCTTACTATTCCAAGAATCAAGGCTCACAAGTGATACTTTGGAGTAGCCTCCCCAGCACACACTTAAAAGAAACACAGTGAAAAACAAGAAAACAAGAAAAACAAGTGGGCATAAGAATTACCTTCAGATGTATTTTGGCCATTTTTAGGAGAAATCAGTCAGACTGCTTGAAATCTTTGGAGTGGTATGAAGTTATTTGCGGAATTGTCACTGAATGTGGGCTTTATCTTTACAAGAGTAGAGACAATCTTCAATTTAAATTATTATACGTTGTGACAAAACCTTTTCTTCCATGCTTATTTTCAAGTACTCTGACCAATCTGTTATCATGCTTCAGAGGGATTGATCTTGTTTATGTCTGTATTTACCTTCCACCTTACCTGAGAATTTTGTTTCATGAATAATCCTGTTTAATGCAAAAAAATTGCTCATGAATAAAGTTATTTTCATGCTTAGACCTTTACTGGATCAACCTGTTTGTCATAAAAGAAATGAATTTCTCCTGCAAATATAGTCTTTGTTCTTTCATATATATACTGTAAGCTACCATGTTTAGTCAATCTTGTTTTTTTTTTTCCCAATAGTCTTTTTAAGAAATAAGAAGCCTTCTTATTATTTTTTTTTTAAACCTCCTTTAAATCCATAAATGCTTCAGTTCAACTGGCAAATTTCTGAAGCATATGCTGAAAAGCTGATGAAAAGCTGTTCAGGTCTAAATGGTGTATCTCTCCCAGATTGCAGTAGTCGAAGAAGATGGACGTGAAGATAAAGCCACGATCAAATGTGAAACTTCTCCCCCTCCAACACCCAGAGCTATCAGAATGACTCATACCCTTCCTTCTTCATACCACAATGATGCCAGAAGGTAATATTTCCATAACGTGAGTCAGAACTGAACTTTTGTGTGCTATAAAATGGCCTGATTTCCTCATATTTCTTGTTGGCAATTGCTTCCCCTGCCATAAAGAATAAACTTTTATCTTGGTCTCCTTTGTGAAGATGAAAGTATTTGTCAGTGCTAAAATTGACAAATTCTGTTTTAAGATATAGTTTTGATCCCTACCAGAAGTACTAGAAGTAGGGATCCTGCATTTCCTAGAAAGACAAATATCAGGCTGATTCCTGTATTTATATCAATTGCAAACAAATAGCAAACAAATATTATTATTTATTTCTGGCCCTGTATTGCTTTACATAATGCTAAATCAATTAAGGAGCAAGATGGGATTAATTGTTTCAGTTGTGGGAAGTTTATTACTAACTTATAACGAATTCATTTATTTGCACGGCCGCAAGAAGAAAGTAAAAAATGTTAATATGTTATCTGTTCTATGTCTTTATTGTCATTTATAGTAGTTTACCTGCTTCATTGGAGCCAGAAAGTATTGGTCTTGGCAGTGTCAGTAGCAGTCAGGACTCCCTGCACAAAGCTCCAAAGAAGAAAGGAATCAAGTCCTCGATAGGACGCTTGTTTGGTAAAAAAGAGAAGGCTCGACTTGGACAGCTCAGTAAGGAATTAGTGGTACCAAGCCGTGGTCACCACTTCACAATCATTTTTCCTTTTTTAATACGTTCTTCTCCACTTTCCAGTTTGCTTTTTTTTTTTCCATTTACTCTGATGGAACCTTGTCATTAGAGACTCCGTTGCTATCAGAAATTATATGTCAGGAGTTTGCTGTGACTTTAACACATAAATGAAAGAAGACTTCTAACACAAATTACAAGTCATTCTCTTCACTGAACCTAGTGCTTCAATACTCTATTAAATTACAGTTAAAATGCTAACAGTGTGTTCTCAAATAATCAAAATAAAAAAGAGGTAAGAGAGTACTAAGTATAATCCCACTCTAAGGGGTATATCTACTATAAAAGGTCCTTGCAAGAAAGTGCATTTGCCTTTCTTGTTGCAGCACATCAGTAGATGTCTACTTGTACCTGTCACTGATGTCCTCACCATACTCTTGCAGTTAGCTGTGCTGCCTATGGCAATGCTTTATTTTCCTTGTATTTCTTTTCACCTTCTCCAAGATCTTTGTCTAATTCATGTCTGGGAAAATTTTTCTTCTGAAATGTTCCACAGGACGTGTCCATACCATTTGCAAAAAAAAAAAAAAAAAAGAAACATCAAAACAGTCATGGCATAATTTTATTTAACTAGCTACAGGTAGCAAAAGCAATGGAAAGTGAAGCCTTTAGCACAGTCTCATAGTCTGCATACCCAAACAGGTAATTACATACACATGTTAACGCAAACATAAATTTGGTATAGATGTGTCCATAAAATTTCCTAGACATGAAGATGTCTGAGCACAGTTTTGTGAAACACTGATTTTTTACTGCCGTGGTGTCCACATAACACCTGTAAAAAAAATTTAAAGGTCTGCAGTGATTGTAAATGGTGGAGTAATACATAGGCCCAAATTAAAAAAAAACAAAAAAAAAACACAAAACCCACCACCACCATTAACAAAACATCTTCATTCTTATTAATATATATTATCATCACCACTAACGAAACCATCACTGAAATACTACAGCATAAAGCTAGGTAATATTGGGATCAAAGTATCAGAGTAAAATCAAAGGATTAATTGTTCTCTATTTACACCCCAACTTTTCTCCTCTTTCTCTTGTGTTCTTGTAAAGAAAACCAGCTAATTTCTAGTCTTAATTTAAATTCCTTTCTTTTTTCCTTAGTGTGGGAAGAATAAAATTAATTTATTCAATCATCTTCACAGCTTATTTCAGAATCCCATTAATTAGATCTCCCAAATACTCCTGCATGTCACCATCTGCCTGATTTTGTAACTTTAGACTGTGGCTAAATTAATTCTTAATTCACATTTACATTCCATAAAAACAATTGTATTGATACTGATGGATTAGGTATAATAATCTATGATTTCACAGTAATTTGGGAATACAGAGGACGAAGATGTAATAAATTCGTTGGTCTTCCCTCCAATTATTTTCAGTATGAACAGAAACAAAATAACACCTTGAAAGATTGTCTAAGGAGCAATGTAATCTGGCAATAGATTAATTTCATAATAATACACAAAATGATTAATAAGACATATGTATAATTGGCCAAAGCCTATTTCTAATTCCCAACACTAGCTCATGAAATTATAATATTAGCTATTAATGAAGATTTGCAATTATATGAAATTTTTGTGTCATCTATTCTTTAGCTTAAAAGCAAAGTTATTCACATTAAAGAAGCAACACCGGATCCTCCAGTTTTATCACTAGGTTTTTCAAATCCAAGCTATCACTCAACATATTACCTTGCTCAACGTTACCTTCAAAACTTAGTTTCCCACTGCTAAACTCCTATTTTTTTCATAATTATTTTCATAATATGCTATCTTTATCATCTCTGTTAAACCATCTGTGTCATTGTTCAAAGGCAAATTTCATGCCTTAGGGTATCTTTCTTAGCATCAAGATTCCATGTTACTAATTTCTTCCAGACGTCTTTTATTTACTGAAGAAGGAGAAAGGAACGTTACAGAGGATGGGAGTGTCTTATTTCATTTTCTTAATTTGTTTGATTTTAACTTGATCCAATCTTCTCTCTTTCGGGGAATAGCACTCTAGACATTCACATGTTCTTCCCATTTTGTTTTAAATATTCTAGTCCTTAAGGCAAATAATAAATAAAGGGAAATTTAGCCCCATCCCAGCAAGGTGGTCTGTATGATGTATTCAGCTGGTTAGGAACATTTATCACGGCCATCTACATGCCTGAGGTACAGACAAGCACAATGACCCCATCCACTGCAATGTGCCATAGGTCATTCACAGGCCCAGATGTGTTTGTTGTGCGATAAAATCTGCTATGCTGAGAATACTTTGCAGTCTGGGATAATCTGTCATCGTTTCATCAGCACATTTCCCCACTAAGATTAATAAATAGTGATGGCATTGCTCAATTACGGCCATGAGGCTGAGCCTTAAGGAGGCTGAGAAAAACAGGCAAAAGAGATCAGAGTCTCTTTCTCAAACATTTCTGCTGAACGCAAGGAGGAGGAAACAATTTTTCTTTCTACTTCTTTTCATGTACTAAAAATAAACACCTGCCAGAAGCAGTTCTCCACTACTCCAGATGTCATAGATGACTTTGAAGGAGGATGGAACGGGGATTGAAGAGTTGAGGGAGCCACTGGGAAAGAGCTATGGGAAAATATGTATTTCTTTTCCCTCTTTCAACACAGGAGGTTATATTGAAACAGAAGCGGCAGCACAAGAGTCTCTGGGATTAGGCAAACTTGGAACCCAAGCAGAAAAAGACCGAAGGCTAAAGAAGAAGTGAGTACCGTGTTCATGTCACTTTTATTGTCTCGTGCTTGAATCAAATGTCAATTTTTGTGTTGATTTTATGCAGATGTGTACCAAGAGGCATCACCATCTACTATGGCAGTTTTTGACTTACTGTATTTTTTTCTACAGTAAATGTTTTTAAAGCTGCGTATGAAATATAGGAAAAATAGGAAAAAATAGTTTTCAATTGCACTACATTGTTTCATTTGTAAAGCATTAAGAGACGCTTTCTATTTCCCATTGTAATTAGTTTTGAGCCTTTTGGTAACAATAGTTCTGAACAAAATAGGAAGGCAGTGAAAAAAAACATTATAGTGACTTACTACATGATTTTTTCTGAACAGAGAAAAATTGTTCACATTATCCATTGAACAAGCATTGAACATTGAAGTCAAAGGCGCCCCACAAGCCCTAGCAGCTTCAAATTCTTTTTTTTCCTGTCAGCAAATGGCAACCTCGCTGGTTGTTCGCCTAAATCATGTAATAATTTAACTGTCTCTGGTTCACCTACTTGTAACACCAGTACATTGGTTGATGGCAGCTGCCAGGAACTAAGGAGAACTATTAAAATAAAGCTTTAAACACAAAAGATACATCTTGGCAGCATCACAGTTCCAGTGTAATTATAGGGTGTCTGAGAAAAAAAAGATTATATTTAAAAATGAGGTTGAAAATTCATTTAGTAAACAGGTTTATGTTTCATCCATAATTACTAATTTAGTGCTATTATTTGGATTCTGAAAGCCTGATTTTTAAAACGTGGTGTTTTCTGGTCTCTTTCAGTCTTTTAATGCTCCTTTGCAGTTTCAAGATAAGTTACAATCCAAGGATGTATTTCACTTATTGTTTAAACTTAAATGTAGAATATCTTTAACAACTACTTTTGTATCAAGTTTGTTTAAAAGCACATATCTGTGTAACATACAAATCTAAGTGTTCAGTTTAAATCAGCCTCAGTTTAGCAATTAAAGAGCATTCATTGTGCTAGCTGGCAGAGAAGAGTCATTTTCAATTCAACTGAGATACTCAGAATATTCATAGGGGTTTTTTTGGTTGTAAATCTATTATCAATCACCATTTATTAAGAAATATATGGAAGTATAGGGTATATTACTACACCTCTTTATTAGATTTTAGAAAGCATTCCAATGACTATTCAGCAGTCTATTGTTTTTTTTTTGCAACCCCTATTTATATTCAAGCTCTGGAGAATGAAGATAGCACAAAAAGAAAGGGACAAATGTGTTCATTTTGAAAGGACAAATGTCTTCACTTTGTCATATGTTATAGTTATTTAAACTGCATAAGCTAGCCTAACACTTGACACATACTTGACAGTACTTCATACATGATAGTGCCTACCAAGTTTTTGGTCTAGAAAACGTAGGTGTTTAAATAACCAGTTATTAGACTTCTGTCTAGTCTCACATAACGAGACTTCCCCATGCCATCTTCTTTTCAAGTCTTTCCTTTTGTTTTTCCTTTTATCTGTCTTCTGTCCTTGGCTCTTTAAGGATTAAGTGTAAACAAAATATTCTCTGCTGGAAGGAAAGGAATCTTTCCTTTGTGACCATCACTTGGCTGTGACAGATCATCTGGTCTGAATTGTATACTGTAGTATATGCTATTTACCTGTGTCATTAAGATTTTTTTTTTTTTTTCACCACTTTAGATTTATCCATATTCATAGCTTCTCACTTCACTATGACTACTTTTAAGATTCCTCTTAATTTACTATCACAGAAATGTTAACATTATATAACAGCTATAGAAGTACTTTAGTATGGGGAAAATGTAATATTTGTGTGAGAGAGATATGTGGGATTCTGCTGAATTGTAATTGCCACTGAGTGCTAATTATCAATAGGGTAGAAGGGAACAAACATTTCATAATAAAGAATGTATTTGCATGTCTTACCTTGGAAAGTATTCGGTTGAGTCTCTCCAAAAAGTCAACTGAATGACAAGTTTGTCTCAGTCGGTCAGATTCAATTTTGCCAATACTTAATGATGCATAACTACCCTTGGAAGTAGCTTTCAATTACATACAACAGCTGTAATATTACTGATTTGGGTAATGCAAATGAGAAAGTAACATTAAAGATGATGCTTATGTATACGATGTCTTTGTAAAAATAATAAGAGGAGGGTGAGAATTTTCAGTCTTACGATAGCAGTAAGATTTAAATTTGAATGTTTGATTCCTTCTTACTGCTGAACAGACTCTACAAATTCCAGAGGCTGGAACAGAAATAGCAGAGCACCTTGTCTTCTAAGAATTTCTTTGGCTAATTTAGATTAGGATATAGAGTCCCAAAGGAATCAGGCCTACCAGAAGAATAGTTAAAAGTAAGGAAGTTTTTCATCATACTTATTTACAGGTCTGGAAGACCTTTACTCATGCTGGCTTTGTTACTTAGGAAACAAATTCAGTGGTCCAAGAGCCTTTTCTAGGAAACAGGAATAATACCTCAGTGTTGAACTTGTATTTCTCCCTTACACACAGAACTCGTGTGAAATGGTTTTCATTTGTGTTAGCAGCTCAATCAACTTCTCTTTCACTTCAGTGGTAGAACTCGCAGATGCAGGAAAGCTAGGATTCTGCCCTTGATGTGAAACCAAAGTTAGGACTCATCACTGCAACTAGAACACCTCAAAGGACTTGGTAGCTTCATAAAGCTCATGTAAGGTTTAATTTACCAGATTTTGAAGTTAGGTTTGAGTTAATGAGTTAAAAATTAGATAGATGCAGTTCCTGTTAAAATGTATTTATTTTGTTTGAAGTAACCTCTTAAGTGAAAAAAATGCCTTAAAACGCTAAACTTGTAATTTTGTATTTCTGAATGTATTCAACTCTATCATTAATTCAGTAAGTATGCCCCCTTATTTAAGGATGAAGATGCATGTTGTTTCACTCCATAATCTGCTGCAGCCTGTAGGTGCTAATGGCCCCCAGGTATCCTGATGACCTGCTCCTGGAACAGCAAGCACATGCACTGACCCTGCACTGGCTTCATGGAGTTACAAACACTGTAGTGTGTTAATGCTATTTTAGCAGGATTCGTACGCATCGCTTAGATTCTTGATTAATACATTTCACTTGAGAGAGTTTCCTGAGATCGTACGATATCTCCAGAAACCAAACCCTCTCCAGTAATAATGGTGTAATTAACCTAAATTTTAAAGTTTTCTTGTTTCTTCCTTAGAAGATGTTATTAAGATGTTACATTTCTTTCAGTTTCAATCGACTACTTCATTAAAATGTAATCATTGGTTTGCTTCAGTGATATGCTAAATTTAAAGACGTCAAACAAAAATCTCTTTTGAATCAACATTTGCATATTGCAGTAAATGTATCCGTAACAAGTTTTTCTTCCTAAAGCATCAAGGACAAACTAAGGAAGCTGTATAGATTTTTTTTTTTAAATATAACCTCATCATATTCCTCAAGTAATCTGAAAAGAAGAGGTGAGGATGCTTCAGTCATCCATAAATGTTTACTCTCAGACCTGAAATACATGATAGGTCTAGCTATTACTAAACTTTGTATGTCTTAGGTAGCACAGAAGTTTGAATGGGTTCTGCTTTGCCTTTCAAATTGCAAAGTGCCAGTAGTTCAAATCCTTTTCAAGTGTTTGATTTGATCTGCAACAATATCTTCTCATATTTCAAAAACGTATGTTATTAGGCATTTATTGCTGGTTTCACATGTACTCCACAGTACAATGTTTCTTAGAAATGAAAAACTAGGAAGCTTGGAAATGAACATTTTAAAATTTAAAACAATGAAACCACCCGACCTGAAAATAAAAGGCATCAGTGCTTAGATACAGGTTTGCCTGGAAATCATTACATCATCAAATTCAAAACGATTATTATATTTTTGAAAATGTTACTTTTAAGCTTTTACTTATAGCCAACCTGGCTCTCAGCATTGAAGGAAGGCTATGTTTATTTCATCCTTTGCAAAGGGCCAGCATAAGGCACGGTTTGAAAGAGATTCAGATGCTACATAGTCCTAGATTGCCAAATAGATTTGACCTTGTGTGTGCTGCTAGAACAGTTAGAAATTGTCTATGCCATCACTTTCCCATTTATCCTAAATGCTATATATAAATTATGTTCGTGAAGAAAATTTATGTGCAAGTCAGCTAGCTATTAACTGGGTCATTCTGACAGGATTCTGGCTCAAAAGCAGCCAAATCTCCAAATGTATTTATATAAATGTTAGTGCAACAATCATTACTTACTTTGTAGCTGCAGTGAATTCACTCACTGTGTCATGACATGACCATGCCATCTGGCCCTGTTAGAATGAATCAAGAGCAGAGCGTTCAACTTTCATTTTTCTACCACTGTTTGTTTGATTGGATAAGAATCTCTTAGTTTTCTTTTTATTTCTTTTATCAGCATAATAACATAAATCCTTTAATTCCACATCTGCAAGACAAGCTTAAGACGTAAGATTTATATCTTCCAAGGAAAATCAAAACAAAAAAGAAAAATTTCCTATGAACCTAATTTGGGGAAATTTATTCCACAGGTACAGGTTGTGTTTGCAAGACGCAAGTTCCTAACTTCTATCAGACTGCAGAAAAGCCTAGATGTGCCAGAACACATGCATACATATATTCATGAACAAACCTCTGTACAATCAAGACCTCAGTAATTCTTATACATACAGTAACTGTGTAAAATAAAACCTGTTGTATGCATGGCCTTTTAATTGACCTGAAAGAGCTGCAATGCAAATAAGTCTTAACTGACTACAGTAATGAACATATCAAGCACCAGTATATTCTGTATTAATAGAAGAGCATCAGTTTCCTTCTAACTAGAATCAGGGTTGATAAATTCTGATAAACTCACTTGATAAACTGGATAAATTCCTAATAATGCTAAAGTCCTCATGATGTTTTTCATTTTTAAATGTTTTCTTTTCAAATGCTGAATACACGCGCAATAAAATTGATAAACATATAAAATAAAATAGAATATTGGGGCTTAGATTTGCCTATGGAAAATTGAACCCATCAGTAAGCTACTTGAAAATATGTGAAGGTGGGCCTTTTAATGAAATACAAGTTTGAAACACTGTAGTCATCACTTAGATTCTTTTTAATCCACACAGTGCCACTTTAATTAGGTCTAATATGTGCAATTGAAATTAGAACTTGATATGATGTATTTTTTAATACAAGTAATATCTGTCCTCTGCATTATACAAATGGCTGTTTCCAATGACTTTCTTAATTGCACACATTTCAAAAAAATGAATCCAATTGAATTAATTAAGGTCTTTTTCCGTGCCATCCATCTAATGTTCCTGAATACTTAATGCTTATTAAATACTATTATGTCCTAAACGTACATGATTTATTTTCCAGTGGTAACTCTTAAGGATATATTTAGGTTAATGCCGTTTTTTTCCCTATTTTTGCTTACAGCATCTTTAGAAAAATTCAAACTTAGCATTAAATTTCTTTCTTCCCTCCTCATCAACCAGAAATTACCTGATATAGTTGGCTTTCAGATGGCTCTTTAGTACTTTCTCCCTTTCTAGCAAACAATACTCTGTTCAGTAGCTGTTATTTTCTGTTTTCCCATTCCAGTAGAGGAGGGACTGATTTTCAGCATTCTGCTGAAATCATTGATTGTATGCTGGAGCTACCATGGTTTTGCCATGGCTGGATTGGGTTCTAGTCCTTCAGATATACGTAAATATGATTTTTTTTTTTTTTTTTTTTTGCCAAATATATTTTCACTCCTTACTTGAATGAAAAATTCTTTGCAATAGCCAGTGAAAGCTTTCACAACATTAAAATTGTATCATTCTATTAAATTAGGTACTGTACTTGGGGAATTCCTTCCTATTGTAGCGTTACAAGCGTAGAGTATTGTTAAATCTTACTCTTATTACTATAAAGATGAAGAAACTGAAACAATGCATTGTGTCTGAAAGAACATCATAAATAATATCTATATTGAACTCATTTTAAAAGGAAACTGAATTTTTAAAATAATATTTTTATGCTTTGTCAAGAGTTTTTTATTCTTTTCTCCATACAACTTATTTCAACTATTTACATTTTCTATTCAAGCAAAATCTGACAAAGCCCAATTCCCTGCCTTATCAACACAGGTGTATCAACTGCAATTTGAGACTTCTTGACAAATATAAACATCCACTTGCAAACATGCAGCTGATCTCCTGCAGATGCAAATATCAGTTCCAATTAACTGTTTAAGGGAAGAATCTACTAAACACAGCAGCAGAAAAAAATACCTACATGTCTTCAGTATACATCTGAGGGAAATTGTTATCTTCGTTCAATAAAATGGCAGTGAAGTTGTTGACTTATGAAAAACTGAGTTCAAATTTAAAGATCCATTTCTTTCTCTAGCATTTTATTTTTCTATGGACAATATGCTCAGGAAACAAGAAGATGATCCTTGATCCTCTGATGTAATAGGGAAGACAGTCTTACACTAAGGCAGCTGAAAACTTCCAACTGACTGAAGCTGCCAACAAATTGATCACATTCTGATTAATCTTTTTTATTACTCTCTATCCATATCCAAAGGAATATTCAGAGGAAGATGTAGGATACAGTTTGATAGACTTTGGAAGGTCCAAAATGAAAGGCAAAAGAGTTCAAGTCAGCCAGTACTTCTTTCTCAGTAGAAAATAAAGATGATGGAATTTTGCCCTCAAAATCATGAGGATGCATGTTCAATCTTAATGGTCCCTCCAACACACCTGGTAATTGCTTGACTAGTTTTCTAGTCCTTTATTTATATTCCATACCTTCACTGTCCTCCCATTTCTTAATTTTCCTTTCTTAAACAATCTTTGTATGACTTTGTCATCTGTTTTCATTTACTTTTCTGTCTTGTATTTTTTTCTTCTCTCTCACAGCTGTTCTGCTTCTCACACACAAACACAGAAACAAAATTCAAGATCATGGAACCAGCTCCCTGCTAAACTTACTGAAATGAATACAACATCTTTGTAATTAATCAGAGCACAGGCATTTCACTTCAAAGTTTTCTTCTATAGCTGTACCTACCAAACCCTTTTATATCTCTTTAAATCAAGAGTTAATAGAAATATAATTTAATTCTGAGATATCTGGATTTCATTCAGGCATATAATTTTATTTTTACGATGGCAATTAGAGGATGTTGAAGAAATTTTATTATCGATGCATCCTGGTTTCTCGTACAGGTACTGTTATCAATTATACTGGCAAAAATAGGTTACCTAGAGGGAAAAACACTCAAACCAGAATGAAATTATTCCAAACAGAGCAGCAAACTTTAAGTTAAAAATCTACTCCACATTAACCATATTTACAGACCTTTGGTACAAATATGTTTTGTAGATGCACTTTGCTGAGTTGATACCTAATAAATAACCAACATCAGTTTAATAAAAATCAGATTTTGAAAAATGCGTCTGTTCTTCAAAAGAACACATAATTTTTTAAAATATTCAGAGACCATTTAGAAAGATTTTGGTAATTGTAAAACTGCTATTATTTTATCTATCATATGGTTTCTTTATGAACTACTGTATATTCATTAACATTTATGTACTTTTTTTTTTTTCCATTCATCTATCTTCATCTCATGAAAAGCATATCTGGGTAAGTTAAAACACCATGGCTGCTGAACATATTCATTTTCAGCACCATGTTTGTATTCTATATTTTGTTCTTATTTCTTCTTTTTCTCTTCTGTTTTCTTTTTCCTTTTTTTTTTAATTTTTATTTTTCTTCTGTTACTCCTGTATAACAATATCATGCAGAAAAATGACCCAAATGAAACTTTTCAAAGTATTGAAAGCGCACAGAAATTTAGGACTTGTTCCTGCAAGGCTGAACATAATGAAGAAACTATTTGTAAGTAACTGCTGTAGAAGTTCTTAAACACATTTTGGGCAGTCTCAAGCCCAGAATTATAAAGACATTTAAAGTTTAAGTCAGTGGAAAAATCACAACAGAAATGGCCCAAAATACTAAAGACCTTTATTCATATATATTTTGCTACACTAAATCCCGGAGGACTCAAACTCCCAAACACTTAAGTAATCCAGAAAACATTCTTTTTTCCTTTTTAAGCCCTCATGCTATATAGCAGTACAGTAATATTTCATTTTGCATATGCCTTTACTTTCTTTTTCGCCAGTTTTTTTTTAAGGTTTGTTTTTTTTTTAATTGTTACCCTTATATCAAGTTTAAAATTTCTAACTCCTCTTTTATCTACCATACAAATGTTATTTCTTCTTGAATTACTTGCAGAGCTTAGGGAGAAAATTTCTTGCATTCAAACAATGTTTCAGCTCTCACTTCCTGAAGGCTGGAAAGACAGAAAAGCTTGAAGGGAGCAGGGTTTACCACATTAACTTAGAATGTATGATTATGAAATGGCTTCGTAAAATTAGACTTGGTAAGATTTAATCAACCTGGGAATTCCAGGCATCTCTAATTTAGAGCACTACATATAAGATTGCAAGGTTATACATTGTGCAAGTCTGTTTATTCCACAAGTGTTTTATTTTTTTCATTGTCACTCTCTGTAGGTCTAATTTTCAGGGCATAAATTAAGCATTTCTAGATACATATCCCTTAGCTTAATGTATGCCTTCAGTTAAAGAATGTCCCCCCTTAGCTTGCAAAGACTTATTATGTACACATGCACGGAACAATAAAAGTTAAATCTACTTTCCTAATCTGTATTGTATTGCCCTAAACTTAAAATTGAATTTCTTCATTTTATAAATTTAAAACCTTCTATTTGTTAGTTGCTTCTTGATTCAGGCCTGTTTTCATCTCTCAGTCATTCTTTGCTGAAAACTTCTTAAAAGTTTACTTTACAAAAACTTTTGTAAAGACGGAAATTGAATTTTGCCCATCATTTTGCCCTCCTATTATGCGCAATATCAAAAAGGAGGGAGAATGAGAAACGAGTTCAAATGATTTAAAAGTCAGGTTCCCTGATAGCCACAGTTGCATCCAAATTTTACTCAGTGTTTAACTACTGTAGTCTTTAGAGGTCAGATGCATCCTTTCAGATTAAATTAAATCAGTATTATACAGCAATATCATGTCTGAGTCTTTTATTTATTTTTTCCCCTACTTCATTGTTTAAAAATATTTATAGCCCTGCAGGAAAAATGCAGATAAAAAACTTACTTGCCTTAGACATTTAATGCAATTATTAATTTATATAAGTGCAATTATTAATTTACATAAGTGCAGCTAATCTCAACCATCTTATTTTGTCATCTGATGACACTACCCTCATGATTCTGGTCTCTTACAAATATTTAGGAAAAGGCAGTACAAAAGATAAAACTTAAATCTTCATTTCAATTCATTAGAAATCTTCTGTCCTAAATTTTGGTGTTCTTGAATGCGAGTAGATTAGCTTTGACAATGCTGTACAAATGAGAGACAGATGTGTTTAATCTTACCTTGAAATTATAGAATTACTCAGGCAAACAGTATATCTTGTGTGCATTTATCTTCTAGAAAACAGTTGTTTAGTATTTGGTTGTAAACTAAATATTTCAGTATTTCTGATAATAATAACACTGATGGTAGCAATAATAACAATAATAAGAGAGTCTGCAAGGCAAACTCTTCCACTTGTCTTTTTGAGAAAGCATTTTATAAGTTCATTTTATGGGATCCAAATCACCCACTGGCCAAAATTTCTAGATAAATTCTGCTTCTATTTTACTATTGTTATTTGGTCTTGATTTCACTGTGCCTCGTTTTCAGTTTATCTCACATTTATGCTTACATTTTAATTGAGTCATTATAATATGCATAATATAACATTCCTGAAGACTCTTCTTGTGAACCTACTAGAACTTTCACAGTAAGTGCTATTACTTGCAAAAATAAGAAGATCTGTGTTGAAATACTTTTTATATTCAAGTTTCTTCATGACAGCGTTAGGGTCCAGTTTCTGTAATATATGGAGTGTTTGGATTATACATGTCCAAAATTTTAGGCTGTTATTTCTTGTTTTGCCTCATGTTGAGAAGCTCCATCTTCATGAAGAAAATTGAATGTCATTGAATGACATGCTTTAAATCAAGATTTTCTTAACTTCCCACACAAATTCTATTTGAAGAACAGTCTTATTTTTAATAAGGTTCCTTGAGTTTTATGTGATGAGTTGGTAAGGGCTTCTGATACGGAACTAAAATTACCCCTGTGTAATGGAAGAATATATGAGAAATAGAAAATGTCAAGAATAACATAATTCTGGTCTTATAATTTTTCCCTTCTCTGCATCTGTGTACCCTTCACGTCCAGAGGGATGTTGCAGCATTCATAGTCCTCATGACATAAAACAGTTATGCGCTACATTATGTGGTATGTAGTTGTTCCTGGTGCGCATAAGAGTGATGCTAAAGAAAATGGGTCAACATAAAAGTATTAAGAAGTAATTCTGGAGAGAATTAAATCAGTGCTGGGAAAGCAAGTCCACTTGTCTGCCACATAACTCTGCAACACAGTGTGGCATTTTTCTTTTCTGGCTTGTAAAATAAAAAGAGAGAGAAAGAGAGAGAACAGACCACATTCTGAGGCACTCAAAAAACAGATGAATATAAACATCCCAACATTTTGGGAAAATGTTCATGTAATTTCCTTGCTTTGCAAAACATGACTTGGGGTAACAATGCATTTTTTTAAGTAGCATATTGCTGTTAATTCCACAGTGGAAAAGGATTTTATTCTTGAACAAAAATAATGTTATATCGAAAAATATGGCATTAATTTGGAATTCATTCCAGTAGAAGTGAGTGGTTTAAAGCCTTATCTGCCAAATAATACCATTTCTAGTAATGCTTAATTAATGTCAATTCTCCCTTATCAACTTGTTTTCATATGGTGCCAAAAAACTAAATGTGTATGGAAATATTACATTTTAATTCCTTACCTCCTTACCAGTGCAAAGTGGACACACTGTAAGATGTAGTACTTTATTGTCAGCCTTAGGAGAATATCCCTACATTCCCCTGCAAAGCATTTTCAACATTAGAGAAACTGTACCATGCTATTCGCTGTCTCTAATCTTTGTATTTGTAGTGAAAGGAAGGGGGAGTGACAAGCTTATGTAATTTATTTCTCCTCCTCCTGTGATCAGTTGTCTGGTTTTGTAAGGAGAATAGCACTACAGTTGCCACAGTCGTATCTGGATACCTTCTCTTTTTTTGGCTCAGGAAGCCACTGACTAACCTGAAAGCACTTCATTTCATTCTGTCTGTTCTAAAATACTCAGATTCTGTTCTAAAATAAGCAGATTACCCGATTCATTTTTCTTAGGATTTGTACTATTGGTCAAAGCAATACATGTTTTTTCCTACATGTAATTTGCAATTTATTTTGGTAGAACTGAATTCCAAGAACTTCCTATGTTACTTCATATCCAAAGACAATTTGCTATGACTGACAACTAAAGAATATCTCTCTTAGTCAAGAGATAGAAACTCCTAGTTCTGATTTAGAAATTATAGGTTCAGGTGATGCAGAACTCCTGATTTATATGAACAAATAGTCAAAGCACACTGTTTTTAAAAGAGTAAAATATAATTTAAATGATCTTTAATATTGGAAAGGCATTTAAATGAAACATCCTAGGGAAGGAAGTGCAAGTTTGAAGCATGAAATTATTTTCAAGGGAAAGAAATATTACAAAAAATCCTTTTAGTATTCCACATAAATAAGTGAGGCTCAGGCCTAATGGTGACTGTATTCCCTGTGCATGGCTGAGAAGAGAATTTCAGCTTTACACTAGATGTATTTTCAAACCAAAGCTCTTTTTTCCTACAAGCCAAGACCCTTTGAATTATGTGTTTATCATACTGTAGTCTTTAGCTATAGCATAGTGTCTTATTTCTGTTCCCATTTTCTTCAGGCAGAATCAATAACTGCAGCTATATTTTCCTTTAACTGAGTGAGCCAGACTGCCTCTGAAGTAGAACTGCTTTCCCACTCATGAAAGGTGCATTGAGTAGTGTTCGGCATACAAAACAAGCCTCAGGCCAACTCAGATGCTGCAAAGTCACAGGAAGCTCCCTAGAAATACTTAAATTATGGTTCCAATATAAAGAAGGTAACTTTTTTTATGGACATGAGAACTTAAAGAGACAAGGCACCTTCTGCAGCACCTCAGTTCCTGAGGCCACACAAGGATTTAAGACCAAATTAAAGGAATAAGCCACAAGTTCTTCCTGAACCTCATTTCCTTGAAGACCATATGCTGCTGCTGTCCTGCTCTGAGCAGAAGACTCTCCCAAATAAGTGGCCAGTGGCCCTCAAAATCATTATTTCCATCTTATTTATTTATTGTGATAGCCAGCTCAGTTCTTTCAGATGTGATGGGTAACGAGAAATACCCCAGATAAGGAAAAATCTAGAATCAGGTTCTTCTGATGGTGGTGATTCCAAGAGACTTTAGGCCAGAGAGAAGGAGCTGCACCCTGGGCTTGGGCTGGCTTTAGAGAAGGACAAATTCCTGTGGGGATCTGTAGGGTCTGTATTTTGCCCTGGGATACTGAACCCAGACAGATGAGGAGGGGGTAGCTTCAAAGACTTGGCTCTCCCTGAGGACAGCTATGCCAGCTAGCAATCCTGCTGGCCCCAGGAGATCTGCCATCTCCTTGGGGTGTTGAGGGATGGCCAGGCCAGATCGCAAGCACCCTGCAAAGATATCTCTCGGGGAAAGCTGAACCCAAATTCCCCATCTGCGGATATCTGAGATGTGGTTGTTTGCTGATAGTGGCCATACCTCAGCTCTGCTTTACTAAGCAACGAGTATATGCCTCTATTGGCCCACACTGCTGGTCTTTCTGGGAGTATGGGACTCTCCAGCTATTGAAGGTATAATGTCACATTTGGGTGCCCAAGTAGCAAGTCTTTCTCATCTTACAGAGGACTGTGCCATCGTAGGAAGCAAGGGTAGCTCTTCAGTGTCTTGGACAGGCAGGTGGCAGCGGATCAGCTAAAGAGCTGTGCTGCAAAAGATGTGTAGGAGGAGAAGCTAAATAAGCTTCAGTAAAGCTGTCAAGAATCTGTACTATTGTACATTACCACAGCAGCAACACAGAAACTAAAGCAGCTGTCTTTCTATTAATGCTCAGAGTGAGGGATTTAAACGCATTTGCAAAATTGCTGTTTGAGTTCCATGTTTTTACTAAAGCCAAATTGTCTCAATCTAGCCCCTTAGCAGTGCAAAAATCCCCAAAGCAGCACTCCTTGTAAGATCATTCAATTGCTTTTATCTGCTGTGATTTTGCAGTACATATACTTGAAAGGCTGCTTAGGCAGTGAAGAATTGCCGAGGGATAACTGAACCACAAAGGCTGTAGTAATAACAGAGGACAAAGCTGGAGCTATAATTCCAAGATTTCCTTGTTGGGTGGGAATGTAAGCAAATTTTAATACTCCATTAGCATAGTCCCCATCTAATTTTGTTTTCACCACACCTTATTGCTGAGAGCATTCTTTTATGTTTTGCTCAGTAGGAAACTGCTGAGAATATGTTGTTAAATATCAGGAAATAGAAACAGCTTACAGAAGGACCACTTCTGCTATGCCACCACCACAAAGGGACTTTTATTCATGCTACCTAATACAACGGTGCTCAGTTAGACGCCTGGTCAAGTAGTTGAACACATTGAATATAGAACATTTTCCTGACAGTGTGGCTGACAGACCTATACTTTACAAAATATTTAACACTACTGTATTAGAAGTGCATTTTAAGCTTTGGGAGTGGTACTTTTGCCACAGTTTTTTATACACATTCATTGCAGTCCAAAGAAGCTGCAGAGGCAGTAGTTGGATTGGTATCTGTTCAATTCTGTAAAAGTATATCCATACGTATGTATAAAATCGAGAAAGCAAATTCTATAATCATGAAAACATGTACCTCAGTAAACCACATGGATTTTCTTTGTGTGTAAACAAGACAAAAGCTAATAATGTGCAACTACAGAATATTTAACCAACTCTTTATTAAACATGGATGGCTTATTTAAGATGCAGAACATTGTATTCCATTCCATTCTTGTATTCCAGAGGCCACAAAATTGTACATGGCCAGTACAACAAGGTTTTGTGTTTCAAACACAAAGAACCCACAGATTCTGCTGCATTACATCCAGTCTTAGCTAAGATCTGAAAGCTGGCCATTTGGGGACATTTCGAGTAATGACCAGACCACAGCTAAACTAGGCTCAGGAGGAATCCCAGAATTTTCCCAGTTTCCCAATGTCTTCTATTGTCTGAGAATAGAGAATACCCCAATTCTTTATTGCTTCAGATCAGTACACATAGAAACTTTTTGTATGTTAGGTGACAAAATGCACCAAAGGACATCAACATTCACTAAGGAAAAAAAAAGTTAGGAATAGAATAAGGAATATGTTCAAGCAAGAGAAGGAGCTATAATGTTCATTGTGAATTCTGTGCTTTTTCTATGCCTGTCATTGTGCTTCACTGTTGTTACCCTTAATGATGAGGCACGGTTGCATCTGTATTGTCTTTATACACAGCTCTGCATATTTAACAGCTTTTGATTCATTTTTAGACATGAACTTCTGGAAGAAGCTCGGAGAAAGGGTTTGCCCTTTGCCCAGTGGGATGGGCCTACGGTGGTCGCCTGGCTGGAAGTAAGCACTTCTCACACTGGTGGGCCACTTCTTTACCTAGATATCATTCCAAACGGAAGGAATTGTTTATTATTCACTTTCACCTGAAATGTGGGAGATGCAGATTGAAATCCTTATGACAGGCACTTCCTTCATCTCCACCATCAGTTGAGGTGCTGAGGGCTATCCTTTATTTCGAGGGTGTATATGAATGGAATTTGGAATACATCCAGAGAAAATTCTTCAGCAGAAGTCTCTACCAATTTTGACAAAAATCAATTTTAGTTTTAGGTGAAAGAACTACTTGAAAAACACCTACCCAGACCTTGGGGGAACATGAAGGCAGAATGTCAGGATGTTCTCATACATTATAGACAATCACTTCCACGTGGCGCCAGCTCTGTGCAGAGACAAGCTCTTTGTTGGCTAAAGCTGTAGCATCTGTTCTTTGTCTGCACCGAGTGTCTCCATGTATTCCTAACTATTCTCATGTCTGATCATCAGAAATAATCTGCAGAACTTTTCCCTGCAACTAGAAAAAATAGCCCCACTTCAAAGCTTTGACAGAAGCATGTTCAGGGAATAAGTAAGGAGTGAGGAATGAAAGAAGCTGACATCTACAAAACTTCCACTTCACATTTTATTTGAAGGTTCCTAATGAAAAAGGATGAAATGAAAACCGCAGAAAGGCTGTTCAAGCATTCAGACATAACCTTGGAAAATGGGATGATATCTTTCTTCCAGAAAAACAAACTGCTATCAAGGAACATTTGTTAATTTGGCTGGCAAATGACTTTTCTGGGAAGTATGACAGTTGTGTAGCCAGATTTGTATCAGTCAGAAATATTCACTATTACAGTGACAACTGTAATACTACAATTACTGGTAAGGTGCACATGCAAAGGTCTAAGCGTTTCCAAGTACTGAAAACAGTTTGTCCCTTAAAGTCCTCCACAGTGATGTAAAATGTGGGGATATTTCTGGCAATTTAAGTTCTGATTTTTTTTTTTTTTTTAATTTTTATTTTTTGCCTTGATTCTTAGCTGTGAAAGATATGCTTCCCAATGCCTCAGAGAGGTGTTATAAAGAAAAATTGATGTCTCTGAATTTCTGGGGAAACGTAATGAGAGTAGCACAGGAAAGCTCATGCAAAAGGTTATGTTGCAGTATCCAGTGCAAACTGTGTCCTGATGATAAAAATATATGAGGCAGAAGTGTTGGATTTATTCAGTGAGCATCAGTGCATTCAGCCATCAGATAGACACTGTGTGCATTCCATACTCTCCTGGGGAAAATGTAATGTGTGACCCTGGGAATACAAACTGAAATTAATATTAAAGGAGCCAAAGGGCCAATTTGAAGTAGTGGATGTGATTGCAGTTGTGATATGCCCAAACTTTTCAGGGCTCAACTTCTCAACATTAGCATTTATTCTGGTCATTTGTAGGTAGCACAGACATAGCTGAGATATATTTTAAGAACTGTGACTTTTCTTAACTAAAGAAAAGTGTATCAGTCTTGAACTGTGGATTCACTGCCTATGTGTGAATTCTATACTGTAAATGTATCCTATTTTTAGGGACTGTTCTCATCCACCTTCATTTTCTGATAGGGACAGCTGTTTGTTAAAGAACTAGTTTACCTAATGAGCAGCAAACACATGAATCTGTTTCTGCAGAGTGAATAACTCCCAGTGTTCATGCATCTCTGCTTTTCAAGCGCAAATATGAAAAAGAAATAATTAAATGGAAGTCAAATTAAATGGAAGTATTAAATATATTTTAAGTCTATATGTAGTTTCCACATGGGTCTTTGTTTAAGTGCAACTGTATATCACAGAATCACAGAATGTCAGGGATTGAAAGGGACCTCAAAAGATCATCTAGTCCAATCCCCCTGCTGGAGCAGGAACATCTAGACCTAGTCACACTGGAATCTATGTAAATCTTGTTTTCATTTTTTATTTTCAAGAAGCTTTTTATGTCATTGCAACTAAACTGAGATTAGATCGTATTTTCCAGGTTCAGACTAGAATATTCACTATTTTGCTGCACTGCGGAAATCTCACATTACACTTTGTGCTTCCCAGTGCCAGTGGCAAGAACTATGTTCTAAAAAAATCCAAAATGTCACCTAGAGTTAAGTACCTAGATAAGTTGTTCTTTGTTTTCCATTGCGCTATCCTCAGAATCTCAGTGGTTATGGCATTTGCTGCCTACATGTGCTTCTCACACTTTATCTCTATAGTATAATGTATTTCACACCATGACAAAAACTTCCAATGTGTATGTAGCCCTACTATGGAATTACCTCTTTTGGGAGCAAAGATGTGTAGACACTGATAGTCATATCAGTGAGGAAGCTCAGAAGACATGGCAGAATTTGTACTGAGTATGTTCCAAGAGTGCTAGAGATGGAAAGCACCTCTTAGAAGAAAGGACCAGGATGCTGTGCCACTTTGAAACACAGGGCTGCTGCTCACCTAGGCTAATAAGTCTCCTAAGTAGAGAAACCTGAAGTGGCAATTACTTATCTTCTGAATCCATGGTGATGTAGTTGTGCTCACATCTCATTGTAACTTCCAACCAGTCTTTCCAGTCAGGTTACTACCACACCAGCTTGTTCCTAGATTTGCAGTAAGCACAGCCCTCACTAGGTTGGTTATCTGTACTGTGCTTATTTCTATAAAGAAAATACAAGTGGCAAATGATAAAAGTGCCTCATAAGTATACCATAGGGACTAACATGGAAAGAGAATGAAAACCAGTTTAGGACAAAATGGTAAAAATAACTTAAATGATTCCTATTTGTTTCTTTTCTGTGCATGATAAGACTGTAAAACCACCAGTGATGCTGACTCGTGCCACAATTTGCTTGAGAGCACAGGAAAGAAGTAGCCCAGATGATGAAGAAACACAGCTCTAAAAAATAATCCAAAGGATTCCTTTGCTTTAAATGTCTGGCTACAATAGAAGCAATAAAGAGTTCCTGTGAAGTCATGGCAATTTCAGTGCCTTTGAAACAATTTCATTTTAATAAAGGCTATGATAATTATATTCATTTGTGTGAATTACTAAGCTTATTCAGGTTGATAGGTGCCTCAGTGATTAATTTCATCTGAAAAATGAAGTGGTGCTTGGAACAAATGTATGCTTTGTCTCAACAGCTCTGGCTGGGAATGCCAGCTTGGTATGTGGCCGCCTGCCGTGCCAATGTGAAGAGTGGAGCCATCATGTCTGCTTTATCTGACACCGAGATTCAAAGAGAAATTGGAATCAGCAATCCTCTTCATCGCCTAAAACTCCGATTAGCAATCCAGGAGATGGTATCACTCACAAGCCCATCGGCACCTCCAACATCTAGAACAGTGAGTTCTGCTCAGATAACTTCTTTCCCACTTCGTTCTGCAGGAGATTGCAGAAAGGCTTTGGTAGTAGCAGAGTGACTCTGGTAACCCACGATTCCCACTCAGTATGAACAGCCTTATGGAGAAGCATTTGTTCATCATTCACTTGATTATTGATCACTGATATATTTACCTTATTTGTAATTTTACTTGTAGGCTTGCCCCTTGTTCCTTCAGGTGAACTATCCCAGCCAAATCAGATTGTCTTTTTTTTGTTGTTTACCTTTTTTATCATTTGTGGAGTTTTGTAATGCAGGAGGGAGAAGGGGTTGTTTAGGAATATAGTTCTTCTGAATCTTGTTCCCTTTCCCCTTTTTGTACCCTTTCTAATGATTTACGATCTGATTTGGCTGCTTGAAGGTACCTCATGCTTTTAGGAGAAGCAGTGATTAGAGGCGTAGAAGGCAGAAGTGGAACACATGGGAAGGAAAGAAGTAGAGATAAAATAAGTCTGAAAGGAAAGAGGGGAATATATTAAAAAGAGCCTGAAAGTGCATTGGGGGAGAGCAAAAATGTTTGTGCTGTAGATAAAAGACATTTTTTAAAATGGAAAATGGAGAAAAACAGGCCAAATGGATGAGGAGAAAAAGAAAGAAGGTAACGAGAGGGGAGTTACATGCTGAAAGGCTGATGGTGATGGCTATGAAGAAGGCAACAGAGACTGAAACAACAAAAAAACTCCTGAACAAGTTAAAAAGTAAGGTTTGATTGGATGGGAAACGTGGCATAGAAGTGAAAGACAAAGACTACTGCTTACATAGTGCGGTCTGGACTTCTTATGGTATTAATAATATTAATAATTATCTTTTGTAATTTCTAATTTTCATGGAATTCATGAAGCATCTTTTGGTAGAAATTAGAATTGAGATACCTTGGAGGGATTTAGCAATTTATACAGAACCACAGAGGTATGTAAGCAGTTGAGATATGGGACAAAAGGACCCAAATGTTCCCATTGGTTGGCCTTTCACCTTCGCACTGCTGAGAGGCTTTCAAAAATTATAATTCCCCATCTGATACTTCCTCCCCACAGAAACCTAACCATGGTAATGTCACAAATTATAATGTGAGTATATATTACAGACACAATACGGTGTTGAATTACTAAAAATACATTTCCTATCAAAATCCATTTTGGATATTTTTGATTTCAAAGCACAAGAGGATGGTCACTTAGGAAATAAGAAAACAACACATTCAAGCTAGTAGCTTGGGAATAATTTGCTCTTGACTTCTCCTTATGTAACTGACAGGAAAATGCTGCACTGCCCTCAACTGCGCATTTCTGAATTCCAAATCTTTCTGCTTCCCCTCTTCCTCAGGAAAGGAGTTAATTTACTGCAGCCCCCAAAAAAGCACAGTACATTCCACCTTGTGTGCACAGCAGGCTTCCCACCCATTTCCTGCATCATCTCATTGTCCTTGCAAGAATCTAAATGAAAACAGGTCAAAGAGGAAAACAGCAGTCTTACAAGCGTATTCTCTTGACATTTTTGTTTTGGAAATGTGGGGGAAGCAATCATTATTTAGATTACAATATGAGCTTGTGATGCGTGCAGAATATTTAGTCTAGAAAGTCTTTGAGAAATGAAGCTTACCTACAGATAAATCCATGACCTAAAGGTTGTATTTGCTACTTGCATGTGAAATGCAGCTTTAATTCTTCTTTCCTTTGCGGCTGTGCTCATCCATCAGTGCTAGCTGAAACATTCCATCACATCTGTTCGGACTCCTCTAACAAAGAAACAAACCAAATTGTCTCAAGTTGTCTCTAACTGCCGCTCGGTAGAGGCAAGATGATGGTTGTGCTGATGGTGATGCTATACGCTGTTAACTTACAGTGGTGCTGCCTTTCTTCTTTACCACTGCTTACCTAATGTGGATCCCTCCTGCCTCCCTGCGGGCCCTGCTCGTAGCCCTCAGGCAATGTTTGGGTGACCCATGAAGAAATGGAAAATCTTGCTGCTCCAGCTAAAACGGTTAGTCCTTCCCTTTGCATGTAAGCATTACCGCAGTACTCAAAGCAGCTTCTGCAGGCTGCTTCCCAAGCATGCCAGTAGAAAGAGCAATTCCGTTGTTTCTCAGCAAAAGAAATTTCAAACGGTGTTGTAATCACAAAGATTGTGCAAGCCTAAAAGTTGAAGTTCTACGTTGTTTTTTTTCTCTGCCAACTTGAAACTTCACTCAATGAAATAATGAAATAGCTGAATATTGTTGGTAAAAATAAACTTAGTGACACTCAATTGACCAGAGGAAGAGTTCATCCTGTTTAAGTGGTCAACCAGAACAATATATTTTTGCCATAAAATTGCTGTGTGAAAAGCGCTGTTCAGTCTATTCATAAGAACACGGATTTTATTGTGAACATTACAAGATCTAACTAGAAACAAATAATCGCATTTCTAACACCCAGTTTTGGAGAGGAAATGACTGTATTTTGATCATGAATCATAGAAAGTATTTGAGATAATGGTGTAGAGTTTCACTAAACTGTAAAGATTTTGTATCTTGAACACAGGTAGATTTGCCCTGCTAAAATTTTATGGTTATAATCTTCGTAAATCCTTCTGGTAGCTCATCCCAAGGCACTGGAAGTAACTTGAGTTTAGAAATTTTAACAGTACATTTTACAGATATGTTTTCAATCATAGTAAGATTGCCATTTGCATGAAAGCCACATCTGCTTTTTAACTCATTTTTATTGTCTTTTTACCTGCTTTACTAATTGCTTCCTGTTGATAACACAGAAAGAGTCTGAAGAAGGCAGCTGGGCCCAGGTATGACCTTTTTGCATGATTTTTTTTGAATGTAGGGTTAACAATAATGTAATTAACGCATTATCAATAGTCAAAGAGAGTGCTATTGTGACAGTATCTCAAAGACTGAATTGTAATTTGCACATGCTATAATTCTTCATTACAAAAAAAAATTCTTCTTCAGACAGGTTTGCTAGGGAATGCACAAACAGATGCGTATGTAAATGTTTTTCTTAAAAGGAAATGCTGTGAGGTATACAAAACAATGATTCGAAGGGCATCAACACAGTCCTTTATTTTACGTGCCCATTACTAATATGATTTGTTAATATCCCAAGGATGATAAAGAATTAAAGCATTCAAGTAAGTAATAGCAAGTTATGAATGCTGATAGTTTGATAGCCCAAAATATCCTATGGAATTTGGACATTTGGGATACTTCAAATGCTAGCAGAAAGCATTTACCGATCATTTCAATGGAGTAGGCTGTGTCCTTGCATTCAGCCTGGAGGATTTTTGTTCTCTGAATATAGAATCATAGAATCATAGAATCACTGAATGGTTTTGGTGGGAAGGGATCTTTAAGATCACCAAGTTCCACCCCCCCACAGTAGGCAGGGACACCTCCTTCTGGACCAGGTTGCTCACAGCCCCATCCAGCCTGGCCTTGAATGCTTCCAGGAAGGAGCATCCACAGCCTCACTGGGCAACCTGTTCCAGTGTCTCACCACTCTCACGGTAAAGAATTTCTTCCTGCCATCTACTCTAAATCTACTCTCTTCCAGTTTAAAACCATTTCCCCTTGTCCTGTAGCTCCGTGCCCTTATAAAAAGTTTGAAAAATTTATCTGTTTTGCATCTTAATTATGCAAACCATATAAAAAATAGTACCACATGCAGGTATTTGTTTCAGATACTTTTTCTTCACCCTCTTGAAATCTTAGCTGCACAACGTAGTAGCTTCATGTCTCATCACTATGAGAAATCTGGCTTGCTCACATTTTAAAAGTTGAGCTTACGAGGCACTTATGTTTAAGACGGTGACAGCTGAAAATATCGTATTTTGTCACCTGCTGAAGACCACTCATGTAAGCTTGGCTGACAAATGAAATTAACATTTAGTCTCAGGAGTAATCATGAATTGCAGAAATGAGAAAAGCCGTTAGCTCCCACTGGGGAAATCATAGCCTCCTCGCCCCCGCACACAGAGTGACTCAATTGCAGTTGGTTCCTTGCAGCCATGTTTGTGTTACCAAGCATTATGCAGGATCTGTCTAGCATATGTATTCCAGAAGTTGAATGGACAGCCTGTAAGACCATGAAGCAAACGCATTTTGACTGTGTGATGTACTGGCATGCATTTAAAAGACAAAATGGAAACTATTACTTTGTGTTCTAACAGTTGTTTACATTTTGCACAGATAGCAAACAAGATTAAAAATGCTAAGTATTGCTATTGGTAACAGAGTAGCTGACAACTCCGAATTATGAAATGTCAAAATAATGAAAACAGTGCATGTTTTTCCTTTAGACTGATTTTCTAAGCTAAGAAGTCTTGCTAGAACCAAACATAGTATGTCGATATAGTCTTCAGTCTGTGGTGCAACCCAGAACAAACTTATGGAAATAAGCCCCCCCCCCCGACGCCCCCTTCCCCCTTTTCTTTTTTACTGATTTTTCTTTAGACCCTGGCCTATGGTGACATGAACCACGAGTGGATAGGTAATGAATGGCTGCCCAGCCTGGGCTTACCTCAGTACCGCAGTTACTTCATGGAGTGCCTGGTCGATGCGAGGATGTTGGATCATCTGACGAAGAAAGATCTGCGTGTGCACTTGAAAATGGTGGACAGCTTCCATCGGTATGTCTGCACATGCAAGGCCTCTCGTGTCAGATGCAGCACTCAGTGCTGCTCAGAGCAACAGTGCTTGCTATTTGTAGTTCTGGCCTGGAAAACCTCATGGAGGAGTTTGTGCCGAGTGTCAAAAAACGTGAGCAGAGAGACTGACTCCTTCAGTAAGAGCAACTGCATCACAATGCTGTCTCATAACTGAGATACTGGTACAGATAATTTCATAATAAGCAGGGAACCATTAATGTATAAACAAAGCCATTAATAACAGAAAAACAAATAGTTAATCTATTAAGTGGCCTTAAATTATCAGAAGATGTTGGACTAAGATTGGGAGTCCTGAGTCTTTGTAATAATGAAAAGCTATTGTGTGCAGCACATAAAATCTGCTCACAGAGCAAGCACATTGGCAGTTACTTGGGTTATCTAGGGACATAGTCAGGAAGCTAAATTGGAAATATGGAAATAAAGGCTTTTGACTTCAGGAGAAATGATGTCTATGTGGCAAGAAGTGGATTTAGTTAAATTTGCTATCTGACACTTCTTTTTGAGGACTGATTTGACAAAACACTTAATTGGTCTCCCAAGGCCTGGACTTTTCTTAATGTTTCAGGTTACTTATGCTACAACATGTATTCAAACATGTTCATTTTGGTTTGTCCATTTCAATTTTTAAAGTCTGTGGAGTTTTTTTAATGATTTTGCTCTCCTTTTTTTCTCAAGACCTGTTACATGGGCCCCATGAAACAGCTCATGTGACATGCAGGAAATACATCCTAAATATGTTCCCATCTTCACATTTTTCTTTATTAACTCTGTAAATGTTTCTCTTTAAATAACAGAACAAGCTTGCAATATGGAATCATGTGTTTAAAGAGATTGAATTATGATAGAAAAGAACTGGAAAAGCGAAGAGAAATGAGTCAGCATGAAATAAAAGGTGATAGTTCCTGGGAATGAATACTGGGAATGTTTCTTTTGAAGCTTCACACTATTAACCCCCTTGTCATGCCAGTTAGCAAAGCATTTAAGCATGTGCTTTAAATAAACCTTGCACAAATCCATCCGTTGGCAGAACACAGAACCTCTCCCTAAATTAGGCACAGTAATACTTTGCTAAATTGGGGCTGCAGTTCTGAACAGTGGTTTGATGTCCACTTTTTGCTAAATGGGATGCTGGGCATGGATCCTATCCATCTTTAAGTCTCAGAAGCAGAAGGCCAAACAGCCTCAGGTCAGTGAGAGGTGTCGGGTAGCTCTGGGACACCTAACCCTGAGCACTTGGACAAATCTTTGCATTTGATGTCCCAGTTCACAGCACGAACTGCAAAGAGATTGCTGGGGGGGGAGCCCTCCAAGGCAGTTGTTTGAAAAATATGCATATATACAGGAGCAGTTCCTAACAGAACCAACCTCATTAGGGGATTTAGCAGCTGATTTAGAAGTATTTTTCTGCACAAAGCTCCCTGGAGCAGTTGCAGCCTCGCTGCACAGCTCTCTTTTTTGTGGGTAGCAATTAGGGTTGTTGCTCCCCCCTGCCTCCATGCTGAAAGTGAATCCTTTGATTCCTCAAGCATCGCCAGCTCTGTGAGTGACAGCAGTTTGTGCCTTTCAAATGCAGTGCTTGTTGGAAGAACTGAAAGAAAAAGGTGTGTGGGGGAATTCAGAAGGGTAAAAATCTTTGGACAGGGCAGGTGATGGCATGCACTAAGCCAAAGACTTGGAACTGGAGGCATCAGGTCTGCCTGAGTGGCTGTGGCTGGACTCTTGTATGGGGTTCTGGCTTTTGGTCTGGGATCTCAGAGTTGCTCCAGCAGACCTGAGAGCAGGCTGACCACCAACACATCACCCTTCAGACTGCACCCTACTGACACAACCAGGCAGGGGTTGGGCTCAGCAATGCCAGGCTGCGGTTGGACCCATCCTGACACCAAAGTTCGGGATGTGATGGAAAACACCGCTCCTGGGAAAAGCTCTGCTGTTCTGTGGCTTCAGGAAAACCCTTCACCACAACGCAAAGTGCAGCACAGTATTTCCCACTCACAGGTACAAAGAGCAGTGGGATCAACTTTCTTTTAACGTAATGGATAGGGCAGGGTACTTTTTTTTACAAGAGCAAAATCCTCTTAAATGGTTTCCCAGCTCGTTTTGTTGCCTTAGCCTTCTAATTTCCATGGACTTGGACAGCAAAACCAGCTTTCAGAACTAATAATAATTCCAGTCTCCAACACTGTGAACTTTCCACCAGATTCTGCAGGTGCAGGCACAGCCCGCAAATGTCTGATACAAAATGCTCAAGTGAAGCCTCAAAGAATGGGTATTTGTGCTGCATGACAAAGCTGTAAAATCTTGCTTAAGAACTGGAAAGGGTTTGGAGGGTGCCCATTACACCTGCCACGCTTTCTCAGGCCTGCTTGCTTTAATTTCATCTGTCTCAAAGTGAGGTGATCAATCAGTGAGCCAGAGGCTCCTTTAGAGCTGATAAATGGACGATGGGTCTCTAGAAAAGGTGAAAGGAACAATGTTCTGGAGATGCCCTCTGGAGGCACGTGGGAAACAATTTTCTTTAGAAAGCATTCAGAACAACCATTTAACAACCACGTAAGGGGAAGGCAGCTAAAACTGCAAAGCTGTTCCCACACACCTTGGGTTTTCACTGGGAGTTACTGAAGCCATTAGAGCTGTGCTAATAGTCTACTGATGTTCCCCATGCAGAAATTAAACCACTTTGAATGCATGCAGCTGTACAGTTTGGAAGGTACCAGTTACCAGGCCCTGACCCACTGCCATGTTCTTACAGATGTGTTGGTGTGGAGCAACGACCGCGTCATCCGCTGGATCCAAGCGATCGGCCTACGGGAATACGCAAACAATATTCTAGAAAGCGGTGTACATGGTTCCCTTATAGCACTGGATGAGAACTTTGATTACAGCAGTTTAGCTTTATTATTACAGATTCCAACGCAAAACACCCAGGCAAGTCTGCTCACACTACTTCTGGTTAATCTGTACCCGTGATTGCCACTGATTCCTCTTCAACCATTTTAATTGTCGACTTTGGTATCTCTAGGCACGGCAGATCCTTGAGAGAGAATACAACAACCTTTTAGCACTAGGAACTGAAAGACGACTTGAGGAAGTAATTAATTTTATTTTCAGTATTTATAAACTATCACAGTAAAACATAAAAGTTGAATGCAATGCATGAAGATATGTTTATCCACCCATGGTTCAAAAGAGGTGTTGCAGGTGTTTAAAAAAAATAAATTAGGAAACCAAGGTTTTTAAAGTGGCCTCCATATGGCTACATATCCATCCATCCATCCTTAGCACATGGGACACTGATGTGTGCTCTGCACTCTTAAGATGAATGCTTTCCATGGAGGAAAAACATAGAAAGGTGCATGGGAAGATGAGGGTAGATGGGGCAATGGGGAAAGGCCTGAAAGGTCTGTGCGACCTGTTCTTTGGGCCACTTCAAACTTTTATTTGAAGACAAAACAGAGGACAGGAAAAAGTGCATTTCTGGCAGTTATTTTTTTTAAGACAATCAATGTGTCCCACAGTGAGAGTGAGGGAAGTTACCTAGGAATCTCAAATACACCTATGGAAAACATTCATCTCAAGGTCAGCCTCTGGTGCAGAAATGTTCAAGGAGCAATAAACATTTTAAGGGCTTGACAAAAATGTGTGATACCTACCAATTCTATGCATGTTTAATTCCATGCCAGAGCTTTACTTAAGCCTCCAACTGCAGTAACAAACCACTGCAACAAATATCATAACAAACCACTATATTTATAAGAGACCTAACTTCTAAGAAACTATCCTCGAGCATGTCAAGTCACCAACTTAAGCTTTTCACCCTAGCGTTTAGTATTAATTTCTTAAAGCATTTACTTTTGTAAGAGCATCTCAAATGCACTGGACACAGTGCAGCAAAGTAGGGCACTTGTTGCAAACCAGACCTGTCGGTGGGTGAGGCAACAGCCAGGTGATCAATGGCAGATTTCCCTTGGCTTTATCCGACACAACTCTGTGTCTCGACAGAGCGACGACAAGAACTTCAGGCGCGGCCCCTCCTGGCGACGACAGTTTCCCCCCCGTGAGGTCCATGGCATCAGCATGATGCCCGGCTCCTCCGAAACGCTGCCGGCCGGCTTCAGGTTGACCACGACCTCAGGGCAGTCCCGGAAAATGGCAACTGACGGTATGAAGTCATTTCTGCACTTACAGAAAGCAGGAGGCTTCCCCTAGCATGGTAACCTGACTTCAGTGCACAACTGTCCTGTCACAAACAGCCAGGTTCACCTACTAGCATAGGATGGATGAATGGAGTCTGGGACAGTGGAAGGAGAGAACGGTAGAGCACTGACTTGGCATGCTAGTGATGTTTCTCATGTTTGTGTAAGACTGTTCATTGAAAGTAAATATAGAACTGGCCATCCTGAGCGCAAAAGAAACATTCAGAAAGAGGTATTTATTCACTGATGTTCAATCTGAGAGTACATACAAGATCTAAACAACTTTTTCAGCTGACAAACCTCTCCCTTTGGCACAGTTTATTTCAGAGGATGAGCTTAGGATAGTGATAAGAACAAGGAGGAAGGGTTTAAACTGAGGAGGTTTAGGTTAGATAGTGGGAGGAAGTTTTCCACACAGAGGGTGGTGATGCACTGGAACAGGTTGCCCAAGGAGGCTGTGGATGCCCCATCCCTGGAGGCATTCAAGGCCAGGCTGGATGTGGCTCTGGGCAGCCTGGTCTGGCGATTGGCGACTCTGCACATAGCAGGGGGTTGAAACTGGATGATCATTGTGGTCCTTTTCAACCCAAGCCATTCTATGAGTGTATGATTCTATGATTTAGATGCTCTTTTAGGGAGCTGTTATCTTTACTTTCCTATCTGACAATCAAAGAAGTCAAGTTTATAAATTGTTGTAAGAAGGCAGGGAGAAAAGGAAATTCCACTGCGGCTCTTCCATCAGATATGTGAACAATAAAAGCCATGCGAGTGCACCTGTCTGAAGTTTTGAGAAGTAATGTCCCATTTCTAACAGCTCTTTATTTCCTCATGAGAGAATTTAGGTCTACAAACAGGTTTGTCTTACAGTAATTTAATACACTGTAGTGATTACATTTTGTAATTCTTTAATGAATTTGGTATGAAAATTCAAACATCTAAATTCCATTAAAATTTCTCACCCTCTAAGAATATTTCTTTATAACTGCAGTTACAGATGGAATAATTTACTGATTGCATCACTGTATTCATTGACTTCACTGCTCATGTGCACGCTTTGCTTTTAATCCTGCACTTCTTGGTAATGTTGAAGCTGTACAACGAAAATCCATTCCAAGGCAAACTCCATGCACAAAGAAAGGTGCAAACTCCCAAGGCACTTCCACTTTCTGTAGTAGACAAGGCCCTTATAAGCATTCATAGACTTTGTCTTTCAGCCTCGCTATGAAGCAGAAGACACTATTTGCATTTTATAGATGGGGCACTGTGGCATAGGGGAAATTCAGGTGATTCACCTGATTTAACTCTGGTCTTCCAGACTGTTTATTACTGAGCTGGATACAGAATCTAGCACATCTAAAATGAGGTAGCTTTAAGACCTATATCTTCATCTAGGATTTGGTTTCCTATCACCCACTGCTGAGAACACTCTGGTACTTAAACACCATGGCAAGTACATTATAAGGACTTCTAACAAAATAAATGCAAAAATAAGTTTAAGCTGTACTTACTTAAGGAATACAGATTCGACAGTAGACATGAAGAGACTTTGAATGAGTTCTGCACTAGATTGCACCCAAATTATGTCATAGAAAGTCACAGAGCAATAGCCATCCTTCAAGTAGGAAACAGAATTATTTTATTCATAATTCTAAAGAGGTTCTGGTTTGTTTCTTTTTTTTTTTTTTTCTTGCAATTTGCAGTTGCTTCATCACGACTGCAGAGGTTAGACAGCTCAACAGTTCGCACATACTCATGCTGACAAGGCCTAGCAAAGACGCCAGCACTGAATTGCTGTGAGTATTCAAAAGGGGCCATTGTGGAACCTCTTTATGTACACTGCACCCATTGCTCTTTGGCACTATTCAAGCAAGAGGCAGCATGAAGCCGAGGACCTAACTCAGAGCCACTGGGTGGCCATTTGATTAAACCAACAGTCTCAACAGGCTCCCCTCCTTTCCCTACCTCCAATGGCAGGTTCTCTCTGCTGGTACCACCTTAGCAGATAAAACAGTTTCCAGATGACTTCTCTTCAGATGATGGCTTGCCAAGCATAACAAGTGTGTTCTCTAAGCCAGAACAGGGGAGCAGAAGGCACAGGGACTTCAGTTCCTTCATGCAAATTTGAAATAGTTTTACCAGGATCTGGAGAAAGAAAGGAAAACAACCTAGTAAAGCTCATGAGATTTATGTTTCTTTTCTTTTAATGAGACATATGGCTCCATTAAGAACACCAGGCTGCTGAATAAAACTAGGAAAAAACTTCCCATATGCAGAAAATCATCCAAAATTATCCACTGTAGAGATTCTCAGTTCCAAAATCATGACCAGCATAAGAAAAGGACACCGAGCTGGATGCAACTTTACATCAAATCTCGTACCACAGTTCATGTTGCAATTCTCACCACCTCTCTTTTAAATATGTCTATGAATGACAGTTATCCTGCCTGAGTTCTGCAGAAAAATTTTGCTGCTGCTTCACAAGTTTTGCAAAAAAAAAAAAAAAAAAAAAAAAAAAAAAAAAAAAAAAAAACAACCAACAAAACACTAACAAGATGAGCGCTTTCATCAATATGGCATCATTTCATGCTAATATTTTCTCAGTAACATATCATTTTTTTTTCCATTCAGTTACTCAGGGGAGTTGGAAAGTGTATTTGGACAGCTCCAAAACCCCACCAAGGCACTGAAAATGTTTTGATAGCTGTTACCCATCATAGGCAAGACAAGACATGCCAGGATCCGCAAGGAAAGAATTGCTGTTCCTAATTTTCCCAACAAAGTCTTTTTTAAAGATCTTCAACCAGGAGAGGCTTGGGGCCACCACAACTTTATTATCTGGGCATATTCAAAGACTAAGGAACAGCAAATGCTACCCATGGGAAATGCAGATTGCTCAGGATTCTGCTGATGACATCAGCCTTACTCCATAGATTCCAGGAGACTGTAGGTGTACAAAACTGTCATTTAGCAGAAAAAGAAACAAACTGTCACTGAAAAATAAGCCCAGATTAATTATTAATCTAAAACTGGCATTCTTAGCAGCTGGTCATACAAAGCTGACTATGGAGTACATACACTATATAAATCTTTTCAAGTATATGTGTATGCAGATTAGAACTTGGTGTTATGTCAGTAAAATCGATGACAATGATCCCAAATGGGTTCAGTGGAAGCAGAAACTGATAGCAGAGATGTGTATCTTTTAGCCTATATACATCTGAACTACAATAAGTCACTGCCTATGATTCAGATCGTTGAAGTTCAGATGCTAAGCAATCCAGCAGGCCAGTAACAGGCGAGGCACGTGAGGCAGTATTTTCCAACAGGTCTGACAGCTGCAACAAGGGCAGAAATTGAAGAGTGGTATGATTTCCCAGGGTGTTTATTCCCAGTTGATCCTTCAGTAATTGTCTAAAAACTAATACTCCACAAACAGAAGTAGCAAAACTTTGTTGGCACTGTAATATATGGGAGTTACATATTTTGGGGAAAAAAAAACAACCCACATGTTTACAAAGTTATACAAGCTACACAAATGAACTTCCATTTCTATAGGAGCAGTTTAAACTATTTCACCTGATTCAGGTATCAGTGATACAAATCACACTGCTGGTGTTTCTTGTCTACTGTGCTGAGAACAGCATACTAATCTTAAACAGGCAAGAGCTTTACCAGTATATTGGTAATAAATTCTAAGCTGTAGAGGCTCTTATGTAAGGATGACTGAACGAACGGATGCTGTTTCTTTTCACTTACTGCAGAGTGCTTTTAGAGAAGCAACAAGATGGTATAAGCTAGAACTCAGGCTACGCATCGTTCATCAGTGCAATTCTAAACTGCCACCAGCATTCAGTACCAAGTAAAATTTATTCTGGATTTCAGTTAATTTTATAAAAATGTTGCAGGAGAAAGATTTCCTTCATTATTATACCAGGCATGAAAACTTAGGTTTCAACAAACAGACTGAGTTTGTTTGAAAGTGATTGAAAGATTGCAGAAGAATTTTCAGGGTTCTGGCATCACGTTTCCTGTGTTACAGCTTCTTCACAGAAAGAACTGATGGATGCTCATACAAAAATGCTTCATTATAATATTCTTGAAATTTTTCAGATCCAAGTCAGACTGAGACCCAGGCTTGCAATACCTTGCCTAAAATATATCAGTAAAAATGTTACTACAATGACTGAACTATTTGCACATGGGACTGTTTCTAAGTAGGCAGCAGAGGAATTGGGTACCTGCACAAGCAGTTGCACAATAGCAATGCAAGTGTATTGTATTATTAAAATAGTAAAGAGCTCTATGCTTATTAAAAGCAGCCTGAACAGAGAGCTGTGAATAGGTTGCACGTGCAACAAATGAGATGTTCTGTGATGACAGCAGACTGGAGAATTCTTGCATTCTGCTACCCACAGAACATGTCAAAGACTCCGATTTCAAAATAGTTTATGCCAACAATCCCAAGCGGATACAATCATCCAGGGTCTCTTCACAATGGGTTAAATCCTCGTGCCTTCAAATTGTACTTCAGGTATTTTTTAAACATTTGTTGCAACCACCATGATGAGTTGCCATAAAACATGAACTGAGATTTTCAGAACAGTTAACAAGAACATATTCTACATGCCTGAAGTACTCAAAGCCCAGTTTGAGTACACTCTTAAGATCACGAATTTAAGTACATTTAGGACTACAGGTGCCAAGCCATTTCATCTTGCACAAAAGTTCAATAGTGCATACGGGATGGTGCAGCTCCTGCTGCCATGGCTGTTAACCAGCAAAGCACCTGGAAACCAGGTCTGCGAGCAGTGGATTCGGCAGTCACCTTGTGCAGCTTTCCCTGCACTTCTGCCTTATAAACTACTCGTCACCACCAAAACCAAAGGCTCAATCAGGACAGTTTCACTGCCACAGGCTGGTGCAAAGAGCATACCACAGTTCCACATTTATTCTGATCAAATGTCAGGGGATTTGTAAAATCGACTATGTACTTCATCAGTGAAGGATTCCAAAGAGGATTTCTAAAGACAGATGGAAAAGAAGAGTTCCAAAAAAGATGTGAATGATAATCCAGAAATAGCTGGTCCACAGCAAAGAAATCATGAGGGTCAAAAAGGTAAATGCTGTCAAGTTGCAGTGAGCAAGGAGAAGCATGGAGTACATAAAAAAGAGACGTGGTTTAAATACTTGAGAAGTCACTTTCAACCTTAATGATTCTATAAAGAGAAATCTGCATGCTGAAGTGGCTATGTTCAGCTTTGGGCCAAACACCCAAAGGCCTACAGAAGCAGGAAACCCCAACCACCAACACTGAACAAAACATTAAAACAAAACAAAAACAAACAACAACAAAAACAGCTATGAAGTGAACTGAAGTGAACATGCACAGGAGTTTGTTTTGATCAAGTGTGTACTATTAAAAGATTAAAATGCTTAATTAATAGATTTATGCTATAGATCTAAAATTAAAGAATACATGTTTCCCTCAGAAGTTTCAGTAAAATGTGCAACAGCTTACCTAGCATCACTGTGTCCTAAACCAAATTACCATGACAGAACCTCACTAATTAATATTTGTTTATTTTTTCCTTTAGATGTCATCTCTTTCTTCTACTTTACCTGAAGTGCACTACCACTACTTAGGAAAAAAGAACATTAAAACTCTCTGCAAGAACAGGGTAATAGGGAAGAGAACACGAAGTTTCACAGATCTGACGTTCTTTTCACATTTTGGTTAATTTAAAACAAGAATGCTAATAATGAAAAATCTAAATTACTTAAAAACAAGCAAACAAACAAAAAACTGAGAATAGCAAAACAACCTCCCCCTTTCCTCTCAGCATTTCTGTCATCAGAAATTTGGCAGTAGTACACATCCAAAGCTTTTATCAAATGAAGCCACTCATTTTTACATTGTTCCATCTGTTTTACTGTAAAATACTAGACATTACGTATTTACTGTGTATGTATTTCTTTTAAAATGTGTAAGTCTTATGTAAATGGTTATAAATATGATTTTTTAAAAATAAAATCTATGGTACATGGGGTCTCAGTGCAAACATTTGAAAATACAGTGTCAATAATACTGTTTGTATCTTTGCATTCCACCATTTTTACAGTTTTTGGATTGTAAAAGTCAAACAGATATGTTTAGCAGAGTTAGAAGCTTCAACATGTTCCTACTGAAAAAATCTGTCAATATTTAAAGCTGATCACCTGCCTCTGATGATGTATAATAGTACGACATAACCTGGAACTGGAGCCAAAATGGGCCTCTAAACACAAAATGGAAATGTCAGATACTTATAGAGAAGCACCACGATGGCTCAACTCCTAAAGACACACACATAAACCCAGAAGAACTGTTTACAGAAAAAAAAAAAAAAAAGAAAAAAGAAAAAAGAAAAAAGAAAAAAGCAATTTAATAAACACAATTTATATGAAAACCAAAAACTTTCTTCTATGTTACCTGCGGACCAAGAAGAATCTTGCTTTACCAAGAGCCACCTTTTCGTTCCAGGATCTTCAGACACCAGCCAGCATTGGAAAATTAAATCTAGTGACTGTATAGAATGAGATTCTCAAGTTTCCAAACATATTCCATGAAGAAAATGAAAGAGAAGCTAAACCCCACAATTTCTTCATCACAACAGGGCATTAGACAGGCTGCTGTCTAACGCTATGCTTTTAGCCAAGATGGCCTTGCTGAGACTTCACAGAAGTCTGTTTTATCAGAGGAAATAACTGAAAGACAGAGTGATTAATATATAGTGTATAAAAGTTTAGAAGAGCAACTATTACCTGCTGTGGCTTTATTTGGTGGTGTTATTGTTGTTTATTCTTTGTTTAAATGGGAAGTTTCAAAGTAAGACCTACTTAATAGTCATTTACCTATTTGCTATTTTTCTGCTGCTTGATCTTAGCTCAAGACCTGTCTTTTAGTTATTTCTTTTTGCAGTTTGATCTGCAATGTTTGCACGTACATAAACATTTGTTTTGTCTATTTTCATTTGGCAAACTTCAGTCAATCAGATGGTGAAAGATTTTTCTCCCCCAATGTCAATAAAAAAGAATTCAGTGCTATTTGTGTTTATAAGTCTATTAAGCTTGGTACATAGTCGCATTAAAATAGTTCGGATGCCACATACCTCTCGTAGCTAACAAAGCCTAAGCACGTTTTGCAACCAACAGGTAAGAGTTATGGTAAATTTACTGGTCATAATCTGCCACGAGAGGGCGCACGGAACTTAATGATGTGGCTGATAGGATGACTTTGGATAGAACACAGCTGTACAGGGACACAGCTCCTCTACATACAGTTCCCTGGACTTAAACAATGTTGCTGATGTCCCTTACTTTTCTCCATCAGCCCTCCTTCGAGCTACTTTGGTCCAGAACGTCACAAAGTAAAGCAATGCAGAAACCATTGGAAGTGGTTGTAGTATCAGTTGTTGTATGAATACAATTCGCTATTTAAAGCCCAGTTCCAATTTTCCAGTATTTCTTTTCCAGCCTACACTGTGAAAACCCGCACACCAATTCAGGGTGGGGGCACAGAGGAAAATGGGATACGTTAGGGAAGAGAATAAGCAAGTTCTTGTAACTGAAGCTCTAGGCATACTGCCCTAGATGTAACCCCAACTTACATCCACAGTGAGGAAAAAAAACCAGACCAGAATATTTAAAAACACATAAAAAAAAAAACAACCAACCAAACAAAAATTACTATTATGAAGTCCAGTTGTGATCTAAGGCTAGCATATAAAAACTCCTGGTACATTCCTGTCTCCCCTGTGTGAGCCAAGGCTTACTCCCAACAGTTAGGAGTTATGGCTATGCTAAATGTCATCTACACGGCTCCAAACCACAACTAACGAATAAAGATTGCACCAATCCCTGGCCATTCAGATCTACCAAAGCATTTCTTTTTTATAAAAACAAAATTAAGAAGAAACAGTAATCTCCTATCACTTGTTAAATGCAATTGCTCTTCCTTGATTGTACAACCCTGTTGCTGGGCAGCAACAGACCCACATACAGGAATACCACCTCTTTCCCTTTCCCCAGCTAGGCACTAGCCCAAACCTGTAAGCAAAACATTCTGCAATCACAGTTGCTCAGAAAAAAAGGCTCCTCTGGGAAACAAAAGCAATGTTTTTCCATAGTGCATTGCTGCTGCTCTGTATCTAGGTTTTCTAAAATGCTGACGAAGAAATCATTTGGTATTTCTGGAAACCTCTGCATAAGCAGGGCAGTAGTGAGTGCACCTGACCCCTCTGCCTCTCTCCTTCTCAGTCTTGATCTTGAATGATTTCCAGAAAAAAGAGGTATTAAAATATGCTCACAGCTTCTGAATTTGGCAACTGCTTACTGTTTAGTCCTCTGAAAAGCAATGCTGAATAACTTTCCTAATTTTATACTTTTCATTTGTTTTTAAATGCATTTAATACATTTTTAGAAGGATTTTTACATTTCTTGTTGAGTTAAAAACTGCAGATTGAGAAGTAATGCATTTAGAGCATGTATCTTCCATATCCTGGTGTGCTGAGTATGCTGAATGCATTTTGAAACAAGCTACATCATAACAAAAGGGCTGCCTAGTACCTGTATTTGCTAAATTTCTTAGCTATATATACATCCAATTGTGCCTGAAAACATGTCCTGGTTGTCCTTCCCCTAAGCAGCAATAAAAGCCACCAAACAAAATTATAAAAAAAAAAAATCCAAAGCATAAATGCCTGCATTTATTTAAAGTACATGTTTTCCATTCAAAACCACCCTGAAAAAAAAAATATTAAAAGTTTTTAAATAACAAAAAAAAATTTTTTTAAAAAAAAAAAAAAAAAAAAAAAAAAAAAAGACACTTCAAAAAGTTACTGAACAAAGCATGTAGAAGAATCTAATTTATAACAGAAAGTCTTAGGGAAAAAAAAAAAAAAAAATCAGTGGAAACCAGAAAAGTAATTTAAAAAAATTAAAGCTCATAAAAATTTAAAAGGCATAAGGCTTATAATTTTTAAGTGAAGACAAGTTATGCCTGCAATGACTTTCACATTAGGATTCCTACTTCGTGCTGTCTTCAGTTTGAATCTCACCTGCAAGATGTTTTAGTCAAACTCAAGTTAGTGGTACCATTATGCAATAACAGACAGCGCAGAATCCACATCACTGGAGGCTGTCACGATGCAATTCAGCAGGGTGCTAGATTATCTCTTCTAGGTACCCTTTTTTCCTATGAAAGGCTAGATGTGATGGTCTTTTGAAGTCCCTTTCAACCCGAGCTTTTCTGTGATTCCACAATTCTATCACAGTAATACAGTGACTCCCTTGAAGGCTAGAGAGATGTATGAATTCTATTTAAAATTCTTAGCAATCTTATATTGCCTTCAATGACAACACACAGAGACTTCAGTATTCTTCACTGGCTGTGACAATATGGTAGAAGAACACAGTATAGTAGAAAAGTTTTAAAAAAAAAAAAAGTAATCCCAATCATTATCATTATTCGTTTTTAGAATATGTATTTCCTAATACAAAGTCTTTGCATGTTTCAGTAACAGATGCTTTCACTGGCCCATTATTCCATTTACTTTTTCTTCAGCACTTCTTCTATGTCTTTAAACACACTAGCATCTTCAATGGTTGGCGTTATCTGGAAAGGAAGAACATGCAAAAGCATTTAATGATAGATTGATGTCCTTCAACAGTGAATCAATCTTATTTCTGAATTTCAGAATCTTCTAAATCTAATATTCAAAAACAGTAAAGTGAAAATTATCTGGAAAGCTCTGAAACATGAAAATCTTGTAAGTAAAACAGAGTAGAATACAATATAGTATCTGAAGTCATGGACCGGCTCTAGTATGGTCTAGAGAATTAAAACCATGATGATGTGTCTTTAGATGTGTACACATGCCTAATTCACTCAGGCATACAGCCCCCACTTACCTTATATGGCTTTCCACTGACCAGTGCAGAAAGAGCTGAACGTGGTATCTTGCCAGAACGTGTTTTTGGTAGCTGTTTCACAAACACCCCCTTCTGGAAAGCTGCCACAGGACCAATGTTATTTCGAACTTGCTCAACAATATCTTCCAAAATCATCTTCTCTTCTGCCTTTACATCTAGTGAAGAAGTTCATGTCCTTTAATAATTCTAGGACTCTTGCAGGTTTTAGTAACACCAGTAGAAATAATTTCTCACCGTCTCTCAGCACACACAGCGCAAAGGGAACGTGCCCTTTTAAAGCATCCTCCTGGCCTACAACAGCACAGTCTGCTACAGCAGGATGGCGGAGAACACACTGAGGGACAGAAAACAAAACTAAACTAGATTAATAATAATTTTAACATTTCAATTATGAAATTCCATAAGGAGGGACACAAAAATAGACTCACTGATTAAATACTGGCATTGGCAATTATTTAGTCAGTGCACTTCAGGACTCTAACTACACACGTTGAAAATGCATGTGTGAATACTTTCATAGGTGCCAATGTATCTTTTTCAAATACATTTAAGAAATAAAAAATATTGGCAGCATAAGACACAAATGCAGAATCATAGAATCATGAAATAATCTAGGCTTGAACAAAGCAAAGGTGTATCCTTACAGTTTTAGAAAAGCAAGACTATCACATCCAGGTTTTTGTTAGTGTGCTTTTTCCTGGAAAAAAATGTTAGTCTAACATCATGGATACTGTGGAGTTAAGGACTAAAACCTCAGGAACTCTCCTATTACAAGGCTATGGATTCATATTCACTTTTGGCTCATCTTCGCTGATGCCTTGTATCTTTTCAGTTCTTTGCTTCATGAGACAATTTCAACTAAAGCCAAATACAAGCCCAAGTCAGCTTGCTGCTAACTTAGTTCTCAGGTGACCAGCTTGGAAACGTGAGGTCTCAACCCTCATAGACAAAAAAAGGAATTAAACCACAGCCTCCTCTTTTCTACCACACACACATGCAGTTAGACAAGTGATGGGCAGCAGCAGCACTATCTTGAACTATTTTCAGAAAAAAGATTCAGAGCTGCTCTTTTGTTTTCAGTCAGCCAGCTGAGATTCTTACTTCCTGAAAGAAAATCACCAAGTTGTCTCAATGGATACTGAGATATGTGTCACTAAGTCAGGGGCTAAGCTGGACTTAAGACACCAGTAACCGAAAATCCTCTTCCAAAGCACCTAGCTTCTTCATGCAACTCCAGATCCCAGTGATATTTCACTGCATGATATAAACCTATTAGCCTAGGCCACCTCTAATCCATGAAGCATTCAATTTTGTGCTTTAAATACCCATTCTTTTTCTACTCTGCCTTCTTGACCCTGCCAGTAGCAACCTGACAGCCACAGAACTAAGAAAGAAAGAAAAAGATGAAACTACTTTTCATCTACTTTTCAGTGAATTGTAGGAAAGTAGACTGGTAAGATCTATATTAATTTCCTTCACTGGTCTATCCAAAAATCTCATCAATATGCCATTGCAACTGGGACAGGTAATTTTGTATGACTAGAATTGCAAATACTAACTTAAAAATTATCAGTTTCTTAAGATAGGCTGAAAAGATGAACGGACAACAAAATCGGCACCAGTAAACAATTTTTAGGTGGCAAGTAAGATAAAATGAAGGGGCATTTTTTGGAATACGATCACTGGGCGCAAGGGACTTCTAATTCAGCAGCAGTCAGAAATCCCACTGTCAGGAAGGGCAACTTCACATCTGTTGCATTGGACAGACAAGACTTAATTTGGGTTAAAAAGAGTCAAGAGAGTCAAGCCAAACTTGGAATCACAGATATACAGGCAAAAGAGATGGACAGATCAGCACAAGCTAAGCTTACCATACTGGCTAACATTCAGTGACTGGCAAGGTTAACAGTAGAGTTACCTTATCTCAGTGAAGATGGAGCTCCACTGATACTAACAGGGATAAGAAACTGTTTGACACATAGTGAAGTTGAAATTCTTAGCCAAAGCACTAAGAATATACTCATTAAGCTTGTAATGCAGCCACAATGTAAACACAGATAATACACTTGCTCAACAAGGTAACTGACACTTAATTAGATAACTGTTCATTAAACCTCCAATTCTGTTTTAACTGATCCTACTGAAAAGCTGTGTTCTTGTTAACGCTTTTCCAATTAACCAGCAATTTGTTGTGAATGTATTAACAATGCTATTTTTTACCTTTGTTCAAAAGACGAAAAGAAAAGCATCTGGAATTCTGTAGTGATGAAGCACTGCTTCAGGGGAAAGCTCTAACTAACAGGGTAAAAACAGCAATGCTTACCTGGGGACCAGTTTCAGACAGATACAAAGGTGACACTGATGAGAAGATAATTCGGTTCCTTGTACAGCTTCAGATCTGGCCTGAAGCTAGGAAACAATACCCTTGAGCAACAGAGCAGTAATGGATAGGGATGAGATTCCCCATTGTTGCACAGCAACACAAAAAGCTCACTTCAAAGGGAAATAAGTTTAAGCAGACTGAAAGCCATCTTCGTGTCTTCACAGTCCCGTATCAGTACTGCAGCTGGTTCAACTCTGGCTGACTGATCCTTTGAAGGACCTGCCTGCTTTTATCAGAATTTGTTCTATTCCATGCAGTCAGAGTTCTGTCTATACTTCAAGTTATCTAGTCTTAAAAAAAACCCAAACCACTGCAGTCATCAAAACATAACAATGTAATGATTAATGTATTGCTAAAACCAGTATCACAAAGCAAAACAAAAACCAAATGCACAACAAACTAGTTTGAAATTCAGTTAACAGTTAAATTCAGAGGTTTATAAAAGGATTTTTCCTTGTACATATCTTACACACTTTTTCCTAGTCCCCCTGAATAAAAAAAAAAAACTGGTATCATTTGGAACTAGCAGTCACAGCACTTGTGAAGAAGGAAGTGAAAAGAGACTTGAAATTCAGACAGAAACATGAACTGTGATATTTGCAACCTTATGAGTTGCACAGCAACTCCATTAATGATTTTTAATTTATCAGTGGGATTTAACAGAAATTTCCATTCTTCATTTAGTACTTCTCATACGGTAAGACTGATACAAAAAAGCTCTCGAACAGAGAAGGATTTCTTCAAATTCTTCAAATGAAGACAAAACAGCAAATGTTAGTCTATGTTAAAAGAATTCAAGACAACACCAAACATTTTAAAAAACAAACAAACAAAACCACAACTGAAAAGTTTATTTGAGGAGTAAATGTTTCTAATCCTAAAGTGACTGCAGCAGCTAATGCAAGGAATTGACATGCTAAGCCTACATTAGCATAAAGTGTTCCCAAGAAAACACGTCATTAGAGCATTATGTCATTAGAGCATGTCATTAGACAGAATACTTTCTGTTCTACCATACTGCCCCTTAACTCTACCTTCATACGTCAAATCATGCCTATTATATCAAGCCTATGGTATTAAATGCTTTATACTGTTCTGGAAAGACCCTTAATAGGAAAGATCTGAAGCAATTCATGTTTTTACTAAAAGTATTAATGCAAATGCAATTGAGAAAAGCAGAAAGAAAAATTTCTGAGATTTTCTGTCTCCATAAATTTGGCTTACTTTATGCATCTTTCACTCTTCTATATTACTTCCAGGAAGTGCTCACCTCTTCAATTGCACCTGCTGAAATTCTGTGTCCTGCAACATTGATCACATCATCAGCTCGAGACAGAACATATAAATAGCCATCTTCATCCATATAGCCTGCATCCATAGTATCATAATATCCCTAAACACAACACAATAAAAAAAAAAAAAAAAAAAAACACACAAAAAAACAAAACCTCAGAAAATGCTAGTAGGAAGAGCCATCTATTTCCCATGAAACCAACAAACAAAACTGATTGTGTCAAATGAAGATGTTGATGTCTGAAAGATTTAATTCTATGTTATTTTTTACCATTCTTATGTCATCATATGCCTTGCAGCTCTCTTTCCAGGTTTTTGCAGCCTTTATTAAGACAGAAGATGGAATACATAAACATGAACTTTTTTCACTTGGCCTGCTTTAATCCCTGACAGCCCAGGGAAGAATATTGCCTGAATCTACACAGGAAAACTGGAATTGTTACAACATAACGACACTTGTCAAACTGACCCTAAAGATACTCCTGTTTGCTGTATTCATCTATACACCATCAACATGCCAGTACAATGTGTCTGCTTGGGTCTCATTTACTTTTATTGAAACCAAATGAACTCCATTCTGGACAGCCTATCTGTACCAGTTGATCAATTTCTGTGTGGAAAGGAGGCAAGTCCTTAGATATTTCATCTGATGTGGAGGTATTCAGTGAGGAGCCTCCTATGTATTTAAATGCATTGCAGACAAGTGCATATTCTGGACTGACATTAAATTAGAACGGCTGCATATCAAGAGTAGAAGAATATCTGAAGCTATTCTAGACTAAGGCTGCGAATGTGGCAGTGTTCTTAGACCAAATGACATAAAGCAACTTTTAGGTTTGGAAACTTGACGTTTACTACTTTTGTTTCAGATCTGAAAAAATTCAGTAACCCCAGAAGCTGAAGAACTATGAAGAAATGTTTACCATGAAATGTTCTCAATACTGTAAGAAGCATATCAAAGATCTCCCATTAATATAAGACATAATATATATATTTTTTTACATTATCCAATTTAGACTTCACATCATTCAGTGCTGCAAGATTACTAAAAGTTTATATAACTCATTTTGTAATTCTTACTGGAAATTTCTGGAAATATAACTTGTGGAATGCTTCCTGATTTTCCCAAAGTCCTGAGAATGCTCCAGGAGGCAAAGGTAACCTTAAATTGAAAAGATTGGGTAAAATAGTTAGAACATTCAAAAAGTACAGCTTCTGCTCTCCGTTTACAGTCAGATAAACAATCCCTGAGAAGGAATAAGATCAACATATTATTAAAAAAAAGTCTTAACATATAAATAGCATAACACTAAACTGTATCTAAGTCAAAACTTATAGATTGCATAAGCAAAATGATGCTTGGTCTAGAAAACACTACACACTATATTATAAATGCTACCAGCATTCAGCTTTCAACATTTCAACAAATTAAGTATCTGTCAGAAATGTGTGCATAGATGCTATGATTCAGACAACTTCATTATAGGTATTTCTCTCTCTAAAGCATACAAACCCATGTATAGTCATGCAAATTATCAGGTATATACATCTTCAGTTTCTGTAAAAAGATATAATTCAACTTTGACCACAATAATCTGAAACAAAAGATTTCCCTTCCTTTAGCCGTGCATTATCTCATTGGAGTTATTTGAGGAGTTCTTTGAAGTATATTGTTAAAAAAAATCCATTTTAAAGCATTCTAAAATGACTGGATATTTTAAATTTTATTTTCTGTATAAATAGGTATATAAATATATATAAAATATATATATAGAAGTAGTGAAATTCAAAAATTCTGGAATGATTTATTAGCTAAACTTTCAATACATACTATATATCCACTCTTCAGTCAAGGGTAGGGGCATGACAAAAGACAGAACATTTCACATTGCTATCTGCCAGATGGAGAAGATACAGAAGTCTCAGAAAATGAAGGAGTGGTCATTTTTTTCCTTTAAAGCTTTTATTGGCAATTCAAATAAACTGTGCTTAATCCTAATAGATTCCTATTCAGACATACAACATTCACAAATTTTATAAAGCTTAACCCTAGCATTAGCATGATCGTGCCAGCAAACTATTTATACAGGTAAAGTTCTAAATGCCTTCTAGAAAATGCATATGTCTGCATTCCTAACAAGCAAATCTTTATCCAGAAATATTTTATTTTTCACTCTGATAGTGTCTCTACGACCCCAAAAGGCAACATTCGCCAGCAGTGAAGCACTCCTCAGTACTGCAGAAATACTGATACCCTGACAAGCCTTCTGTGATGTTCAGGTCACAGAACAGGTGCTTCCAGCTCAGTGAGATGCAATTCTAACATTACAACTGTAAAAATATTTTTTGTAAGTTTTACATATTCCTACCTAAGAAAGATACAAATAATATGGACTACACTGAAAAAGCCACATCACATAACAATGATTCAAATTCATGACTTTTACAATCACAGGTATCTTATGCTTAATTCAATTTAAGTAACATAATAGAATATACTACTGTAAGTACTACTATTATCTCTGAGAATTCTGGCTATTTTAAGTCACATTCCCTAACAGTACAGTTAAGGCAAGGCTAAACAGGCCAGATACTTCCCACTTAGGCACCCCGGTTTCAGGAGGGCAGGTTGGCTTCTGCCCATCTAGTAGAAACACACTAGCCTACCTTAAGCATCCTTGCAATACATAAACATGACAGAGTATGTGCCTCAAATAAATAAATAAATAAACAGAAAAGTGATGTTTGCTGAGTTTAAAATAAAAAATCTCTTGTTCACATTCCAAAATATCCATTAGAGAATGATAATTACAACGGTTGTTGCCTGGTTGTTGATATCATAGCAATTCTTAGAAGCTTCAGTCATTGCAAATTTTGAACTTTCAATTTATTTAAGTCTGAAACATCCCTCTGATAAGAGAGAAATGATAATTCATGTTGACAAAATCCTTAATTTCTCCAGAGCTCTACTCTGTGGTTTTCAGTTGGTATTCATTCAACAGAAGAAACAATTTTAATGGTGAAATGAGAAAAAAACATTTTGTTTTCCGTAATTACAATCATTCTGAAATCCAAACCAAGAAGTGGAAATATACCACCAAAAATAGAATCCCTGCTCCCATCACCACTGCTTGGTTGGTTTGTATTAAGGAAAACTGCAATGAATAGTGCATCCAGAGTGCATATTGCTGAGAAGCAGGGAAAGTAAAATACAGACTACCACGGATATCTTTACAGTACAAAATACAGCACAAAACACAAAATCCGAAAATGCTCCTTCATTGCTTTTTATAAAACACTATTTGTAGTTCAGACTGCGTTCCATCTCCTATGCAAAACCCAAATGCCATCTTGTATGTGTCCATCTTTTAGGCAAAATAATTCCTCAGCAATGGGCCCATAACATGAGCTTGCATGCTTTTTAAGCATTGCTTCACAGCTCATTTGCTTTTCATACAACATTGGCTGACCTTGCACAGAAGAACCCACCTCTAACTTAGCCCAGAAACAACTGGCTGTGTGTGTCCCATCATTTCAGGATGCCACTTGACTAAACACTGCAAGACTTTTTGTTGGTGGAAAAAGAAAAAAAAAATTACTGACAGCACTCAAAAGTTCCTTTAAAGAGAAAAAAACAGATTCTGAAAAGTACAAATGGAAGTCAAAACTATTAAAGACACTACCTTGCTGGAAGTTTTCGGAAAAAATACATCCCTTTATTTTATGGTAGACAATGGCAGTTACAGGCTGTTCATTACAGCCAGTCAAAGCAACTGTATGCCATTGTCACAAGAATTCAGCCTGTGAATGGAGCTAAGTCATCTTGACTGGCAGCTATATTATTACTCAGCATTTATGTAATGCTGTGTGTAAACGTTACTCTTTCAAAAAATCCTTGATTCTGTGTTTGAAAATTCTCTCCAATCTTGAAGCTTTTTCAGATACAAGGAACAACAATACTGGAATACAGGTGGAGAAGGGGTAAAAGAAGAGAGGATCCTGAACATTTATTTACCAGCCTGCATAAAATACTCCCTTAGCTGAAAAGAGTCAGAGATAGTAGTTGGTTTCAGTGTGGATTTAGGAAGAAAAAAAAACCCTACAAGTTAGTGAGCAAAAGGAAGAACATTACAAAAATTATTGAAGTGCCAGGAAAGAGTTAAAAAAAGTTTGAATGTTGCCCACGGGTATTCAACTCAATTTTGGAGAAATGTTCCCACATTGAAAGTGTAAAAGGAAAAGACAAAGCTGAGAAAAAAAACATGTGGTGAGCTGGAAGAGAGCTCTTGGATAAATTATATTCAAGTAAGCTACATAAGTTAAACTGCAAATTTCTTTCAGCCAAGCTCTCCACCAGTCTCATTCACATCTTTTCTAAAACCCAGTTTCTCAGCCGTCTTTTACAATACAGACATCAGAACCAGAACTGCAAAATAATGCATTATTTTACTAATGTCACATTAGCCCCTGAATAACAAAGGATCACAATGCCTGCTTTGTCCACTACCACCTACCTTCCTTCAAAGACTTCCCTATCCAGAGATAAATCCACTCTAACACAAGCACCTAATTAGAAAGTTTTTGCTTTCTTGAGTACAGTCCTTCATTTTAAAATATAGCAAACCATTCTTAGGTGTATGGCTGTTACTTACAAAAATGTACTGAAGGGGTCTTTGTAGGATGACGCTCTTTACACTTTTTTACAAGAAACACTTCTCTCTGCAGCAGCCTTCCTTGAGGGCAGCCACACAACAGGTCTGGAATACGCTCTCTTCCACACTGTCTTTAATTTTCTGCTACTTTAAGTAATAATTAAGCATCTTATATGAAAAAAATCAATAGGAAAACTATTTCCAAAATAGTAGTGTATATCAATAAAACAAAACGATAACTCAACCAATGGAGGTATTGCGGAGGTATTGCTTAATAATCTTCAGACACTCCAGCACAGTCATTTAAGAGGAAGATAAATGTTCCTCAGTCTGTTAAAATATTTCAATTTGGAGGATTACTACATCCATACAAAGAAATTTCAGAATAATGAGCATCATTTTTTATCATTAGATCAAATTTAATGATAAAAGTGTCTGTTCTCTCAGCTAACGTCTTCTCTCTCTCTCTTCATTTAGGATGGAATTTCACTATCTAAAAACACTGCCATTGCTTCCTGTCCTCCTTGTCTTCTTGGAGTGGGGCACAGCACAAGCAAGATGTGTAGCCTTTTCCATGGGCTTATCCCATGTTAGAACACTGAGCTGTTCCCCATCAAGCATTAAAAGGTTCTTCATTTTCTTTAATTTTTATTCTTCTTAGTGTACTGAGACACCAGTGTCCTGTGAAAGATCACATGTTCTTCCTTTCTCTTTCCTTTCCTTTAAACTCTTTTGGTTAACACATTTCTATCGTGTATCTTAATGACTGCATTCTTGGCTTCAGGCTGCTTGTTGCTGTAACGCACTTCCACAGCCATACTGATTTTTTTAAAATGCATTATGAGAAGTATTAAATGAAGTATTTTACTGAACATCTAACTGTTTGCTCTGCAAACACTGTATAAAGCTTGAACACAGTGCCACAAACTGTGAAACTGTGAATGGGTTGCCTACTTCTGAACATCTTTTCATTACAGAATAAAATCTTTTTGGTATTTGCCTTATTTCTATCCAGCCAACACAAAATCTAAAATTATACAAAGCTGTACATTTACCTATCCTTTCCAAAACCTTGTCAATGTTTTACCCTCCTACAGCTTTTGTGTGATTGTATATAGTGGGGTGGATCGTCACTAGAATCAGTGCAACCTCTGACAGAACATTAGCGTTGTCTTTTCTCTTTCTCCACCAATCCTAAATTCTTGAAAAATCACTTCAGAATTACTGCACAATGCAAGCACAGTGTCTCTCATCTGTGTGAATACGGAACAGAAATTGTTATCTGTTTCTGTGAAGAATGGTGAAGCTGCTTTTTAAAATATGTATTGCAAAAAACTGTTGTAGTGGCACAAAACTAACTACACAAACACTAGAGGAAGCGTAAGATGTACAGGCACTCCTGAAAGGATCTAGAGGAAAATTTGCTAATAGACATTACATTCAGGATAGAATCATTTTATGGCAAATGGCTCTTCCAGTTGTGGATGAACATAATGTTAGCTAATGAGACAATGCTGACAACTGTCTCATTAAATAAACATAATGAGTTTATGATCCTCATAATGTAAAAGAGCTTCCCAAGGCACTAGAATTTGAATGGCATTTCTTCATGCTAACATTCCTTACAAACACAGACAACATGGAAAATTCTCACTGCTTATCATAATTGCACGTATAAACATACACAAACACATTTTTTCAGGCGTGTGTTAAGTATAGGCAGGTCCAAACAACACAAGCAGCACCGGGCCACTAAATCAGACTGGTCTTAATAAAGGATACAGAACCGTTGCTGCTATCATTTTCACTTCAGAATAAGTTCTAAGTTAACTACCCTTCATGTTCAGAGATTCTAGCTCAAAAAAATGTACATTTAAAATCACTTTATACAAAACCATCTTCATAAGCTGCAGTTGTCTTCATTTTCTCTTCTCCTTTCATCATAAATTTTATGATACTGCATTTGATTACTTTATCTTGGAAGAACTGTGAAGTCAAAATGTTATTGCACTGCCCAGGTAAATTAGCTTCTATGCACATTCTTGTCAGTAAAAAATCTCTCCAAAGGGCACACAGATGATGATTATATGAGGTAAGTATGAGTAAAGAAGGTAATATACCTGGAGCAGGGAGACAGAGTAATAAGAATGATCTCTCTAAACTATTTGACTCTTGCAGGATATATTTTTAAGACTTCACTGCAAGAACAGACATTTTAAATACTATACTTACAAGCACTGCAGGCTTCAGGCAGCCCCCAACGGTCCTTACCAGCAGTTACACTGGGCTAAAAATAACCAAGAGCTGCATCATACCACTTTTGCACAGCTTGTGCTGTAGGCACTGTGTGATCATACTCTTCTCCAAGAAATACTGAAGAATATTTTCTCAGCTCATGTATGCTGTAGATAAAGCAAACACTTGTACAAGCCTGTTTCTTTCTAAAGCAGTAAACTGTATTTTGCTGCTGAGTATGTGACAGAGGAATAGCCAAAACTAGCCTGACTCCCCAACTGTCTTCAGGACACATGGGGAGGACCCTGAGGTGAGAAGCAAAACCTTCTAGAAACAAGGATCATCCCCACTGTTCTAAGTGTGAATAGTGGTCTGCTGAAGAAATGCAGAAAGGCTTCTTTTGCAGGAGGGCTTTATGAAAATTAACCCTAATATAAAAAAAAAAAAAGAAAAAAGAAAAAAAAGTTTTTAATGCTAAACAATAATTTAGCTGGATGCAGCAGAAGATAGAAAATGTGTTGTGATTAACCTAACAACCACAGATTCTTATGATTAAACACTGGAGGAAATTGTCACTTATTAGAACGAAACCTGGAACAAAATATTAACATGCTGCATACCATAATACTCTAAAGCCAACTTCTGTTAACAGACTGGAGGTTCAAATGTTGCAAGTGATAAAACATCCAGAATCGGTCTCCTAGAGCTTCTCAGCACATTGCCTTGTTTTTGTTTACTTTTTTTTTTTTTTTAACAGTTAAGTTGAAGAATGAATTTTAGGAGGTCCTACTATCTTGAAAAAGTGTCAGAAAAAACACTGGAACAGAAAGAAGGATGACAATTAACCTACTAAAACTGTTTTCATATCTTTTTCTTTAAATAGTGTAATTTCTCCCTTACTCTTCCTCTTATTTCAGAATGGCTATTACAACAAATAAGGATATGGTAAAATAATAGCTACCCTGTACCTACCTTAAATAATACATTGTATAACAAAAGCAAAACAACAACAAAAAAAAAAAAAGGAAAAAAATTTCCTCACTACTACCCTATTGATTTGTGTGGCTGCAGCAAAAACCACGCCAAGAAAGATAAAATCAAAAAAATCAATCATAAATATATTTTTAATCCCTTAAGAAAAAAAGTTTAAATATGGGGCAGTGTCAGGGAAGATAAATCTTAACTTCAAGAGCTTGGCAATAGCCCCAAAAGGATCTCCTCATGTGGCAATATCCCCTTCTGACAGGCACGTAAATACCAAGTTACAACTCAGAAATGGTATCTACCTGTTTGCAGATGTAATTCAGCTTGTTTAGCAGAGAGCTGCTAAGGATGGAATTCATTTCACTTAGCTTTAGGTAGCTAAGCTCTGTGTCAGCAGAGAAACATAAGCACATCTGGAAGTTTATTTATTCCTTCCTAGTTAAATGCTTGTGACATCTTTCTTTTAAAATATCTTTCTGTATCCAATGATTACAAACCTAAGTTTTATGACGGCAATAGTAAGGCACTAAAGAGACAAGAGCTTCAGAAGATAGCCTTTCACTCTGACCTACTTTAGTGACACCGCAAAGCACAGTTTATTAAAGGCTTGAGCAATTTAAATTATTCATACTCCACAGTGGAATGAATGCACAATCTTATGGGTGTCACAGAAAAATGATGTCTAAATCTAAGTCTGCTGATTCAGGAAAGTGCACTTCAACACACGTCTGTGAGTCCTGGTGGCTAGGCCTAAAGTGCTCAAAGTTAGACAGGGCATAGACTTCCACCTGAAAATACATCTGTGTCATGCAGTACAACAACCTCCTGTGACACTATACCTCAGTCTCCACACAAGTCTAGTTACATTAGACAGTAATACGTCTGAGCAAACTCTTCAGTTTAGAAACTCAGACTCCCAAGCAAGCACCATGCAGCGAAACAGCCTGTATATTCAGTGCTGTGCTTCTACAGCATGCTCCAGTGCTTGCAGTATACGTGCATCTCATCTCCAGCTCACCTGCCTATTGCCTCAACCCTCATTGAAGTTCTCTCCTTAACCACTCATCAGAATCGGTACACCTGTCTCACTGTTTTTGGTTTCTGAAAACCTTCAGTTCCCTGAGATTTAATGCTTATCTTTTTACTTCCTTCCATTCATCTAAGCAAGTATGAAGAATGTGAGTCACCACCACTCCCCTTAATTTTACCAGAACAGAAGCTGATTAATGTATTTCTACTGGAAGTTGTATTTGCCAGCAGCTACGTATTTTCAGAACCTAAGTATTTTCTGTCAGTGAAAACAGAGAAGGCCAGAGCTAACATGTTAATCACACTGTAGCTATCTACTTGAGGAAAATCCCGTTTGCTTAAACACCAGTGAAACACCCAGAATACGCAGCTGGCACATGCTATGGAAAGCAATAACCTTTTGAGTCTTAGAGATGTACGGAAAGGTTCTGGAAACAGGGAGACTGCAGAAAATAAGCGAAATGTAACTGATGTTCACAGCATTATTAAACAGAGGCTCCCATATCTAAGAAAACGTCCTACAAAAGTTGTGCTTCAAAAAAATCTTATGCAACTCATCTGACAAGATTCTGGCAAATTGCATTGAAAAAAAAAAAATGACTAGCTGATGTTTCTAAAGATTTGTTGGCTGTTTTTTTGTTTGTTTTTTTTTTTTAATTTGTTTGGGTTTTTTTTTGGGGGGGGGGGGGAGGGGGGTTTAATTTTTTTTTCTCCTCCTTGTTTTTTGCTGGAATCTTTCCCCATATGTATTCTGTCCAAATGCTGCCACAGCAGAACTGTCTGTTCCATGCAAAGTACTCTCAGAGACATCTTGCTCTTTTTACAAAGATCAGGAAACATCTTCTCTCTTTAAGAACACACATCACTGGGGATTAAGAGGCAGTGAAAGGGCAGGTAGTATCACACCGGTACACCAAAGCACGTGAATCTCAACTGCTCTATTATTTTCCTAAACTGAAAGATGAAGAAGCATTGGGAATAATTAATTTAATACTGTGCTCACCACAACAATGCTTAATCCTGTGCCAGCAGTCTGGCAATTAAGAAAATGGATAACTTTGCTGTAATTTAAGAAAAACAAAACCCCAGAAAGCACTCTCATTCACCTACATAATTTCATCTGTAGTTTTTCAAGATTAATTAACACTAAACATTCCAGCAGTTTGCAATTAACATTAGAGACTGACCTATTTTGAATTCTTAAAACATCAGTTACTGTTGAATATATGAATTTTGGTCAAAAGACAACCACCTCACCTCATCCTCTTAACTGTAAGATACTTTGCTTACTTTACCACAATATTTCCTAAAGTCTTCGCCTTCACTGGTTCCTTATTTTCATCCAGAATCATCACTGTAAAACAGTAATATGGAAAGACAACTCCTGTTAAGTTAAGTGGAGGAAAGAGTTTTTCATTATGAATATCAACTTATGTCACACTTGAGAACAATAATACACCAAGCAACGAAAGGTATTAAGTAATTTGGGAGTACTATACTGGATGACCTCATAACATTATTAACATTCAGCCTTAAGTACAAGAAGCTTTAAACAATACTTGTGTTCTGGGAGTAGACAGAGAACAAACTCAAAAAGGGAGAAATACAGAACTGAAAGTAAAAGGAGCCTTCATACTGAAAAATCCAAGCTTGCATATAATGAAGTATCCTTCAGATGCATGAAAAATATGAGCAAAAAGGGTTCAGATAAGACAAGTAAGAAATAACTAAGATTACTCGGCGTTCATCTAGCAAATGCAAGAAATGTTATTAGCAATAAATAAATGTGCCTGCTTTTCAGAGGCTCTCAGGAGGCTCCGAAAGATGCTCCCCACCAACAAGGGTTACTCTAGCCTAGCACAAAGAAATAAAATAACTTGGGAATAATCCAAAGCCACACAGCAGGGTAACACTAGAGAACACCAGAAAATCCAGACCTTGGAACAGAAGACTTTCCTGGATGACACTGACCCACCACCTTCAGATCATATCTTGGTATGGAGGATGTAGTTTTCTGGGGAAAAACACCTGAAATTGCCTCCTCAGTGCAGTCATCTGGGAAAATCAATCATAACCACCCATTCTATCTGAAGGCACAGGCATAAGGAAGGAATGGTAGATCGGCTATGGTATTGCTTAAGTAGAGTATTAACTTGGCCTAGATGAGTGGAATTAAAGTGAAATGACTAAACTATGGAAAAACAGAGAGGAATGTTTTTGACAGATTGGGCTGACATGGATTTAAAAAATGCTTTTTGAAGCCTGCCCAAGCAAATAAAGCTACGTTCAGCTGGAATTAAATTAATACAAATAATCTTACATTCTGTACTAAGAAGTTAAAGAGCAAACGAGGAAGAGAGAATGACAGACTTCTGAGCAAAACCTTGCTAAGAGTTTTATGAGTTATATCATATCGTTATCTGTCTGTCCATAGAAAGCCAAACATCTGTAATTGCTCTGTATCTGTCTGAAGCCACTCCTTCAGAGGATGGTATTTTTTAAGTAATTGAAGAGCCCTTTGAAAACAAGGGCTCAGTAGACAGGCAAGTCAGTCAGTTCTTCAGCTCAGTGAGCTGGAAGGAGAAACAGGGGTAGGAGATCAAAAGCATGAATGGAAATACAAAAAACACTCCAATGAAAAACAGCAGACTGTTGTAAATAAAATCCACTTCAAATCTTTAAACATTTTTTTTTCTTTCTTACATCTTTTTAGACGCCACAAGAACATGGAAATGTTACATTTTGAGAATTTAGACTCAGAATAGAGCGATACACACCCTGTATCTTTCAGTGCTCCCCATCAGCTTATTTTCCTATTTTTATTATATCAAAGTAAGATGTAAAGAGTTTATTTTATGAGGGTAGGAATTCCAGTATTTATTCCCCTTCTTGGTAAAATGCATTTCAATGTACTAAAATCTGGGGAAAGTGGATGCTACACTGTTTACTACTTTATTACTGAATAACTGAATAACAGGCTTAATGCTTCAAAATGTGAGACTTGCTTCAGTTTGTGAACAGTGCTATGAAATGATCTGAAAAAGGTAGAAGTAGACCAAAGAGTAAGTACCCAATGTCAGATTTAAAGCAAAAGTGCTAGAAATTATTATGGTATCTCCATTCGCATTTAAATGCATTTGCACCATTACACTTTGAAATTATAAATGCTGCTTTGAAAGATTTTGGCTGTATTTCGAAAGAAAAGAAGTAGATTTGTAGCTTTCTGCATATGTCATAGCATAAATAAAATGCTATTAACATCCGAAAATCACTACAAGTTACACATATATTCCAAGAATGCAAAATCTTCTACATGGCACAGAGAACCCTTCTCATTGATACAGTAACAGCAGCCAAAACAACCTCAGAGCAGACCTGGGTGACAGCAGTCAGTACACAGTAATTTCAAGATTCACTATTTCATGAATGGCTGCATTACTGAGCAATACTGGCTTCAAACCAAAGACTGAAAATGGTACAGTTCTATCCTAAAACTTCAATGAATTTCAGTATTCACTTGATTTTTTTTTTTTCCTTTTTATTGCACGTTTTAAGGTATTTCCTCTGTTCTGTGTAAAGGAATTACTTATTTACATTTGATGCCATGTTTCAAAAATACACAAATCATTTTTATGTTCTTGCTCCTCACAGATTTGTTTGGCACAACATTTTTTCTAGTGTGTGTAATGCAATTACATTCTTTCACTCTTCCCTAAATTTATGGCTTTGTTTTAATGCTGTTTTTAACCTATAGTTTGTCTTCATGCTGTAAATGCCAAAACACAGATCTGCTGAAAGTGGTTATTTTCTTAAATGTTCATTCCAATCTGTATCTATTAGAATCAAAAAGAGCAAAGATTTTTCTGCCCAAGGATGTGAGAATCTTTCTGGAAGATAATTTGATCTTTAAAAAATTTAATTACTTTTTGGACTTCAAAGAACTCTTGAAATTTGTGTTAACATCAGAATTCCCAGGTATGAAAGCATTTTTGCATTCTTAATCCTGTAACCACATTCTCTACATACAAATAGCTTCCCGACAATGCTCTTGCTTTTAATGTTTGTTCATAGCCTGCAATTTCTCCCAGCTGGAAATAAATACGCTCCACAACTACTAGAAGATACTGCATTGAGCACCTCTCAAAAAATGAGTTCACATCTGCACATACAGGCAGCATACTGGCTTTGATTTAAAAAGAAAAAAAAAAAAAAAAGAATTAAACAGGTTAATAGGAAAATTCATTTTTTCAATAGAAAATTTTACAAGCTGCTTGTTAGTTCACTAGTGACATATCAGTGGAAGGCATTATTGTTACACTAAGAATTCTCTTTATGCACTTCAGGATACTCCTCATATGAAATAGTGGCATCAAAAGAAAATAATAATAAGTGAGTCTCCGAGACGTGATTATTTGATGTACATCTCCCAAAACAAAACTATTTAGACTCTGAAAATAGATAATATAGATGTGAGAGAACACTCAAAGTGCAAGTTAAAGCAATTATTTGTCTACTTATTTCCTCTTCTGCTGATGGTTATTACTAACATTCTTCTTCCCAACATGCCAATACATTTTACTGCTGCTTCTCATTTAATTAGTGCAATTGTAGACAAAGCCTTAAAGCACAGTATTCTTTACGTATCCTTGTTACATCCAGTTTAGAAATATATGCTATCCCTTTTGCATAATAATAGTACAAGTAGCTGATCAACAATTTTGATAATTACTCTGAATTTGTTATGTACAGTCACATTTCACAAGACAAAAAAAAACAGAGCTTCTTGTTACGAGACAGAGGAAAATCTGTTAGCAAAATGCTTTCCCTACGAGGTCTAAAAACTAAAGTGCACTTAAATTGCACATAAGCAATACGGTTTTCTAGCAACCTTACCATTGTATCCTGGCACTGGTTTTCCTGCCTGTCCGGGTGGAGGCGTTGTAGAGTTCCCCAAACCAACACAAGAAGCAGTTATTGGAGAACCAGATTCTGTTAAAAGAAAATAAGTATGTTAGGCAAGATTTCTCTTACTATTATTTAGTAACTATTGCTTCTAAATTTTCTAAGTTCAGCATATAACAATTAAAAAAAATAATAATTAAGTGCCAGACAAGCAGTGAGAGAGTTCAGAATATTTGTATGTGTTATATAACAAATATAAATTCATCACAGAAATTTGCATTCTTCACATGGGAAGTTTCTGCATTACACAGTAGAAAATTCAGAATTAACATCTTTATGTTTGCATTACACCTGTGGCTTATTCTGCTATGTTTACACCGCATCAGTAGGAAACTGCCTACAGCAAAGCCATGATAAACACTGTGTGTGACAGATGCATTTCAGTGGTTATTTCACTAATCAGTGTTCTATTCAAGAAAAAACAAGAACCAATTCTTGGTTGATTACCTTATCACTGTAGGGCAATATCAAAGTATCGGTTGTTCTATTGTGGAATTGAAAAATTCTATCAATTCTCAGGTCTGGAAGGTTATGCAGAATCTTCAAAACAATATTGGTTAAGATGATCAAAGAAAAGGTGGCCCCTCACAGAAAAGTAAATAATTCAGGTAAGTCAGAAATACCTCCCTTATACCTACCTCCTGAAGCTATCGTTAGAATTTCTTGATGAGAACTACTTCAAATAATGAAAAGGTTCAAAAAGAAATAAGGTACAGAAGTCAGACGTAAATTTCACATGCTGCCAAAATAAAGGCATACTGAAAGGAATACTCTAAGGAAGAGGAATCAAACTGCTGCAAGACTTTGTGATCATAGTCCAGCTGTTTTCTACTCCTGCACCTAAAAACATGAAAGTTTTACTATCTGCAGCACTATTAGAGGTTTTGTGTTTCTGGGTGTTTTTTTTTTGCCAGAAGACAAATTTCTCCCAGATTTTGAACCTTAGAAAGATATCCCCATAACTGCAGACAAATGAATTAAGCATTTGCACTACGTACCTTTGCTCCCTGCAAGGAGCCCACAAAAGGCAAGTAGGTCTGCAATTCCTGCTGCAGAGATAACACAAAATACCTTCCTCACACAGCATGAATATCCCCTGGTATGCCTACACCTTCCTAATTATCCTCACTGTTAGGCAGCTACAAAGCCCTCCCTTCTCACTTACCTTTTTTTTTTTTTCCCCTCTTAAGAAAGCTCAATTTCACATGATGCAGTTATACTACAAGAGTTATTAAAGAAAGAGGAATAAAGAACAATTAAGTCATACAGTAGAGTTTAAGTGTAAAGAAAGACCAGCTGTTATCCTTCTCTTCTCTGTAAGAAAAAAATATAGAGAAATTTCTTTTAAATGTTTCTGCAACTCTGAGCTGGAGGAAAAAATAATAAAAGTGTCTAAGTGGCTGTAAATATTACCAGCAACACAGCATGGTACCAGCACTATAAAAATGTAGCATTATAATTCTGGAGATGTTGCAACTCTCAGGTCACTTGACCTGGAATTCATAACCCACATCAAGCTCAAGCTTCAGCACAACTAAGCAGGTTTGTATTGACCTCTGTATTTATCTCTGATCACACGGCCAAAGATATTCTCAGTTCTCTTGCATTAGAGGTCACTACAGTTGTTTTTGCTGTGGATTTTCTCAGCTCCCACAGTATTCCTCAGCCATTTCAGAAGTTCTTTAATGACCACTCAATTCCTATAAGAACAAGAACAAAACTGCCATGTGTTTCTGTAATTTTAAGTTAGTTGTCAGTAGGTAGCTGAAAAATCACATAGGTAGCATTAAAATCACATAGTGAACCTAGGGCCTAAATTCAACTGTGGAACAACCCTCAATGCCAACACAGGTAGGCTAAAAAGTTGACTTGGTTGTTTCACATTTCTATTGGTCTATTTTTTCACAAAATGCACGTTTCCCGCACAAGCACTGATCCTGTTTTTTTCCTTCCAAAAAGCTGCAATTACAGAGGTGACACATCAGCAAGATCTAAAGTAGCCAGTCAATGATCATGCTGAAGAGAAACCCACAATTTATTCAGCTGTTTCAGAGCTCTATTTTCTGCTCAGTACTGGGTAAGCTGTTGACCTGAACTTCTTTCCTCTCTTCCTGAAATAAAAAGCAAGAATATATTCCTCAGTGTACAGTGAACTGGAAAATGAAGTAGAGGGGCCAGTTTATTTTTTGACAGCATTAGGAGGAAAAGAAGACTCCTAAGTGTCGTTCTTTATATACTGTATGCCAGGAACTAAAAAACCATACTGTAACAGAGTAGGTGAGAAAGACATTCTATAACCAAAGCACAGTAATTAGATTCACTGCTGAGAAGGATCAGCGTACCCCTGTGAACCAGTAAGATTTAACACAGCTCAGGAATTGACAAACATTTCAAACTGCAGAGCTCTCAATCAGAGAACCCTGGGGAGAAAGGGAGAACCTGTGAAATTTCTGAAAATCAGTTTAGATTTGCTTGGCTCTCTAGTACACTGCTAATGAAAGCTATGTGAACTAAATGGAAATCATTGTCACATTACACTGTCTGCGCTTCTGCTTTTTTGGAAAACAGTGAATAGAACTGCATGTAAGTCCATTTATTCTAAACAAGAATCACAAGTTCTAAAACTTTCTCAATAGGTCTTTATAATTGCTGCTATGTCTTCTATTGTCTTCTCAATTACCAGTGGAAATACATCATTTTCATATTTACCAGTGCTCTAATCTCTCTGCTGTGCATTCAATTCCCATGCCTGAATTAAGTATTTCTATACACAAGAAAAAAAAAATGGTTTGTTGGTGTTTAGGCCAGACACTAATTAAGAAAAGACAACCCAGAAGTATCCACTCTTTGTGTTAGGCTCACAGTTTCTGAATGCTAAACATTCCCTTACAAAGTAGAAGCACCAAGGAATACTGTCAAAAAAGCATAGCATGGATCTCTGCGCTGTACATTTCTTGGGAAATCAAAGTGTATCTTTCAAACAGGATGCTGGATTGAAATATCAATTTCCCAAACCCATCAGAAAACAGCAACTGCTTTCCAGGAGAGTGTTTTTCATCAAGGAAAAAACAGCCTGACTTCAAAGTGGAACTGAATTGATAGTCCTGCTGAAAAAAAATCAATGTTGTTCAAAAGAAAACAGAAAAATAACTACTGATGAGGAATCTTCCTTATCAGATACGTATAATACAAGTACTGGGTGCTTTTTTTTTTTTTTTAATATTTCCAATAAACAATGCTGCTTAAAAGTCTTTGGTTTAAATTAAATTTGCGCCAACTCACAAGTTACAAAGCATAGATCAGAAAGTAAAAATCAGCAGGAGGCTGAAAAAGGATAACACTTGTCAAACGAGCATCACATTCTACCCACCTCTTAAACCAGGCTTCGAAATAGACAGATACCCATCACTTGTTTATACTTGCAGATTCTCTGAAAGTAATGTGCAGTGTCTTGACAGATTTCTAGTGCCGAAATCTTTAGAGAATTGCATATTTCCAGTGTTACAAATAGAACAGCTGATCTGTCTTCCAATCTGTCTTTTCAACACACATTTAAAGAGCAAATCTTCCACTCCCTATGCGAGTAAGTCAGCAATCCTCTGGCTGGAGAAGGCTTTTGAGGAGGACTGGACCATAAAACCAATTTCCTTTTTGCATAACACCTTATAATGTGACAGTGAAACAGCTATTTAGAAGAGAAACGTTTCACAACTAGCGTGTAACTACATTCAACATCTGCTTTGAATTATAATGGAGGAAATATATCTACCTCTGAGAATAATGAAAAGCACTTCACTGAAATTCGAAAGACAGAATCACTGAGAGATGGTCTTAAAATCATAGCTGTTAAAGTGTCCCAAGTTCCTCATTACGTTTTTGTTTTCAGCATAGGGGCTGATCTAAAGAAATTCACTTTTAAATTTCGAAGATGTGACTCTTCATTTTATCCCACTCCACACGTACATAAAAGACCTAAAGAGATCTCAGTATTACTGAGTTATATTGGACGGCTAATGGATAGTCTTATACAGGCATTTCTGTTGCATTTGTGTCTCTGACAGCTAATCTTACATTAAACAAAGTGCTGCAGATGCAGAAACAAAGAGTGCTTACAAGTACTAAGGGAAGTTTGTATGGATACACCTGACTTCTTTCATAATAATGGTTCCATCTTCCCCATGCCTGCTTTGAAGAAGCCAAGCTCTGCCAAGTGATGCAGAGGTACAGCTATTAAGTTCTGTGCCCAAAGTTGTCTTACTCATTTGCAGTGCATGTTCAAATTCAAACAAAACAGTATTTAAAAATAACTCACAACTTTCAAGGTAAAAAGTGTCCTGTACATCTTACGGTGTTGATACATTACAACTCCTAAACTGCGTCTCACATTCCCGAACACAACATATTGTCATACTGCTGAAAGATTTTATTCTCTGGAGGATGAACTTAAGGAAAATACACTGCATTCTGACATTTGAGTTTGGGCAACACTAAGTGACTAACGTAAGGCTACCTGGTTTGGTTTGTTAGGCTGCAAGAGAGAGACGATGAAGCATGCAGAAGAGGTGAGGAGCTCTTATAGAGCAGGAGACAAAAGAAAGGGGAGCAACTGCCATACATCAACACATGAACAAACACAATATGTATAATGAACTAAATTCTTACTGCAGCAGTGCTGTTTTCAGCCATTTCAGCCATTCTTCTGGCAAATTTGTCATTTTTACCAGACAGATGCTAGCACTTAAAATCTACCTCACAGCACACCATACTGTTTCCGTATAATAAAAACAAATCTAATGTGTCATAAAAATATGTACTGGAGAGGAACATGACTCAAGGGGCAGATCATCAAATATCCAGGTTCTTCATCCTTAAGCATCTGATTCTGCAAAAATATCAGCATCTCAGGTGATTCTTCATTAGTAAAATCTAAGCAAATTTCCACATCTGCAACTCATTAGCAGTAAGTGGCTTCACTCACAACTTGTAATCAAGCATGGTTAAGTCGTAACAGATTCTAGATAGCCATG